CAAGGATTGTTGCTTTATTTAAAAATATTATTTATTTATTTATTTATTTAGTTGTTAAATAGATTCACTAGCTTATGTCAATTCTAGAGTCACAAAAAATAGATAGAATCTCATATAGAGAAAAATATAGTTTATTTCAAAAATATATTTGAATATAATTATTTGGTAATTTTATACTATCGCACTCCTCTCGTTTTTTGGCTCTGGAAAATCGAAAAATCAACATTTTGGAGTGATTTTTTTCCTAAAATCTTCGTTTTCACGGCGGATTTACGAAAAAAATTATAGAAATGGTAAAAAATGAAAATTTATAATGGTTTCAAGGCTTTAAATGTTCATGTAAACGCACTTATTCACGTATAATTGTTGATAACTTCTTTACAAATTATCGTATGAAGTTGTTATATTTTTTTTTTTCATAATCTACACAAAAAAACAAACAAACAAATTATATTTCTATATATTTTAACCCATTACTGCATAATGTTTGAAAAATTGAATTCAAGAAAATTGTAAATATTGTAGAGAAATTATTTAATAATTAAGTAATTTATTTTCTGAACAAATTTAAATTTTTTTACTGTTTTTTTACGGAATTGGCTTTTCATTGTACCCCTCCCCCCCTCCCCTCCTCTCCCTCCAATAAGCCATTATATTACATAAAAATTATAATAATTCTTATAACAAACTTTATGTTTTAATGAGTTAATTTTTAATTTTTTTATGCTAGTAAATTTCACTGTAAATTGACGACTAAAAATTACTAGAAAACTTTCACATTTCGATTATCCATTTATGATTAATTTGTAATTAAAATTTTTTTTTCATTAAATATTTATTATTCTATTCTTTGAATCTTATAATTATTAATCTGTTGGTAATTTAAAAATGGAAAATTTTAATTGTTTTTAATTGTGATAAACTCTAATTGTGATTAAGAATAAAATAATTCTTACTTCAAGAATATTATTTCATCAGTAAACAAAGAAAGAAAGTATTAGAAGTAACCTGGATGAGAATGACTTTAAAAAAAAAAAATAAAAATAATACTGTTAAAGTAAACTGATCTACAAAATAAAAAAGCTTATATAAATGAGAGAAAAATGGAATCGAGGTGAAAAAATGTTTTATCTTGTCATATAGCAAGCTGTTGTATCTACCTCATATGCGAGCTGATTAAAACCACAGATTCTATCGTTTTACAACAGAACATACTTCAATATAACTACCCGCATGTGGCTATACATACTTTCATTATCACCTTGAGACCATACTGTAGTTCATGCTCTCACACATTGGTTATTCAGAATTACTCATTCACAACTGCACCCTCATCTAATTCAGATTTCAATTTATTAATGCCACCCCTTTGGAAATAAAAATCTATTTGCTCTCAATCATCAACTGTTATTTCTAGAATCTAAAGAGTCTACAGTACAGTACATAATGAAATACAATATTGACTTTCACTCGAATTATTAAACATTAGTTTTTCACATTAGAACACTAATCGAACCGGAAGGTGATATTGCGCATTACAATCATACAGCCGGAAGTTTGCTGATCGGTTTATAAGAGAAACAACCGTCAAAGTATCTAATCAGATAAGCTTATGTATTAACTATAAATAGCTGCAATTAATTATATTTGAATATGTAGGAGTAAAAATATAGATTAGTTGAAAAATTACTTCAATTCATATATTTATTAATTTTTTTTTTTTATTTAACTCAAGTTATTTTATTTAATCAAACAAGTTTTGTTTAATGAGAATAAAAAATAATGAAAATAAAAAATATTATTCAAAGATAAATTTTATTGAAATTCAAAAGATACATCTCATTGAAATAAACAAATTTTATTAATTATTTATTTTAAAAAAATAAATAATTAATTTTTATTCGCCATTTATGTTATTAAAATCATGATTATAATATTTTTATTTTCTTTATCATTTTTAACTGATTTATAAAAAAAAATTTTTTTTTTGAGTAATTTAATTAGAATTAAATATAAAATAAAATATTAATTAAAATTTTCTTAAAAAAAAATATTTTTCATAAATACTTTTATTTTTGGAGTACATATTTTCCAAGCAAATATTGAAAATTTTCCTCTCACATAATATTGATTGAGTTAAAATAAGAAAATATTTCTTTTTCAAACGTATTTTTTTTTTTTCCTTTTTCACCATGCATTGACCCAATACGCATTTAACTAACAAATACTATCAACATCATTCAAGCAATCCAATCCCACGAATTTCTACAACCATTTAAAAAGATTTATTTCTACGAAGGAAAATCGGTTGAAAATAACAACGCAAAAGCGTTACTCTAACAGGATCGTATTAAAAACGAAAAATGGAAAATTTTCAATACGAATACATGTATAATAGAGGCAAGAATACATATGTATTCTGAAAGTGAATGTCATGAGGGATAGGATTATTGTTATAGGGTCTTTGAGGGTTTAACGTTTGAACGTGCAGGCTCCAAACACCTGTGAGAAATAATCTACCAAAAGAAGAAAAACAGGAACGTAGGAGGGCGACGAGGACATAAAAAAAAGGTTGAAAAAGTTGAGTGCATATCCCGTTTAGGGGTGAGCAAGAAGGAGAGAAGAAAACCGGTCTGTCTGGTCCTTGATTCGTACAGTATAAGCCTTGGTCCCTCTAATATTTTCTCTCTTTGTGTATTTTCATCTATCCACCGTGCATGGTATCATCTTCCGAAGGTGTATAATCATATACACCAACAAGAAAATCATTTTTTTTCTCTCTCTCCACTCCAATACTCTGCGATGCTCAAGGATTTTTTTTCATGTTTAATACCATATGAATTTAATAAGATAAAAATTATATAATAGACTAGGACTCATGATTGATTAGTGTAGTGAATTTTTCTATGGGAATCCTATTTTAGATTTATGTAACAAACTACTTCACAACTTATTCATTCCCTTTTTTTTTATTTATAATATTCCTAACAGTAGTTTTATTCTACCTTAAAAGTCTTTGGAATACCAGATAATACTCCCACTGTAACTTTATAAGTGATGGATTATTTTGAATGAACAAATGATTATTTTATTTTTTTTCTCCAATTTTATTCAATTGTCATAAAAAAGAAAAAAATTGATGAGAAAAAAAACTGCAAACTTTCTGATATTTTTCAGTATGACGTTCTATTTCTTCCTAGTCTTTGTTCAGATTTTACAGTCTTCAAAGTTGGCTCAGTGATTTCGTTTTCCAAACAAACATCAAAATTTCCGGTACACTTCCTTCTAAAACTACTCAATCTAAAACTTGATTTTAAATTTTTATTTTTACTTGATAATTATAACCACATCAAAGATGTCTTGAAAACAAAATTATCATTTGCCAATTTTTTTTTTGTTTTTTGTTTCACAGTTGTTGGATATTTTTTTTTTTACCAAGTGAAATCAAGTAAAATAGTAATCTTATGTTGTGATGAAAAATATACGAAAGAAATCTGTACATAAAAAAGTGAATTTACGTAAGTTGTTTCCTCAAATCCAACCAAGCTAGATAACAGCTAGACGATTGCCTGATTTCATATTTATCAGAGTGTTTATATTTTTCCATAAAATTTAATTTTATATTTATGTAACTCACAATTTAAAGTTATTTATTTGTAATGGAAAAAACAATTTTTCACGCGATATCTTGAGCCAACGAAATAACAGGCAGAGAAGGCAAAGTACCAGCTAACAATGAGTTAACAAAGCGAAAACGAATCGAGAGAAAGTGGTGTCCTACTTTCGCATCAAACTACACTACAAGTGGGTGCAGTGGTGGTACTGTCATGCCACATATTCTGTACATAATATGTACGTGTGTACATGTTTATATCATGCTATATCTAAGTAAATACACTACTAGTATAATTCACAAATACTTCAAAGAAGTAAGAATAAAAAAAAATAGATTAAGATATTTGTGTACACAAAGCAAATCATCGTCGTCAATTCCTTTATGTAATTGACCATTTGATGACATCGTGAACACGTCAAAGAATTATTATATGACTCATGGTATTCGTATATAAATTAATCATTGTGACAATTAATCACAACTTCATACATTGTATTTTGAAATAATGAATTGAAATTAAAATTCATATCTATTAAATCTTTACATACACATTTTCATTCATTTTATTGTGTACAATTGATTAAAACAGTGTAAGAACTTTGGCGATTGAATTTTATGTAAAAAGAAAAAAAAATTCGACCAACAGACTTGAAGATGAGCAATAAAAAATGATGAATCAGAAATAAAAAATATCTAAAACTTTGAAATCAATTTTTTTTAGAATGATTTCTTTTTTTTTTCTTAGGCACAGATGTGTTTGATTAAAAAATTACAAAAAAAAAAAGAAAAATTTATATATCTTTTGTATATAAAAGTTGTTCATCCATCAGTCTGCTTAGCTTTGAATTTACAAGAAATTATTTCAACAGTTACATTACAAAGAATATTGCCAAATATTTTGTAAATGTAGAGTGATCGAAGTGAAAGAGATTATTTAAATAAAATGGCACTTAGGCATATAAAAAAATTAAAAACTTTGTAAAAAAGAAATTTTTTTACACATAAATGAAGACAAATTTTTGTATTCTTTAATGAAAGATCTTTTTCACTTCGATCTTTTTACAAATATAATATGAAAAATAGCATTGAACATATTTTATAACAAATTTTACTTAATGAAAATTCACTGCAAGCGATAAAATTACAAATATGTTTTTTTTTTGTTTTTTATACGAAAATTTGTTGCTACAAAAACGATGTAAAATCATGTGTAAGTACACGCATGAAAATGGAATTATTTAAATTCGTGGTGTCTTATGGACGGTATCACGGACTGAATTACAATTACACTTAAATTTTATATACTTGTGACTTTTTACAAGTATACTTTTTTGCATATCAGTTTTCTGCTTATTTTGATTGTTTACAATGTTAATAAATAATGACCATTTTTTATATATTTATATTTATAATATATATATATATAATCCATAAACAATTGATTAAATTAATAAATCTTTTAATTGACAATCCATTGGAGAACACTAGTGTCACCTCCTCCACTAGAAACTAGACGTGTGTCATCCTGAAGGAATGCAACATTGGTTACATGGCTTGAATGACCTCCGTAGACATATGAAAGAGACTGTAAATAATGGAGAATACATTTTAATCAAATGGATTTTAATTCAACAAACGTTGTTGATGTAATAGAGGGAAGATGGGCTACAAAATTATGCTAAGTTTTATACCAGAACAGGATCTTCATAAATATGGAAAAGATTCCCTTTTAAAAAATGAGTTTTATAACAAAAAAATTTTTTTCAAATTCATTTTGTTATAAATTATGAATATTTATTGAACAATTATACTCTAAAAGCTGATATTTTTTCGTAATTCAAGTCATCATGACTTTTTGTGCTCACTGACTCCATCTTTCTCTATTTATCGTTACTTTCTATATCCAACTTACCTTTGGTTGGGATGCTGGATACGAAAATAGTTTGACTTTACCAAAGTCATCGCCAGTGGCAAGCAATTTACCATCACGGCTTCGTGCACAATTGTTCACATCGGTACCATCAGCACCTTCAGGCCATATACCGATTGTCTCGAATGATATAATACACGTGTGAGTGGCCCATTCAACATCACGTAGACTTGAAGATTGTGGAATTTGTCGACAAACACCAGGATTCCCTGCATTGTCATATGTAAATGATCAATAATTCATTCAAAAATTGCTCTTCAAAAATATTCCTATGTTAATGATAGTATAATTAATAAATAATTCACATTTTTCATTCTCCTATCATCAACAAAAGAGTCTTTTTCAAGAGACCTTTTTTTTTTCTTAAAAGTATCTACTTACAATACAGTAATTCATAGTCTCCACTATTGCTACGCAAATACTGGCTATCTGCAGACCAATCTAAATGCGTGACGAAGCTGGAATGTCCCTAGAGTAATAACAAAAATAATCATTATTATTCAGTTACGTTTTTTTTTTCTATTATCTGGTAAAAGTAATACTTACCATGCAGCGACCAACTCTGCTGTACTTTTTGGCGGACTCATTAACTTGATAAATATAAATACAATTGTCCCGAGATCCAAGAGCCAAGAGTGTTCCATCAGGAGAGTATTGTGCGACTTGAATAGCTTCAGAACCATCTGAATGATGAGTATAAAACTCTCGCGACTCGCTGTCAATGACAAGCCACTTGCCGGAGACACAACCTACTACCATGACATTACCATCAGGTGAAAAGCATACGCTTTGTGCCTGTTCTCCAATATCCTTGCTCCAGACAACTGAGTGACTCAGACTGTCCCACATCTGTAATAATCTGTCATGCCCAGCGGTTGCAAACTGTGGAAGTGTTGGATGAGCAGCGAGCCCCCAAACTTCTTCAGTATGACCTAGCATAGCTGGACAAAAGCCCATTTCTATGTCACCGACTAGGATACAATTTTTCGTGGTTCCAATTAACAATTGGGTTCCTCTGCCCTCTGATACCGTTCGGATTCCACCAAAGTGATCTTCTATTTGAACACCAACTCCAGTTGGAACAAGACTATTATCAAAATATATAATTTTCCCATCTTTTCCTCCTCCACTTACGATATTTCCATTCTTTAAAACACATATAGAAAATATTGCTCCTTCATGGACACTCTTTACTAATCTAACAATTGTATTTGTACCTAGAAAAAAGAATATTCATTGATTATTTTTAGAATCTCCAATGAATGATTCACTATTTAAATATTAAATTAAGTCTTTAGCTTTAGATTAAAATGTTTTCTATTAAAAAAGCATGATCTATTAGGATAATTGAATAATCAATACCTCTTGCCCAAACGATGATGTTGCCATTGCTATCACCAGTAAGCACATCTCCATTTTGATTAAATGCCAAACACGTGACATAACGTGGTTTCTCGCGACTCTCAAAGACTCCCATACGTTTATAAAGCATACCACCATTGTCAAGTGACCAGAATGAAACGTGTCCTTTGCCACAAGAGACTATCTGATTGCGTTCTAGCGGATGCCAGTCGGCGCACACGACCGTGTCGACTGAACACTGCAATTTCCATGAAAGAATACATTACTATCAAGTAGGAAAGACAACTCTCAAGTTTTATATCCTCAAGTTGTCTATTATATTCATGTTGCTTTAATCATTGTCATTAAAAAAACATTCGATGATAGATGCATAACTGTGCATATATATATATATATATATATATTTTTACATACCTTTGTCTCGGTAACTTTAGTACCACGTTCTCCTTTTTGCCAATCCCAAATTGAAATATTATGCTCTGAAGTCTCGTCTATTGCGCAAAGATAACTACCTCCATCAGCTTTCGAAAAAGATAAACAACAAATGGAACCGTCAAACTCTCCACTACCAATTACTGTCAATGTAGCCAAACTGACAGCATGCCAGATACGAATATGGGGCTGGAAAAAATCAATTAATCAGCCTATTGTATTGATTAAGAGTCTTTTAATCAAACTACTTGGATCTAATATTTTTCAAAGGAATTGGACCGTGAGTCTTTCTTGGATAATAATGTAGCAATCGTTATTTTAACGACATTCATTCATCAATGAACAAATACCCTTTCTAAACAATTCAATTACCTAGCATATTCTTTTTTTTTTTTTTTATCTTTATTATTACAAAAGTCAAGTATCAATAATCACCATCATATTATTTTTTTGCTATGAAATTATTTTTAGCAGAGTCATTGATGAATTATTTTTTTTTTTTTTATGAAATTTGTGCTACATTGTTCTGTCAAGATGATTAAAATGAGTTAAAAAAAATTTTTAAAGATGAATATTTGCATTCAAGCAAGATAGTACTGTTATTTTTTTGTATCAAGTCAGCCTGGTCCTCTTTTTTTTTAAAGAAATAAAATTATTAATTTATTAAAATGATTGATTTTACTTCTACTTTTTGCCTAAAGGGCCTTGATAGAGATCTTTATATCATCATATATATTTTTTTCTAGATTTTAACGAGCATATTTCAAATAGTAATTACCATCGATTCTCTTCGATCAGTTCCTGCTACTTGACCTGTTGCCACAACCATTTTATTGGGATGAATAGCAATACACTTGACATCATCAGTGTGTCCTAAATAATGCCTTTGGCTATGTTCTTCCATATTGTAAAGAATGACTACAGCTGCGACAAAATATACCATCTCCCCTGTAGGCAACAGGTGAAGATTACTTCTGCAGTCTCTTCCTCGGTATCCATAAACCCAGTCGAGCATTAATTTGTTCGGTGGTGGAGTATTGACTTTGTGTGGGTCATAAGAGTCTATTGACGTTGGTACATGGAGAATAATCGGCCTTCCTCGTAAATACATCCGCACACTATTCTCTGTCTCATTGTACTGCATGTTTCGAGTGCTATTGGCAAAATAAACAATACTAGATTTTAGAATAAGATTTATTGAAGATATACTTGACAGTGAGTTCACTTGAAATAATATTCTTAGTTTGCTTTTTGATAGGTTATATTTCTTTCATGAATTTTTATTTATAGAATTTAACCATTTATTTCTTTCAATGGAAACTTCCTTGGTAGCTATCATTGATAAAAACATAATTTTCTTTTTCAACTGAAAAATATTATTAGCTAGAATTCATTATGATTAATTAATTGGTTCTAGTAAATCAAGACATTCATTTTTGGTGTCATTATTTACATTTAATGATTAAGAACATTCAATCAATGATCCTATTTTTGCTGATGATCTTGGTTCTTGATCAACAAATCAGCAAAAATAGGGACATTGACTTCATCAAGTAGTCCAGTCTCTAAAATTGGATAAAATATTAAAACTTTCAGCTCTGACCCAATTATTGAATATAACTTCTGATGAAAAGTTAATCATTTTTTATTATATTATATAAATTATTGTAGACTTGGAAAATATAACTTGATAAAAACTATCAACAATTGCGTGCTGTTTTTTAAATCAATAAAAGTACATATTTTATAAATAATAGGTGAAGGTCATGTAAAATTTTAAATTTAATAAAACGCACTTTTGATTACTTCAAGAGAATATCTATATAATTTCTGAAACGAGAATGGTTATTTTAAATTTGGAAAGAATATTTTGGAGTTTAATATCTAAAGATGAGTGCAGAGATGAAATAAGAATATTGTATCAATTTTATAATCTTACCAGTTGGCAAAAAAATTTTGCATCAGCTCAGAATAATCTAAATGTAAATTATATACAAAATTTATATTTCCGTGCAATTTTCGTCTTGATATAATCTCGTGAAACTCACAAGTGTAACTGTTTTCACCTATCGTTTCAATTTAACATCTCCCACTCATTCAGTTCACAACGTCACTGACATTCATTTCTATCCAGTGTTGTTTTTTTCATTTTCATTACACTATTGCTTGAATGAGTCATGAGAACATATATACTCTATCGTTATATTCACTCCAACTAATTGAAAATAATATTTAGTTACACTTCACTTGACAGTTATTGTTGTTTTTGAGATTATTTTTAAACCTGAATAACTTGAGAACTCAAAAAAATTGGCAATATAGATATGGTGAGCTGAATATACATTAATTGAATAATTTATAATAAAATATTATCATTTAAATATTTCTAGAGGTAATAAAAAAAAATTATTAAAGCTCCAAAAATTCATAAACAATCTGGAATGTAATGTTGTTTAGCTATGAGAGTATCTCCAACAGTTTCATTTATATTTTATGGATGGATGAATGACCTGATGTATATAAGAGACAATAACAAACTGGAAATAATGAATCGTAAAAACTTCATTTCGATAATTAATAAATTTTGTTATGGGAATATTTTATGGGTAAATAGCTATAAAATAGTTAATGACATTTGCTAATGCATGGTATTAATTTTTTACCATAAAAGTATGGTTTTTTTTTCATTGATTTCATGAATAACAAATATAAAATATTACATCATCAAATCTTTAGTTAAATTGTTTATTTTTTAAGTAAAAACAATACTTTTATAAAAATAGTTAGATTTTTTTTCAAATGATAAACATCAACTAGAGCTATAAAACAGTTCATTTCCATAAATTACAAAACAATAATACCTTATTTATAGAAGATTGCTAACTTTAGAAGATTTCAATTGTTTTCTCACCTAACCCAATTGCCAGTTTTTTTTTTTTTTTTATAAATTCATTTCATTTGCATTCCATAGGCTGAAATGCAGAACACATAAGAAAGTCCGGAACTTGTTGAATAACATGAATTATAAAGAAAGTGAATCACTTTCTTTGGCAACGAAGCGCGTAAAAATAAGTTGATAATGTACAATATACACTTAACAATATATCAGCGTAAATAAAAATGAAAATGGTAGATATTTAGTGAGAGAGTAAAAATGAAATTATTTACCCGTGCTTGACGTTGTTGAGGATCTGAGGCTTGAAGAGGTTGAACAGTGATTTGGTTGATGTTGATAATCTATAAATTAACGATACAATGCAAAGGAATAGGCATGCGTGCAAAATTTAACAAAAAATAGGATTATATTTTTTAAATGGTTACAATAATTAATGCAAAGTAAATAAAATAAAAAAATGACAGGTTTATGATTGATTATAGATGCATGACTTGAACTAATTATTGGTCTTATAGTTTACCTTGAAGAAGTCAATTGTGAATTATTTGATGTGAATTGAGGTGAATGAGTAAAGTCGCCAGTTGATGACCAACGTTTAGCACGCCTTAAACTGCTCTGTGGAGCTCCATTAGTTCTAGTTGTTGGAGACCTGCAATAAAAAGTATTGATAAATAATTCATCTATTATGTTGAAAGACTTAAATGGATAAAATTGATGAAAGAAATACCTGGTACTTGGTAAAGGTGTAGCTCTAGGACTTGGAGATGGTACTGGTGAAACACTGCTGCTGCTTGGACTATCAGAATGAAGAGAACTGGTAGATTGATAATGAACAGACCGTCTGCAAAGTATATATACAAATATCAGTTTATATAATATTAAAAGACCAAGGTTGCTTTGATCATAAAATGTAAATAAAAAAAAAAACCTTTGAGGTAATTGAGAAGGTGCAGCATAGCTAATTGGTCTTTTAGAATTAACCGAGTCCCTGACATCCTGAGTTGAGCTTGATGACGATGAATTTCGTAAACAAGGCGAGGTGATAGTCTGTCTAGACCTAGCATCCTTATGAATTGAGTTCTGCACGCCTGGAATAAATATAGAACCAGTTACTTAGCTGTCTTAATATCAAATGGGATGTTAAATTGACAGTAAATGTGAAATGTAAGAGCATAAATGATCCACGATGTATATAATAGCAACAATAACGTGCACGAATGTATTTTCCCATCGGGTATCATCATTACCAACTTCTTCCCCTTGAACTCAGATGACCTTGCAGGATTTCCTAGCTCATATATATTACTATGATGATGATGTACAAGTCAAGGTGTAAGTTTCGTTATTGTTCAAGTTCAAATACCATGCACAGGAAAATTATTAACCGGTCACGCTCATGCAGGTAATAATTCCATTTATTCCAAGATCTGGAATATTTAGGACACTTGTTGGTAAGCTTATTTAAGTGATATCGCTTCGAGGCACGATTTCTATTTAATCTACAAATATAACATTTCATGTTTATTAGCTTGCTTCATATCCTGACATATTAATTGTCTTATTGAATAATAACTAAAAGCATTTAGCAAGAATAGACTGTGACATTTTTATTCCACTTTTATTCAAATTGATTAATGTTGGGAAACCATTTGCTGATTGAGAAATAATTTTTTTTATTTTGCTATTTATATTCAACTGGATGAACTTTGATGGAGTTGAATGATGAGCACATCTTAGAGTGGTGGTTGATGCATCAGTGAATGAAATTGAAAATAATGATTTTAAAAATTTCCTGTGAAGCACAGGGTGAAAAATGTTGGTGTGAGATAATCCATGTCAACATGAAGGTACATTGTACCAAGTAAAATTGAATTAAAGGCTGGTATATTATTTTCTTCAAGTGCTTGTCACTTACTTCTCACAGATACATGGCCATTTCTCAAAGGCGACGACAAAAGTCGTTCATTTTTTTCCTCTTCTCGCTTCTCTTTGTTCTCCAACTGGGTGATACGTCGTAATGCGTCCGCCAAAGTTGCACGAAGACAAACTATCTCGTCCCTTTGTGCCAAGGACTGTCTCTCGAGGTCTGTTACCCTTCCAAGGAGAGATCCAGTCTCGCATTCCAACATTTCATCTGTAATTTTATTATTTTATCTTTCAGTTTATTACATTTTATTCTTATTCTAGTTAAACATTCTTAAAAACTATTATATAATACTACGTAACCAGATAGACTTATGCATAACACATCACCTGGGGTAAAATAGGATATTTTTTTTTGATAACAAAAAACTCTTTTTTTCAACAAAGTTTCACTTTTAAAAAATATTATGTGAGTAGAAAGCAAAATTTTTTCCTTTTTAAAATAATGATGTTGTTTGTAAGTTGATCACTAAATAATGTAGAAATAATCATTTACTGTGTTATTTTTAGTTCTGTTGAATTCTAATCATTACCATGCTGCCTTGTGCCGTGAATAATGAGTAAAAAAAAAAATGTTTTTGTGTATAAATGATGATAAATTGTCACAAACTTACTCCAAGCCTGTTCAGCTTCGCTGATTGTGTTCATCATCATGTCTGGTGTGGACATTCTGATTAGCTTTTGAAGCCTCAATGACCTCTCTCTCTCACTCTCTTTACATTAATAAACAATTTCCATTTTTACATAATGTATTATTATGATAACAGTTGACACATTAAATTTATTTTTAAATCTTTCATATTTTTTAACCTTTAAATTCATTATATTACAAATATAAAATTATTTCGATTTATTGTATCGTCTTTACGTGTTATCAAATAGGAAAAAATTGACAAAAAAGACTCCATTGATAATGTTTTCATTTTGTGCATGTTTTTTTTTTGCTTTTTTACTTTAGTAATATAAGAAATATGATATATTTTATTGTGATAAAGAAAAATATCTGTTGTTATTGTTATGATGATATTTATTGTTATTATTCACTAAAAAAATAGATAAATTGTGTGAGTTTAATCGGCTGTACACACATGATACTGCACACGTGTATTTTCGTTATGAAAGTTCTAGTGCTACTGTCAGAGTAACTTACAATCCAGTTGCTTAGGCACGATCAATAATCGTATAGTATAGATAGTCGAGATTGTTCAGATGACGTGCTGTTACCTCACCCAACTATAGATAAATAATCTCTAAATTACCAATTAAATTATCTCTCTGTTTTGTATTACCCTGTTACTACACTACATAACAATCATGTTAATACGTAATTGACTATGAAATTTTTTAAACGATTCTTTTACTGAATGTTTCAATTATCAACATTGGTATATTACTTTGTTGCTCATTCAAAGAGATAGTTAGCTTTTGAAAGTTGTGTTTTTTTCTCCTTAGAAAAAATAATAGATTTTAAATAAATATTTTTTTGATAACAATAGTAGTAATTAGTTTTTAAAGATGATAATAAATATTGATAGATAATTGGATACAATTGACTTATTCTTATTTTTTTAATGATTGAAAAGTTATTAATGAAATTTGGATGGTAATTTTGTTTTTAATTAAATTGTTATAAATATAGAATATATAAAGAATAAATTGAGATTCATTTTTGTTCAGAGAATCTAACAATATCATTACTTTTTGTAAAGATTCTGAGAGAACAATTTTCTTTGTATAAAAAACTGTGATTTTAATCAGTAAAAATAGTTTAAAATATTTGGGATAAAAAATATGATTGAATTTAATGAAATTTTGACATTTAGTTCAAAATTATGAGAAGTTTGTGAAATACAAGTGTGATTTAATTAATTCTTATTTTCTTGGACACCATGGATCTTAAAACCAAAAAAATAAAACATTAAAATAAACTAATGCTCAGATAATTATAATTAAAATAATCAAGCACAATTAAAATATACCAATTTAGAATTTTGATTTTATTAGTTGAAAAAAAAATTAAATAGATCGTTAAATGTAAACAAACAATATATTGTTCAACAATTAATTAATTAATATGATCAAAAAAATTGTTTGATTGTTAAACAATTAATTGATTTATATGATTAAAAAAAAACAATACTTTGTTTGAAAAAAAAATTGTTGATTAATCTAATGAATTTTTTTTATTAAAAAAAACAATTTAAAATGTTGATTTCATTAGTTGAAAAAAATATTAAATATATTGTTAAATATAAACAACCAATATATTGTTCAACAATTAATTAATTAATATGATTAAAAAAATTGTTTGATTGTTAAACAATTAATTGATTTATATGATTACAAAAAAAACAATACTTTGAAAAAAAAATTGTTGATTAATCTAATGAATTTTTTTTTATTAAAAAAAACAATTCAAAATGTTGATTTCATTAGTTGAAAAAAATATTAAATATATTGTTAAATGTAAACAAACAATATATTGTTCAACAATTAATTGATTAAAAATATTGTTTAGTCATGAAATAATTAATTTTCTTAATTTTATATATTTATTGGTTTATACGATTGAAAATAAAAGAAACAATACTTTGTTTGTTTAAAAAAAAATTTGTCAATTGATCTAATGAATTTTTTTTAATAAAAAATAATTTAAACTTTGTACTTGGAAATTTTTTTATGTATTTGTCCAATGTTCAATGAATGTAGTCCAGAGTGCATTCACATGTAGAGTTTTTACTGTCCAAGTATTTGCCTTTCATTTACACGTTAAAAATACTTGAGTTATTGATTATAATGTATCGACTGGCAATTTACTAAATTGCTAAAATTTAAGCATCGATTTTTACACGAAATTCGCCATTTCATTGACGATCCTTTAACACTAACATTGAAATATCTGTAACGGAAGTACGGACAATAGTCAATTTCCGGTAGAGCCCAGTCGTTTGTTTGAATATACGAGGGGTCATCAGTTGTAAATTTAGAACAATAAAGTATGTCTCGCAGTGAAAATAAAAGTTTGGCCTTTGTAATCCATTTACAGGTGCACATGTCTGTAGCATATTAACTCATTACTCAAGTGTCTATATATATTTCTAAAATACACCTGTACCCTTTAATATGACTTTGCATATTCGAGTTAAAATTTATTCTCAAGATAATTGGCCTTTACTAACCTCAAATTACCTCCAATTTTTTTCATCCCATTGTGGATTTGTTATTAGGTTTTTTTCCATGCAAAAAATATTTAGGATTATTTTGCAAAGTGTTAGACACATTATAAAATAAAGATTAATATTAAAAGTGCCCTCATAATTGTAGAATAAATAATTTTTTAGCGAAGGGCCCTTGACAAGTATACCCACCATGACACCTCGGAATCCACTAAAGCTAAAATCATTTATTCTACGATTATTAATACACTTATACTATTAATCTTTGTTTTACAATATATTTACCACTTTCTTAAATATTCCTAAATAATTTTGACACAGAAAAATTCAATAAAAACTGCACAATTTAACGCGAAAAATTTGAGGTGATTTGAGGTTAGTAAATCCCAGCTTTAGGATAATTAGGCTTTTATCATCAATTTATTTTTCACTCATTATTTTTTATCATTTTATTAAGCCTCAAGTGTTAGAGATATCGTAACACATTAAATATAAATATTTTTTTAATTAATCAATCAATGATTTATTCATTATACTAGTGCATTAAATAAATATAAATAAAGTTGAAGTGAAATTATTATTTTTCTTTAGAATAAATAAAAAATAATATTCTTGTACTAAATTAGTATGTTTTATGATCGAAAACAAGTTTTAATATTTTTGTATCGGTTCTAATTTCCGTGTTTTCGATTGGATAATGATAAATGGCTTACCCATTTCCCCACATGAAAGTTGCTGACGATCGTTTACGTGCATCGTCCTTCACAATTATTCTTATTCATAGTTTATACGGTTGCAAGTCACTACCTGGAATTAATATAACAAAAAAAAAATAAATTTTTATCACAACTTCAACTTATATCTCCAATAATTAACTACATTTAAATGCTTAAATATTATCCTTTCATTTTTTTTTTTAATCCAATAAAAACTTTATCATTTCCTGTTGCTAAATCAACTCCTTTATTTCAACATAATAAAATTTTTTAATCATTATTTTTAACTAAAGTAAAATTAAATTAAAAACTTTTATTTAAAACAATAATTTATTAATTAATTTCATTGAAATAAAAAAGAAGGAAGGAAGATAAAATATTTTTAAGAATTAAATAAAATATTTTAATAAAAATAAAACAAATATCTGATTATTATGATAACTTGAGCAAAATATATCAGATGACAAAATGTTTTTGAGTTACTTGATCGAAAGAACACAACAGTAATTACACCAGGGTAAAAGCAGTAAGCATTGACCTAGTATGAACATTACCTTATCCGTTTAAAGTCAGTCACCACTAAGTTTAGTTTACATATTTGTTGTTAAATCCTTAAGAAGACTTTTATTGCCTCACTATAAGGATTTACCTTTCGATCATACATATTTATAGATTAAAAAGTATTCCACTTTCATATGTATTGTAAATAGAATTATAAATATAGTTATAGATGTGTGTGTGTGTGTGTGTGTATGTAGTTCAATGAAATTGACAAATTCTTCGTACATATAACTCATTATTTACTCTCTATGTATTCGTCATTACTACTGAATAAGAAACAGCCAGGAAGGTCACTCAACTGCAACAACACACAAACGTGAGGAATAGCATTTGCATGAATCGCAGAGGCGTAGCAATTGCAAGAGAATGTCTCACGTGCTAAATTTTTTTCTACAGTAAATACGTAAGAATTTTCCGGTTTATTTACATATCTGTTTGTTACTTTAATTATGTTATTAGAACTTTAGTCAAGTTTGTAATTTTTGGTACATCTCATCTCTCAATTTTTACAAGTCTTCATTTTCGAATTTTTTTTTTTTTTTGGAACTGATAAGAGATAAGGAACTCTTTAAATGTCGATAATAATAGGAATACATGTAATTTACTTGATAGATAGTTGACATGTAAAAATCCAAGTTACGATGTGCAAATATTTGTTATGATAAAATTAAATCAATTTTTTAATTTAATTGTTTCCATTATTTTATCATTTTTAGATAATTTTTTTCTAGGAATTTTTATTATTTTTGAGTTTTTAATTAATTATAATAATTATTTAAATTAAATAAGTTATAAATAGATAATAAGAAATTATGTGTAGACATAATGTTGTTTGTAAAAAAAAAAAAAAATTAGAATCTAAAAATTTAAAAGGAATAACTTTCATTTCTGTTTTGGACATTTGATTAATTATTTTTTATCTTCCTAAGAATTTTATTCATTAAAAAATCTTTCTGTTGTGATATAAGTCTCATTATACAATCGACATTATTATTATGTACCATGAGAGAAGTGAAGTAATTAATTTTTTTCAATGAAATCAAAAGTTATAAACACTTATCATTTTTTTTAATAATTATTACCATCAATTCCCAACAAATAATTATTTTTAATTATTTATCTACTAAATAAATAATTAAAAATAAAACCCAAAAATATTTAAAAAAAAAAAGGTAAATAAATAAATAAATATTTTTAACTATCACTAATTTAAATACTTAATTATTTCTAAATTTAATGATTCCCCCAAGATTACTTCATTAAAAAGTTGTAATTCAATTCCGACAATTAATTACTTTAATTACCTTCATTCATTAATATCCAATGTCCTACAATATCAAAGTGAATTTTATTGCTGTTAAATTTTGAGAAAAAAATAAGTAGAGCTTTCGCCAAAACAATAACATAAACAACGAGAATTTATTAGTCTGATAAAACACATTGAAAGATCTTGGAAATATTATTAAGGCAATTTAATATAATACAATATGATGCTAAAGGCATTCCTTATACGCGTGATTGTAGGATAAAAATAGGCTCATTATTGTCATCGTGACGACAAGTAACTGCGGAATGTAAAGAGAGAATTAGAGAAGGAAGAAAAGAAGAAGATGAACAAATAGGATTCTTATATGAATATATACATGTATACATTTATTCGTATATACTTGGTGTATGGGTTGGATATAAAACTAAAGTCTCAACAAGCTGTATACAGTCATTGCCGTCACGGTTATCGCAATTCCGTGGGAACGAAACTTGGGAACTAAACGTGATCCCAAGACATGAAATAGATGCAAGGAGACATCTCTCCATTTTATCAATTCTTCACTTACTTTATCAATTATCATATATTAATTATTTATTACTTGAATAAATTCATCATTTTCATTATTATTCCACTACTTACTTAGTCAATATTCCAATAAGACTCTTAATTATATTTATTCATCTATTTACCTTTCAACAATTATTATAAATCGCTTGATTAATATCATCAATATAAAACACACTACACCTTTTGAACTATTTATCACTAAGTTTTGTGAATTTAAAATTAATTTTTAAAATTTTTTCAGGTGATATAATGGAAGATCTTGATGGCTATTGGTCGAGATTGATAAGTCACTGGGCAGAGAAAGCAGCGTCTATTGAAATATATTTGATAGATTATGCAAATAATTGGGATATGCGTATAACAAACCGTACAACTGAAGCTTCAACTAGGTACTGCTGTCGAGTGCTGCCGAGGACAACAGGTGAGTCTTGCCAGCAGTTTGGTTCAGTAACGAATGACTTTAAAGGAACCACTTAGTTTCATTTTTTTTAATCAGTTTTTTTTCTTCTCTCTTTCAGGTAAATACAAAAAAAAACTACTTTTGAATAATTATGTGATCAAGTTATGGAAATATCTTTTGTGATTGAAGATTGGTTTTATTAAGGAGTGTAATCTTTAGTTATTTACAATTTTAATTTTGCTAAATATTCCCATCGACAATCAGCAACATATTTGAATATTAAAATACCTCATACCGGCTTTTTTAAAGTTGAACAAAAAAAGTGTTGATTTTTTCCTTCTTTTCATCAACAATTATTTGATTTTAATGATAACATTCTATTGATTTTATTGTAAAAATATTTTTATATTAATTTATTATTATTATTCAATTGTTTAAATATCCTTCTAAGGATAGATTGAGTGTAAAAATGAAAGCCAGGGTATTTAAATGACTTAATACGTGGCTGAGAACTTTTACCTGTTGGCCACAAGCTTATATCCCTACTCTACAATCCAAGTCGGTGGATAAAAATTAAATGGCATGTCTCAGGTCTGAGTAAATAAATTATTTTCTTTAAATATGTCATTTCGGTATGTCACATTCTATATGTGAGTATGTTAATGAATAAAAAAAAGTGTTATAGTTATTATTATAAAAACAGTATATTAATTATGATAAATAATTGATTTGAAAAATATAAAGAGATATTTTGATGAGACATCTAGCGGTTCTGAACATGGTACATGCATATACAAAAGGATTATTATTACACATATGTTACATATGTTATGTGACACACATGGATGTTTTATCATATGATGTGGTCACATGCTGGTATACAGAGAAAGCGGGTTATTTAAAATAGATATGTTGATGAATATATTTAAATAGTTTATTCATTTTCGGTTGTTGTTATCAAATGATAGGCAAGATAATATTTTAATTGACATTCTTTATTGCTGCTACTGGAGTGGAAAATTATTATTAATGAATAAAATATTAATTAAGAGAAGAATAATTAATTGTCTAAGACTCAATAGATTTAGAATATTTATAAAGTTTTGAAAATATCTATTTTTTATTTAGTAAATCGATTAAGTACTATTTTGTTAAATTAGAGTTATTTTGACAGATAAAAATATTGTTAAATAATTTAGACTATTGATGAGTGTTATAAGAAAATTGTTAACGATTAGAAAGTGTATTAAAGAATTTTAGTATTAGAATTTCTGAATAAGAGTATCTGATTAATAAATTGATAAATAAAATGATAAATAAAATGATTACGTCAGTACAAGCTGCGGTGTCCGAGTGGTTAAGGAGTTGGACTCGAAATCCAATGGGCTATGCCCGCACAGGTTCGAATCCTGTCCGCAGCGGTTTTTTTTATCTTTAATTAAAAATATAATAATCAATAACGAGCTTTCTGTATTATATATTGTACTTATTATTCAAATCTTACTTTAATTTAAGTGAATAATTTCAATCAAATAAATCATGACTATATTTAAGAATACACTCTTTAATAAGTATTGATGTTTTATATATTTAAATAATAATATAATAGAAACAGAAAATAGGGAATATTAAATAAGGAAAAAGAATAAAATAAAATTAGACGAATAATGATTTATTTTTATTTATTGGAAAATTATTTGATGTTAAATTATTTTATTAAATATTATATATATTTTTTAAAATAGACATATTGTATTAATGACATCTTGATTAACTTTAATTACATTAATTGCTTTTTTTTTTTAATATTATCAATAAACATTATTTAACATTGTTAATAATCATTATTCAATGTAGAATAAAATAAATTCGTTGATTTTTATTTATGTAATTTTATCTGGAAGATGAAACAGCATTCTTGTTCTTGAGGATTCCACAATTTCCATTTAACGTCAAATGTTCTCTGAAAATGAAAGAAAAAAGAGACGTTATAAAATATTAATGATATTTATCACCGGATGTAGCAATTAAACAAATAAACTTTCATACTTTTGTACACTTATGATTTGCTACCATAAATTAATAGCTACTTTGTTATGCTTCTAATTATAAAAAAGTAGGGAATAATTATCTTAAATTATCATCTAACACGCAGTCAAGACAGGTTTAAGTGATTGCAATTAATCTGTCTGCTTCTACACTAGTAATTTATTACTTTAGTACTTGGATGTCATTTTATATCATTTTACATTTTATTGAATTATTACTATTGTTGATGTCATAAATCATCAACACATACTCATATTTATTCTGGTATGGAATAAGTTTTTTTTTTAAAGAAGGAAAAAAATAAAAAGTCTTACCGCTGGGTATGTTTTAGCGATTGGTAGAGTGATGGTATAAGTTTGTTTTTGCCCTGATTGAACTGGGCAAGTGGTAGTCGCGCAAGCGTTTGTTTCCATCCCGAGAAAGGGTAAATCGATCACTTGATTAGCCCAGTAAGCTCGGCTTTCCAAAGAATCCCCATGAAAGTCTGAATGAGGTAGATAAAAATAAATTATCTGTTGAATATTTATTCTAACATTTGAACACAAGAACATCATCTTTCATTGTCAAATGTTTCTTTTTTTTCTAACAAAAATTTAAATAATTCCTTCGATCAATTGGACAGCAAATAAGCTTTAATAATTCTGTGGTAATATATATTTTTTGTTAATTATCAAGACCACAATTAAGTACAGATTACTTGTTTCATTTTCATGAAACTTGTTTACATCTTTACATAAAAGCTTTTGTTCTGGACCTTACTCCAATAAAGTTGATAGAGTGATTTAAGTGAAAATTTTTCATTTAATTATATAATAAAGATTTATAATAAGAAGGTAAATTTAAAAAAATTAATAATGACGATAAAATTGATAAATAAAATATAGAAATAAATTGTTTTTGTAAGAAAGACTTGAAAAAGAATAATCATGAATAAGTTTTAATCACAGTAGTTATATAATTAATTATATAAGTTAGATATTTAATTGACATATTGAATTGTCATGAAAATATTTAAATATTAAAATAAATAATTATTAATTACAGTGGGAGTTAACATGTTGAAATGAAATTTTTGATAAATAAAAAAACATCTGGCATTAAAATGATGATAACTTGTGAGATTAATTATAAATAATAGATAATACTTACATGCAGTGTAATCAAAGGAAATGCTCGCATTTTCACCTCTCTTAATTCGACATGGTTTATGATGTTCAGCTTCTTTGCATGGATTTACACGAACTTCGTGAATTGTACAATTTATTTTCGTACCTAAAGTCAATTTTATTATAACATTAATGAAGAAATATTTGATAATAAAATGATAGGATTAAGAATTAAGAGAAATTAGAAATAGAGAATGAATTTTTTTTTTTAATTAATCAATTAATTTACCTTCAGGATAATGGCAATTTTGGTGATGCACAACTTCAGCTGTGGTGATAACAATTAATGTAAAGATGACAATCAAGCTTTTGGTATACATGATGTGTTGTCAATGTAAGCTTGGAGAACCGAATGAATCGAATTAAAAGCGAGACTCAGCTGAGACTCATATAGTCCACGCAATATTGACACATGAGTGGGAAAAAAATATTCATCTTAAATAAATGGATTTTTTTAAACCATCTCCAGGGATTTTTCCTAAATATGCTGGTATCATTCTCTAATTTAATTAGAAATCATTTAGACACTTTAAAAAGAAGCAGATGAATTTTTATTTTTTTTCCCCCCTATTTTCTTTAGCTCTAACGATTTTTTCTAACTACAGTTATCTTTTTTTTTGCATTCATGTGCTGCATATAAGCACGTGCTTAATGAACAGTAGAAAAATGAAGGGTTATAGGGAGGAAAAAAATTTTTTTTCTAAGCAATTTATAATGAACAGTTCTCCAGAAGATATGTAAAAAAAATTACAACTTGTTGGATCCAGTTTCCTATAATCTTTTTCAAAAGGTTTAAAAAGCTTTGGAAAATTTTTAAATTCATTTATCTCAATGCATTAACAATTTTTTTTTTACCAACGAAAGTGGTCCACAAAAAACAACGTTGTTTTTTTTTTTGATGCAATTTTATTTTAAAACTCTTAACCAGGTTATCTGATGGTGACCTGTACTACACAGTATTCAGGGTAAATTTCTGAATAAGATTGCATAGAGAAATTTGATACGAGAATTTTTTTTCCATCCATCGCCAGTATAGCCCGAACTAATAAGATAAACGAACGCTGACCGAAGAGGAGCATAGGTCAATTGAGATAGAATCTTTTTTATTAAACCTAAGAGTCTTTTAATAATATAAAATACACGTACCATTTATATGTGAAATATCTAATTTCTATATTCTTCAAATTTATATATATCCAGATGATGATTAAGTATTTCTAGCTTTACTTACAACACATTATGTATCCAGCACTATTGAAGCAAAAAAGAGCCATAAATATTCATACATGGGAATCCTAACTAAACTTTCAGATGTATTTATTGACAATTATTCATGTTGGTTATGACTAGTTGAATGATCATATTGTTTTCATAGTATAATTATTGCAGTTAGTAATTTCTAGAATAATTATTTGTGCTACAAAATTATTAATTACCACAAATATTGATGATAGAAGTTGGATTTAATCTTTTTTAAATTATCAAAACTAAACTTGATCAAATTTTTTCTTATCCAATACTTCAATTATTGATTAATAACATAATTAAACATTGTTCTAAACCAATAAAGTTATTTATTTATTAATTAAATATTTTATTATAATTATTTAATCAAATACTTTGAAATTATGGATAAAAGTTCTCCATAAGAATGTCAATAAAATACCTATATGGATCCATGTCTTAGGAAAACTCATTCATCATTTTGTGATATATTTTTCAAAATGCATCCAATTATAGGTAAAACACATCTCAACTGCTCATGATAGCTAAATGAGATTAATACATAAATAATCAAACTTCATAAAGATATTACATAAATTCAATAACCAAGTTGATTGATAAATTTCCCCCATGAGGAAAACTATTATTGAAGGTAAGAAGATGATGAATCACCGAAAATATTAATGTGTCCCTTGGTCATGTGTCGGCCAATCAAAGGCTTAACTGCTGGATAGTAGAGGCTGCTAGAAAAATAATTGGCTACAATTGTTAAATTGTGTATTTCCTGTTAAAACTGGTCCAACTAAACTACTTGTAGACAGACACGAGATCGCATGATTAACCAAAAATTACATGAAACTCGATGACATTTGTTATTTATATTTCATAATATCATATATCCACGTGGATTCGTTCATCAGCACAAGAGATATTGCGTTAGTTTGATAATCATTTTACAAACAACCACATCAAGTGAATCATGGAATATCAAAGGTCATCAAAACAGATAGTGTTTCTAAGCATTGAACTAGGACCACTTTTTTTTTTACGCATTTGATATTACGATTTATCAAAGTCCACTAAATCATTGAAAGATTTCATGAAAAGCAATCAATTTGAGAGGATTATTAGTAATTATTGAATTTAGTTGAAAAAAGTTTTGAAAAATGTATAGCATTTATATTGTTGTAATTAATCGAACAATTAATCATTTTGTTAGAATTACTTTTATACATTATTTTTTTATATATTATTTTAAATAGGTCATTGTTTTTATTGAGTTCATTTTTAACTTTCCATCTTAATAAATGAACGGTATTCAGAACCCGTCAATCACATCTCAATCATTCACTCTAAATTAAAACAAAACTACATGACGTTATTATTTTTTTTTATATAAAAAACAATTATAAGATATTGTTTAATAATTTTTTTTTAAATTTAAGAGTTGAAAAAGATGAAATTATAATGATGATTTTATAAAGACTTGTAGAAAAGAAAAGTTAAAAATTTTACTTTTCACTCTTTTTTCTTTGAGAGATTGAAAAATCCTTTAATTTTTCATAATTTTTGACAGTTTGAAACTCTTAGGAAAAAGAAATTGCCTCAACTTCCTTCTTTAAAAGCTAACTTACGGTAGTTTAAACTAAAGAGAAACTTAAATACCCTAATGGTTTTGCTTTCAAAAAAAAAAAAAAAAAGAAATAGTGAGTTAAAAACGAAAAAGTAAATTTTCATTTATTTATCTTATTTTTAAAAAAATAGTCAAAACTTTTTAAAAGTAAAAGTAGATTCGAGCATATTATTATTTAAAAGCTAACAAATTCTGAAGGTTTATAATAATTAACATATTAATAAACAAAAATAAAAATCTAACTCATTAAAAAATAATTAATTGACACAAAACTAACTGTAAAAACTTCTTTAATTAAATACGTACAATTAAATAACAATTAAGTACATACTGGTATTACTAATAATAATAATAAATGCATAAATCAATAATAATAATAACAAGGTTTGATAGCTGTATTTTCTAGGATTAAATGTAAAAAAAAAAAAAAAGATGAACTTGAATGATGATAAGAAAAACAAATGAGAAACCGAAAGAAGCTTTTCCTTAGCTTTTGCATAAAAATCAACAATATGTTTTCTTTGGTACCTGATGTATGTTTTTTAAAAAAAAAAAAAAGATTCAATTACTCCACATTGTTTTTGCCTCTATTTTAAATATTACATAAAGTAGAATGAAATACACATTTGTATATTATAATACAAAAACAAGTTGTTCGGTAACTCTTTGGCAGGCGATACGTATATGTATTATTATTTTAAATGTTTTTTTTTTTATCCATCAGCATCAACATTCGTGATTGACAAACGTTCTCATCGCATTTCCTATCATATTTATTTCGTATAAATATAGATATTTGTACTTGAATAATCGATATTAGAATAAAATTCTTATTAATATAATGTACACTTTGATTAATTGTCAATTAATACTGAATAATTTTGAATGATTTGGTGTACGATATGAAATTGTTCATTAACTCGATAGCAATCTTTATTATTTAATGGATTGTCATATTATTCTAGTAGAAATTTTCGTAATATTTTTTGATTTAATTAAAACGCTGGTAGAGTACCATGACCACTCAATTAACTGAAAATTGCTCTTCCAACATACTCTATGCAAGGGAATTGTTATAATTTCATAAGTACTCAATACAACTTTTAAATGATTTTTAATAGAAATTAAATTGCCATTCAGTTTCAGTGATTTTATTTTATAAATTTATCATTATTAATCCTGAGCAATATTAATTTTCTCAACAAGCTTTGTACCAACTGGTAACATAACTATTTTAATCTAGATCTTGAAGTTTGTCTTGTTAGACTCTTATTGTTGTTTCAATTAAATTTCTACTAGACTTATTATTATAATTTTTTTTTTATAATTATTATTATTATTACGACTATAAGTATTAATTTTTTTCTGATAAAAAATGATTTTTAATAATATTATACTACATAAATTGGATCCTTGCAAACGGATATTCGAGCTTCTTGAAGAATCCTCAGTCTGGGTCCTAAAGGTATTCCCATTTTCTGTAGCCTTTCTTCACTTAAGTAAGGTAATTCTACCATTCCAACTTTTTCCTTCTCGAACGCCGCAGCATATTTCTGTTGGTAGTAATAAAAAAAAGATTATTGCACGATCGATAAAGCTGTTCTTCGTCCCCTAAACCTAGTATTATAAGAACGATTTAGTTTTTTTCAAGTTAACCCTGCTGATTACCTGAATAAATCGGATTTAGTAAAAAAAAAAGTCTAATCTAAGCAATAATATTTTTAAAACAACCTATTTGAAGCATTTTTTAAAATAAAAGAGAACAAAGGTTAACATATTTTATTTTTAAAAGACCATAACTTTAATAAATTTGATCTAAAAAAACCCCTTTCTAATCAACTAATTTATCTTCTTTTATTAACTAAAAGTTCTTTAATATAATGTTTTATCTATCTAACCACAACAATAAATGTCACAATTATTTTTCATTTCCTGCTCTATACTGAGCCTTGTTTAGAAACTTATATTATTCAAGGAAGTGACTTCCTCTTTTCCAACCCCAGATTTACTAGAAATTATATTGAAATAAAAAAGGTATTTTAAATGCAATAAATGAAAGAAAAAGAAGTTACCTCATAGCCGAGTTCTCGAAGAAATAACCGGATGAGAGGTGGCTCAGTGCCAAAAAATTTCGTGAGTTTTTTTACTCTTGATGGATTGGAGAGTGCAGGCAACTCAGCGTCTTTTATCAATGGCTGTGACTGTGATCTTACCATTACCATGTTGGTTTGCGTTCTTAAAGCAGAAATTTCACCTCTAATATTTTCCATTTCTTGTATCATCAAATGTTGAGTTCTCATTTCTGAGGAGAGATGAGCTACAGACCGGGCTAAAGTAACAACGTGCGATTCAAGTCGTTGGAAACGTTTATTGATACTCTTGACGTCTTTTGCTTTCTTTATTCTTTCATCAATAGCATGAGATCTCCTTTTGTCATGATGCCTTGCAATTGGTCTGGAGGAAACTGACGAAGTAGGAAGGGAAGATACTGAACCATAACTTGTTAGTCCTCGAGTCTTCCTTCGTTTCTTAACACTTCCGCCCAGTAATTTTAAAACCTACATATGCCAATAGAATTATTTTTCAAGTACTTTGATATTAAATACACATATTTATCAAAATTTTCATTACTCAAAGTGCACTTACTTCACTATACATATTCTCCAATCCTTCAAGCTGTTTTCTTATTGTTCTTGCATCATTCCCGTTTGTGCTTAAATCAGAATCACTTCTGTCTAACATCGAATCTAAATCTAATCCAGTTGTCGTTGAAGTTAGGTCCGCTGCTTCAACACCAAAAACTAAATTCAAACATTTTATCATTATTATTATTATTGGTGTTATCTGTTCACTGTTGATGCTGGTTATCAGCAAAGGGAAGATAGGAGAAACCGATAAAGAAGTAGGTTAACTTGGGGGAAATATAGCACAGTTAGCTTTGAACTTAAATATCTCAAATTTCAAGCCAATGCTTTTGAAGATTTTACCAATTTGCTAAATCGATTATTATTTATTGGTTAGTTGGTAAAAAAAAAACAATGAAAAATTTAACATACCACATCTAGGATGTTATTAAATATCGAATAAAAATTATTAAAAAGGTAAAGGAATGTTGAAATTATGTCATGTCATCACAAAAGATAATTTATGAGCTAAGGAATATTGATTTAAATTGAATAATCGAATAAAATATTCCCCTGAATCACCCTTTATAATTAAAAGCAAAATAGGCTAGTAGAATATAATTACATGTAGGCATTTTAAAATATCAACATATCTATAATAATCTTCAGGTAATGATTCTTATTAAATATTTATATATAAGTGAATAGATAGTTGAATTATTTATTAAGAATAGTATATCATTAGAAGAATAATTACTATTGGTTTATTAATAATTTTTCCACCAATATTACCAGCACACTAGGTTATCCAAACTTATCTAATGTTCTTTATTATTTAATTTTTAAAGATTCATTAGATAATTATCAAAGCTGAGTATCAAATAATATTTATTATATGTTACATTTTTATTTAGAATTGTCTATTAATAGATATTATTTCGTTATTTAGCAAGCTAGCATTTTAGTAGAGGGTTGGATACTAGAAGAAAATAGCTAAGGAAATAAATAAATACATACGATGAGAGAATTTTTTAGACTGAGAGTCTTTCTTCATTGTTGAAGATGTGGCTCGATGTTTGATGCTACTTTGGAAGTTTCTCTTGTCATTGCTTTTGCCATATTCATTGTAAGTAGGTTTTGCTCCATATGGTAAACTGATGAAAGAACAAAGACATACAGTAATTAAATATCCCAAATAAAATACATAAATTGTATTTAAACTGATAGAAATGGTATCTTTAATTACAAACCTGGATGAGTATCGATTTCTAGGAGTTCTTGGACTTCCATGTGGTGAAAGGGGTGGTAATGGTGGTGTCACTGATGACACACTTTCCGAAAGAGTGGAATGAGCCATTGCTGAAATATCTCTTGAGGGTTCCAAAATACTTCTTAGCTCAGACTCGACGATATCTACCCATTCAGTATCTCGAGCTAATTATACAAAATTACCAAGTTATTTTTATAGTTTAAATATCATCATAATTATTAACACTAGTATTTTGACTTTAGATGTTTGAAAGACCCATTTTTATAAAATAATAAATAATTATGAAGATCAATGCTATCAATGCTAGAAAAAAATATCAACCATTTTAATTTATATAATTTTCATTATTTATTATTTCACTGATAATTTGCAATAAAATATTCATTCGATATATCATTATACCCACATCATAGACATGATGTGTTCCAGTTCCACAGAAAGAACAGCACTGGTGAACTTGTATTCAAGATATTTTCAGGATGAAAAATCTCAATAATTACGTGGTGATTATAATTCTTTTTAATTTAATACTTGTTGGTTTTTGTTCGATTCTGAATATTACTACAAACAGATTTGAAGTTTATCATGACATAATGGTAATTTTTTTAATCATTGAACTTGGATTTGTTTTATAAATATACTTTTTCCTGCAGGAAGAATTATTCACCAAGTGTCATCCAGATTATCATAATGTAATATTCTATGATGATCGTCATCAGAATCATTACTTTCCTAGTGGAATACCTTCTCCTTCTTATATCAGATTAAATAGTACAACAAATTATAACTATAAACAAATAGAAAACATCCAAAAAACAACACAAATAGATGCAGTTATTATGACAATATATGGATCAGGTTTTGTTAAAGATTTTATAGTAACTTTGAAATCATTACAATTATTAGACATAGCGACTCCAATTTTTATATTCAGTATACGAAGAATTAGTTGTTTTAATCGGAAAATAATTTTGGAAATAGCTTGGTACTTTGAATTGTTATCAATATTTTTTATATGTGTTACAAATCCAGACAAAACTCCATTGATATACACTTTCAATCCATATTCATCTTATGCACCATCTAAATGGTTTCTACTAACTAAATATATTGAACCAAACAATCCTATTCGTTTTTTCAACAGGAGGTATGAAAAAGGTAATTTAATTAATTGATAAAATATTTTTTTAAGGTTATAATTAGATAAATAATAAACTTAATATCGTTGTTGCTAGAGTATTAAATAATGATATTAATTTTAAAATTATTTGAACATTTCCTTGATAAAAAAAATGACTAACAACAAACCACTGAACTTTTAGTAATTATTAGAGAATTAGAAAATAAACAAAATTTGATAATTTTCTTTTTTGGCATTTTATGTGCAGTCATAAAATGATGGTGTATTCATTTTAAATTTATATTATGTATAATAAAATATTTGCATTTCTTTATAGACAAAATATATATTAAAATAAGAGAAGTTTTTAAAATTCATAAAATTTAAAATATCAATAAATAAAATTTGATGTAATTTGATAATTTCAGAAATTTTCTGTTTTTGACAAAATTAAATTTAAGTATTTGAATATCATTTGAATGTGAGCTTAGCTTCAATTTTCACAGATATTTTTGAATATCTATTTTGCCTGGATCTTAATAATTTTTAGATGATTTGAATATTTCCTATTTGTTTTCAGGTAATTTATGTCAAGGATTCGATTTCGATCGCACCAGGTATATCAATAATACTATTACAATAAAACTTGGGATTGAATTAGATACTAAAATCCAAAATATAGACAGTAGATTGGAGTGGAGTTACTTTTCCCACAAATTACTAGTGGATGAAATTTTTCATGATAGGATTATTCTAAAATTACTTGAAGCATGTATGAAAACGGGCTATGAAGCGACTTTTATTAATTATAAAACTATAAAAAGACGAAAATATGATAGTTTATTGAAAGATGCTTATAATTTGAAAATTGATTTGATCCTGTTTAATGATGAGGTAGTAGGTTATCCAAATTTTACCATGTCATATCCCTTCAAAATTATGGAATATAAAATTGTTGCGTTAGAACGTGATTTTCAAAATTTATTTGAATATATTTATTATATACTAGGTTTGCCGATGTTTATAATGATGATAATTTTAATTGTTCTTACATTTTTAGTCGTTTGGCTTTCAAATAGAAAAAAAACCATCGCGTTTGCTTGTTTTGAGGTTATTCGACTTTTAATTGATGCATCTCTAGAAATACCAATGAATACCGCATCGTTGAAGATATTTTTTATGATAATTTTTTTTTATTTCATGTTCATTCAAACTTTATTTCAAGGAGAATTAGCTCGTTTTTTTACCAATCGACCACGTCATAAATTTCCAGATTCTACTGAAAAATTAGTAAGCCTTCAATATAAACACCTTCATTATCCTAGAGGTATTGCAGATTATATGAGGCAATTTAAAACTCCAAACAATCGTCATTGGAATCTTAATGGACAATTATCATGTTTTGAAGTTCTTAAAAAAAATGAAATGACTGCTTGCATTATTGAAAATAAATGGGCCCATATTTTAGCAATATTTCATATTAAAATATCACCAGTTGTTCATAGAAGTTATCAATTTTATATTGCACGTAATGATTCACCATTGAAACATCGTATAAACTACAGTTTTCTATTATTGTGGGAACTAGGATTTGCCAGTTTGATGTCAGATCAAGAAAATAACGTCCATATGGGTTTTATAGTCGGAAAAGCTGCAAGAGGTTATATTAAATGGAGACGTATTAAAAATCATAATTTTAAAGTAATGTATACATTTTTGGCAATTGGTTTATCTCTTGCTACTGTAAGTTTTTTCTTTGAATTAATTATACATAATCGCAAGAAAATTAAAAACAGTATTGTAAAAAAATTGAAAAAAAATCCGTCATGAAATTAAATGTGGTGAGAATAATATGAAATACAATGATGATACTTCAACCACTTGATCATATAGAGGAGGAAAAATACAGATTCTAATACAGCAATTATTTAAAGACAGATTAAAAAGTTATATTGCAAGCACCATTTTTTCCGTGTAGTTGATGTTGATTAATATCCTAAAGAGTCTATTTAATTTACAATTCTTTTTCAAGATCAGACATGAAAGGTCATTTTACAATTAAATCATATTCTTCATGATAATTCTGATTTTTAGAGTATGCAAATTATAGAAAAAGTATTGATGAGTGATTAAATAATGATGTTAATTTGTGCTTTATCCTAAGAACAATAGCTATGTTATTATTAAGCTAGATAAAATTTATTTATTATCTTTTGTATATCCATCAAGGATAAAATAATAATATTTCCACAGATACTTGATGTAAATGATAAAAAAATTATGCAAATGATTGATGATATAATCTATTTATGTGATTACCACCTATACCGATGTTTTATGCATACTTCTTGACTTCAATTAAAATTACCCTTCTTGGTTGAGCTACTTCTTTTTAATAAAAGTAATCATTCATGGCATGATTAACTTTCGTATATATATTATCAATAAAATATTTCACCCAGGCCCATTTTTTTTTTTAATCATTAATGACTATTTATTGTTAAATCAATTAAATGGTTTTTCTTTTAAAAATTATCTCATTAGATTGTTTTACCAACATTCACTGGCAAAGAAGACGAAGAAGTACAGAAAGCCAACTGTTCTAACTTTATCAATACTTCACATTCCATAGCTCACTAATCAATTTTAATATTAAATTAATGTTTATGACATTTTTAATTAAAATAAAAATTTATTCCATTAGTTCGTTAATCAGTTCCATGGAAAAAAAATCTGTCAAACCGCTTTAGAGTTTTATTCTCGGATATTTCCCTTATTTTTCAACCAATCATCTCCATCTTGTTTCATTTCATAGATTGCTATTGCACGAATCTTTTTCTTTAAATATTTTCTTATTTTATCTACTCATTCGCTTAAAACTAGTTCGCAAAGGTCTCTACACTTTGATATATCTATATTTTTCCGCTCGAGGCGTCTTGAACCAAAATTTATGTCAACACTTGATAAATTTGTATTTGATCTTCCCTTTCTAATCTACCCATTTCTCTAATTAGTGGAAATAATCAACATTATTTGTTATTTACCTTGCTGATGATTTTGATCTACTAAAGGCGGTCTTCTACCACTGGAATATACCGCGGAGCCTCTACCAGAATCTACATTACTGGAGCTTTGACCTGGTTTATCATAATCTGAACCTGAACCTTGATTTTGAATTTTCATTCTCGCCATTCTATGTTCCAGATCCTCTCTCTTGATTTCTTTACAATCTCGCGTTTGTTGATAATTTATTTCTTCCATTTTCTTAGTAATTTCGTGCACCTGGCCTACATTGGTCTTCTTATTATTAACATCAGCAGAATCTGATATCATTTCTTTAGACCTCTCATCCTTTTTTTCATCTTCAATTATCCTCCCACTACTTGGAGCTTTTAAATCTTTTTTTTCCAACGAATCCATATGTTCTTGATCTGATAGTTTCTGGACATGCAACTCTTTGTTGTTACTATCCAAGTACATCATCTCATCTTTACGATTATCAAGACTTGTGTCTGGTCTAAAGTCTTGATTCAATCTCTGATGATTTTCTTCCTGATTTTTATCAGACACAAACTCTTGGGTTATTCTTTCCTCCACTGTGATTTCATATTTTTCTGTTGCCAACAGCTCCATGCTGTTATTCTTTCCATCCTTGTTCTGATCACCGTAACATAGTTGAGGCTGTGAAACAGCCTTCTCGATAAATCTCTTATGCTGCAATTCGCTTTCTTGATTATTCTCCTGTTTAACATATACCTGAGGATTCTGTACCGAGTATCCAGGCCGACCTTTATTATAATGATAATACATTTCCTGTCCCATCATCCTAACAGTGTCAAGTGTCTGTCGAGATGTACTGGGAAGATCAATCTGCGACCTCGAGATAGTCTGACGGGCTTGCTGATACTGCTGATAAGACAATCCACTTGGAAACTGCTGCTGTTGCTGAGTCCTCATGGCAGTTCTTGGACTAGGTTGAGAGGCTCCGAGATGCTGCTGCTGTTGTTGTTGTTGTTGTTGTTGTTGCATCTGTTGAATCAACTGCCTTTGATGCATGTTCTGGACATGTTGATTGTGAGAAAACCGTGGACTTTGATGGATTAGCTGTTGAGATGCTGGATAATTTTGATTCAGGTTTGTCACTGGTTGCATTGGTAGTCCATGCTTACCAAGAGGAGGGTTTTGAAGTTGAGGTATCCCACTGTGAGTCTGAATAACATATTCATTTCGTCCGGGTATTTGTGGGTTATAGGGAGACACCTGCGTTTGATGGACTGTTTGAACGCCAGCTGGTGGGGTGATGTGACTGACATGAAGTTGAGCTGACTGTCCCGGAAGACTTGGTTGAATTGGTGTATTAGTTTGATGTTGACCTGGCAAAATAGCATTTTGCTGTGTCGAAGAGCTTTGATAGTATGTGTGATTGTATTGCTGGTTGTAAGTGTTGTTGGTAAAATGTTGTTGCTGTTGTTGTTGAAGCTTCATTGAAGTCACTTGAGTATCATGGCTTTTGGCTTTACCATAAATGCTTTCTTTCTTTTTTGCTTCATCCTCGTCAATACTCTTATTGGATTTTCTTAGTTCCTCTGTTACGTTGTTGAGGCTAACCTCAATCTCCGGCTCAATGTCCTTACGAGACGGGCCAAATCGACTGGAAATCATCTCTTTAATTGTGTGGTAAGTTTTCGACAAAGATTTTGAACGATCTTCTTCAGATTTTGGAATTCTTGGCACAGCTCCAGTTGAAACGGATCTGAATTTACCAAAGTCATTTGCTTTAAATTCCTCCTTTACTTATTTTATTTAATCAATAGAATTTATTGATCAAGTATAGATAATTATTGAATTCATTCTGGCATAAATAACTTACGAATAAATTTCTTGGTTTTGACCAACATGAGGATGACCATCCTGTCGTTGATCCACAACCTGGACTTGCAAGTTAGCCTGTAAAAATTTATTTACCGTCAAACTACTTATCAACATGCCGTTAACAATAATGATAATAATGATATGTAAAATAATAAATATACATGCAATCGTTTTCTAGGTAAGTGAATATATATTAAAAATGGTTAATGTTACAAGTCAGGAAAAAACTCAGGGTCTTTAACCGTGCGTCAAATCCTAAGAAGAGATACGACTGGAATAACAAGAGTCTCTAGCGACTGCTAAAGTCTGGGTGATAGAACGCGAACGACGTTAACTTACGCTTCTCGCATACGGAGAAGGAAATTGTTTTTTTTTCTTCTTCTTTTTAAAAGAAACGAGTTAAAGGAAACTTCACTGTTGAAGAGGCAAAAATAACACAGTTACAAATTGGAGTGAAAATTTGAAGATTACAAAAGCGAACGAAAAAAAAATGACAATTTATTTTGTAAGAAAATAAATGGGAAATTTAAACATTGTAATATTGAAAGTCGTTTCTAGAAGGATAAACCTATATAACTAAATACATTTATTTATATTTGCTTTGAAAAATTTAAAGAAATACCATAAAAATGAGAAATTTGTCGCTCTTGCTCATTATATACGGAAGTTTGACTTTCACATTTGTGACAGACAGACTCAGCAATCCTCATATGGTTGACAAGTAGAGGTCTAGTTGATGCGGGAAAAGTTTATCATAAAAACTATTTTAAACATGTTGTTAGCAGAGTTTAATTCAATTAGCTTCAAAAAGAGGTGGAATATTGATAAGTTAAGCTTGTATTTTCTCACATTTCATGCCTTGGAATGTCAAGAAGTTAACTCTCACACTTATTTTTCCAACTCAAAAGGAAAGAAAAAAAAATTAAAATTTATTTTCAAGACTAAATAAATGAATTCTGCATTTTTTTCTAAATCGTCATCAACTCCTATTTGAAATTTATCTCACAAATGTGTCAAAACCAACAGACTTTTTTTTACCAGAGTTAGTTTTAATATAATTCCATGTTGGGTTGAAATATATTCAGATACACCAGTTTTTGATGTTGAAGAAAAACAAATCATCCCAGCTTTTTTTTTCGATTTGAAATTCTCCATCTAGCAACAATATTTAGAGTTTTTCCTGACAATGAAAATAATTTTATAAATCTCTAAAGAATTAATCTGAAATTTACAAAGTAATTTCCTGCTTCACAGAAATTTTTCAATTTTCTTCATAGTCCATGATTATGATCATTATTTATAAATAAAATATGCTTCATACCTCTTGGATCCAGGCTTGTTGCTTGATGGGGGCGTCAGGTGCAATAGCAACACGACCTGCTGCTCTCTGCTTGTACTCGTTTAGAATTGGAATTTTATTATTCTTGTCAATCGATGTTAATACAACTTCCCGTTCAATCTGGAATTAATGAGATATTCTCATAAATGTTGTACAGCAATTAAATAATAAATTCATATACAAGAGGTAATAATACATGCTCTACATTTCTAAAAGGAAGAATCATCAGAATACAATAAGAATGACTATTGTCTTCTTTTGTTTATTTGATGTGTAACAGTTGTACGAGATTTTCAAGTCTCAAGAAAAATGAGAATACGATACATTTTATAGTCTGATAGCGCGAGAAAAAATTTTTATGAGAAAAAAAAGTGTTCTTTTCATTTTATTAATCATTATTTCTCTTCAATTCTCTACTCATTTAGTCAGTAGAACATTAAACTTGAGAAACGTTTAAAAACAAATGAAATTTATCATTAAATAGTTTTATTTAAACTAAAATAAAAAAGAAAACAATAGTTTCAATTTATTATTATAAAAATTTAATTTATCTAATGAAAAAATTAATTGAATTTCTAGAGCAGAGTTAAATCAAACCTAAATATTCATCAATGGATACTAGAATTCTTGATGAAATTAAATATGCTAGTGTAATTTTAACAATTAAATTTTTTTATAGAGCAATAAAATTACAATTTTTAATTAACAAATTTATTCTTTTACTTAAAATAAATTAATTCATAATAAAACTTGTCATAATTAGATATCTTCGACAATGAATTATGATTGTTTTGAGTGACAAAAAAAAACACTTTCTCTGTTGGTAACCAGAACAGTAGGAGATAAATAATAACAGTAATTAATAAAAACAAAAATAACTTAAATAACTCTAATTATCTCACCCAACAATTGGTTATTACTCCAACAACAAGGAGGATAAAAGTTTTTTGATGATACTATAAATATCAAAATTTACTAGACTGTGACCATAAAAAGTACAATGGCCACAAATGATTTATCAATTTAAAAGTATTTTTTCTCAATTATAATATCATTTACATTTTTTTTTACATTTTATTACATGTAAAATTCTTTTATTAATTATTTCAATCCTATTGATTTAACCAATCGATTTGTTTTAACCTCAAATTAATTTTTGTTGGAATTAATTTTACCTTTTGTGTTGTGTAAAGATTATCAAAACAACTTCTTGATTTTAAAATGGATTATCCATCTTACATAAAAATATTTAAAGCCTCTTATGCAATTTATAATTTAGAAAGACTTGATAAATAAATAAAAGAAAGGTTAGTTTTTAAAACGAAGAAAGTGTATGAATAAATAGAATAAGTTGGTGGTAAGAAATTGCATAAATATATGAAATTGGGTCTTATGAATAACTCTGAGATGAATGACTCAAGAGAATTTCACGATTAATACATATATAAGTACGTTACAAAAGTAACGTGGTACATATCCTGCAGACTACAATCGCAACGGCATTTCCGGTAAACGGTATTTTCCATGGGCTTTGCGTACAGTCTGTATGCCTTTGTCTTATAAACGATAGGTAGAGAAGTGCTTGAGAATATTCCCAAGAATAGTAACAACTCCCTTGAGTACACCTACTCCTTTATAGGTAGATATAATATTTCTATGTCTATGTTTATGACGAGACATAGTCAAAGATTTCACTTAAAGCTATTATATTAGTTAACATAACCTTTTTATTGTTATCGCGTACCTCTTTACGTGTGTTACATTTTTAATTAATGCCCAATTCAACGTAAAAATAGAATAAGAAAAAATACTAAATATAAATAAGGAAAGAATTTAGGCTACAAATTTAGAAATTGTGGTGATGAAAAATGAGAAAGTGAGAAAAAGCATAAAGTTAGATGTACCGGAAATTTATTGCTGTGAGTCTGAAGATTGGTATTTTGTTGGTTTTGATTGGGAGATTGCTCCTCCCCATAGAGAGGTGGCATTCTGTGATCCAACTGTTGTAGTCCAAATTCTGCCTGCTGGACTACACAGTTGTGAGAATTATTTCTCTCTTGATTGTTATTACTACAGTTGTCGTTTCGAGGTGTCTGCTTTGAACCTCCTACCAGGTTTATATGATTATTCGATATTGACTTGAGCACAAGTGATGATGCTGTCTTGTATATCGCTTCTTCATCTGCAATTCAAAGTAAATCATTTTATTAATTGGAGCTGAGGGGAAAATTATTTATTGAACTCAATGAATTTTTTTTCTTTATTTATAGTATTTTTTTCAGCTAGAAAATGAGGTAATAAGCAACAAATCTTTTATTCATGTTATTTTTTCTATAAAAATATTTTTTTTGGAGTAATAATTTTTTTTACTTTGACAGGATTAACACTTGATAACCTCAAATATTATGGTAACAATTTGTCCATAATTGATAAGATTTTTTATAGCTGGAAAATACGTGTTTTTATTTGATAATAAATTTATTTGTATCAAGATTGATGAGGAAAATGAAAAAAGAGCATTTAAAATAAGCATCAACTTGGAACTAAGTATTGATGGAATCACAAAGACATTAACAAGTGTACATTATTTACAGTACATAATAACCAACGATAGAAAATGATGAGAATTTATTAAATTCAAGTAATTATTTACTTTTTTATTATTCCAATATTTATAACAAAACCAATTAACTCTTTCTAATAATTGGCTCCAAGAACCTCATTACCCGAATTGCTGTATTAATTTCGAAAAAAATTTTATGTTTCTTTTTTTAAACTCCAATATAAATATCTTTTATTTTATTTCCAATTAAAATTTTATTGTAGTTTATTTTATTGACCAAGATTTTAATTCAAAGTATAATTTACTGAAATCAATTATTTAATAAGTATTAAAGCACCTAATAAAAAAAGGAAAGTGTCAATCAATTAATTATTAATGAAAAAAAAAACATCTGATGAAATTTCATTCCTTCAATGTATAAATTTTTTTTTTCCACCAAAATTGAATATAAATTTAGAAATTATTCCTGTCACAAAAGCAAAACAATCCTCAAACATCGAAAGGATGGAAATTGAATTTAGATTAAAAAACATAATTTTTCAACCAAACTTTGACCCTGGAAATCCTATATCTTTAAAATTCTATGTGTGATCATTGTGAATGTTTTGTTTTCATCAATAAAAAAGCCCCAAACATTATTTCTAATCCTTGAAAGCACTTCGAGATCTGGAATACTCCTAGTGCTCACATAAAACTCTAGTTGAGGAATAATGTATGATTTTGATACGATCAGTATTCATCACGTATTAAAAAATGTATAAAAATCACATTTGAAATAATTCCACTGCTTCAAGAACAATTTCCTTGTTCAGTATGTGTACTTATAATTACTGTGCATTTAAAAAGATTTTTTTTTAATTATTTACTAAAGAAAAAAAAAAAACAATTGTTTAAAAGTTCTTGACCGCAATGACCTTTAGTTACTTTTTTTAGCTTCATTTTATCTTGGTCTTTCACATGTAGATTTTTACTTCACTCATTAATGATTTCCATCATTATTCATTTATTTATTCATCATTATTTTATTATTACTCATCATTTATTGCTAAAGCAGTAATAACAGAGTATAAACTCCAAAAAATAAGATGTCAACGAGGACATTTTACATAATAAATTCATCATAAAATATTATGATCAAAGGATTCATCTTATCCTAGATCTTCTAGCTTTCTCCAACCTTTAAATTACAATATTTTCCCTAGAATATCGTTTCAAGTCTCCAAAAAATCCAACTTATTTCATGAAATAATTAAAAAATTCCACATTAGATAAAGATACTGACAATAAGCTGGTTTGTTTTACCAAGAATCTTCATGCTTTTCTTCAACTTGAAGTGAATACATGAGAAAAGGCTACAAATAAATGACACCAGCAATAAAAAATAAACTAGGGATGTGAAAAGAAAGCAAATACCTTGCGTTTGATTCTGTCTCCTTAGACGATTTTCATGTTTAACTTTACGAACTGTCGTAGCCATTGCGTGTTGGCTAACCATCTCTGAGATTTTCACCTATGATATAAACACACTCTCACACACTTTATTATACTAAGGGGATATTATTAAGTCAAACTCAATAGCTTTTATAATAATCACTCTCACAGGATAATGAACAATCAAAAGTGAATAATTAGTTGAGAAACCAAATTCTTATGAAATGATTTTTTTTCCCGCAGATATGTCGATGTACAGTCTTAAAGACTGCAAGTTGAACTGAAGAAATAAACTTTCCATTGAGCGAACGACCGCGTACGAGTTAGCTGTTCCGCCGTTCTGACTACACTTCCGGTATCATCCCACCATGTCTTGGAATCATTACCGGAGGACCAGGTAAATAAGGCACGTAGAATAATTTATTCTTGGAGCTCATAGAGCGTGTAGGTACGCCCTCGTGCATTTCACTCAGTGCTGCATAGCAAACTGAGACATATGACTAGCTGAAGTTGGTGGACCAATGTCTATAGATACTAGAGAGTCGATAGGTACACTATAAGTGGTGATGAAGATTAGATTTATAATACAATAAGTCGTTGCTAGTAACTTGTTCCAACCTTAGACTCTACTATCTCCAATATGAACCATTGTTATAGACGTGCTGCTGCATCTTTAACTTCTCATTATTTATTCTACACTTATTATTATTATTATCATGGTTGATATTTGAATTATTCACTTTTTCTCTTTATCCTGTTCATCCTAGCGAATTAAATGCAGACTTTGTGGTAAGAAATTGGTAATGATGGAACATCTGATTATTATATTATTCAAGTGATACTAGATAAACTATAAATTTCATCATCTAGATGATGATTATGAGATTTAATGATGTTATGTGGGATGGTAATGTGATGATAAATATGTATTACACTTCACACCTCATGAGTGATGATCTTTTTCTTCAAGTAATGAAGTAATAAATTTTTAAAACAAATTTGGAATTTTAATTTGGTAATTTTTAATTAAATAAATTCATGATGATGTTTAGAAGTAGAATATTTTGGAAACAAAATAACTTCTTTAGACAAAATATTACATTTAACTCTCAACTTTAACTTTTTAGACTCAGTTTGGAGTCTTCAAGTACAGTTTAAGCACAAGTATTTATATGTAAATTCATCTAATTTACATGTCTTATCCTGGCTTATTTTTATGTTAGCAATTGAAGAGTGAAGAATAGTAAAAGGTTTCTTTTTTCTCTTCTTTACCTACTTTTCAAGAGATTTTTTACTTAAATAATTGTTGTATTGATAATGGAAAATTTATTTCATAAATAAATGTAATTAAATTAAAAACTTATGAAAAATTATCCAACATTATTAAATTTCGTATTAAATTATCAAGATATAACATTCTTTTTTTTTTTGCTGCAAATATGATGAAATTTTAGAAGAAATGTTTAATGAAAGTTATTCTATAACTATTAAATAAACAACAGGAAAGAATTTCTGATGTAACAAAAAGACTATTACAACATAGCTCAGATCATTTACTCATCCTCAATTAAAAAAATAATTAATGATACCTCAGAGAATATTTATTAATCAATTAATTTTTTTTTAATAATATAAAAAACACTAGAAAAAAAAACACTTCAGCTCTATAGATTGTCTAATTGTGGACTAAATAATTCTGGCAGATAGCCAAACGTTCAATCCCCCAACTAAATAGCTGAAGAGTTGGGCACCTGGAGCAGACAGAGTTGTAAATTATGCAGGTGGCCTCTAAAACTCGTCATAGAGTGTAAAAAATATCTTACACTTCAATTAATCTTTTTCCATCAGTTTATGATTGAAATGTGAAGGAAATCTGGCTCCAGGTAACCTTGATAGATAGCTAAATGAGCTTGCTATTTGGATGATTGCATAAAAAAGAAATCCCTTTGGCGATAATTATAGCAAGGAGCATGTTGGTTGATGATGAGTTTAGATATTTTTTCATTCTAGATAGTACTATGGTCTCTTTAACTACGCAAAGCAGGTTTACTATATGGCGAGACACTACATCAGGTAAAATAGGGGGAAGTACGCTTGGCTGAATTTAAAAGTCTTGTCAGTCGAGCATGTACAGTCTTGACGGATACTCTCTTCCACCTTCCTCGTATTTTTAAGACTTTTGGTGTCTTCACTTTTTCAGAATAATATATACATGTATATATGACATGTACTGTTGGATATCCTGACTGTTGTATCAACGAATATTCCCACGATATGGCTTTTAATTTTTTTAATTTACCGGAAGTCAAAATGCCATTCATAAGTAATCCACTGCTTCTGTGACAATTTTTATGATTGTTATCAGAGTGCAGATAAATCCTTGGTAATAATTAGAAAGAAAGTGTCCATTTTAAGAGGATTCAAAGACAAAAGGCTTTTTATTCTCTTTGGACTGAGAAATAAATTTGGTTCAATGATTAAAGAAAGGTTCTGGATGATCAGACGTTGGCCAGCTGTCTTGAGCGAATAATTTTATTCAATTATTTTTTTCCTTCTAACTGATTTTATGAGTGACTGGTTCATTTCATTTCTAATTCAATTTTACTAATTAAAGAAAAAAATCTTTTCCTAAAATTAATACTCTTCTAGATTAGCACAAGTGAGTTGGAAAAAAATACTTGGCTGATGGTTCCAAAGCTTAAATCCTTTGTTTTCTATCATTCAGACTTATTATTCAAAGTTTAAATGTTGATGATTTATTTTAAAAACTGAATGAATTTATTTCTTTTGTTTCACAGCTTTGATTTTGTCCCTCCATGAGAATTTATTTATGTAAAAATCTGTAATGTGATAATATTAATAAAGTTATTGTTGAAAATAGCGTTATTACAGATTATATATTTTGAAATTACCAAGCGGTGGTTAACGCATAATATCTCATAGCCATACTGCACCAGGGCTTATTTAAATAAATCATATAACATTATTATTATGATCATTATTATTATAATGGTGGCATGCAACATCAAAGGAATGCAAATAAATGTAACAAAATTATTAATCTCCTCCAGGCTTATACTAGACTATATTACCATTATTATTACAATCATCTCAACGCACATCAGGACAAAATTCTGCAGGAAGTTTTCGCAGTTTTACTTTTTTAGAATAATATCTTGCTTGGTTTGCGTGTTGTAGATGGTTATAAAGATGCTCACGCATACTGCGTTTTTTAATATTGATCATTAGGTTGATGAAAAACAAGAACGAAGCCTTAGCTGAAAGAAAAAGAAGAAAAGTCTATGATACCCATGATGAAACAGTGAAAATAAAAAGTTAAATATTATAGATCTTGGACTGGAAAAATTCCTTAGTGAAAATCGGTATCATAGTGGAGGTAAATTGATGATAAGTCAGAAGAGGTAAAGGAATACTAGTACCTCAACTCGAATTAACTTGGTATAGTTGTGATTCTTTGGAGCAATTTTCACTTTTTAAGCCAGTTTTATTCCATCATACAGCTTTTAAACAGCTTGAAATAGTTTTTACTCCAAAGCAGAAATTTTTCTTTCATACTGTTGACTTTACTTTATTTTACCTTAAATCCAACGGTAATATTTACTGAAGAAATTGATTAGAATAAAATTCAAATAAGCATGGAAAATTCATCTAATAAATAAAAGCCAATTCCACTTTATCTATCCTCAATCATAATTACTTTCCAATAATTAACTATTTACTAAACATAACCTTAATTTAAAGTGAAAATATTTAGATTTTTTCTCTCAGCATGATCAGAGAAATAAATATTGGTTTTTATTTCTTATCAGTTCCATTCAATCGAAAGTGTACTTTCGATTCAAAAATAGAGCCTTTGATCACGAGAGGGTCATATTAAAATGAAATGAATGAAGAAATAAAATACTACACACAAGCCAAAGTATCCCGTTAAATGTTGAATGGGTATTTTTCCTAATGATCCAATGTAAATCGAGTTGATCGATGTAAAATAATTTTTTTTCAAGCAACCTGGGCAATTTCTGCACCTGTTCCTCTTGAGCAGTACTGCAGCAGGCTTGAATTTAAAAGTGCACGATTGGCATTGCAAGCGTTACAATCGCCATTACGGGCAGTCACCTTGAAGAGAGTGGAAGAGAGTACATAGTATCTCATACAATCATACAGCATACGTATATCGGTATGTAGACCTCTGTATACTTATCTTGCACAGACTGTAAATGTAGACGTAAATATATAGTGGAAGAGACGAACGCGTGCAGGAGACTCACGCAGAGCAATGAACGCGTAAAACAGGATTACAAGTGATAGGAAAACCTGTTTTGTTTTATCCCTAATTATCATTACTACTTGTTCAGACGATACATATTTCAGCCACTAGACCATTACCAATGTCAATTAATCCAGTGTTTATAATAACTATTTTTCCTCAAAACACTTGGAGTACGTGCACCATGGATAACAAGCTGTACAGAAACAGGGCTACCACGTTTTTAAAATAAAAAAAGTTTCCATTTTTTTTTTTTATTTGTTTGGAACAAGCAATGATATCGATAAATAATACAACATGACCAGAAACTGGTAGCAAACTTGGTGGCTTTATTAATCCTTAATAAAACCTTCAATTGATTCAAATTTCCTACCATCTCATACAGTTTAGTTCAGACGTTAATGTTGTGATAGTTATTGGTCATAAAGAGTTAATTTAATTTTTTCTTTTAAGACACTAAAGTTTTTTGTAATTAATTATGATGAGTCTTCAAGTGTGACATTGATCAACAATATTAGCATCTGAATGAAATAAATTATTGACATAACAGATTAAATAGTAACGATTTTTGACGTTTAATTGATGATATAAAATGATCACCTTTCTTTATCTCCTACACATTTAATTGATTACATAAATCATTAAAGGTAAATTTTTGTTTAAAAATATTCAAAGATTTTATCTCCAGTGTTTTTTTTATCATTTGTAATATTTTCAGGGCTTCAGTGTAGGAGTTTTCACCTTTCCCAATGATGTTTCTTTTCAAAAGTATCACTCTCAAGAACTATTGTCAATGTTTAAACGACAAAAATATTTTTCCTTCATTAAAATAGTTATTTAATGCTTATTCATAGTCTAGGTAAACCAAGAAACTCTTTAGTTTACTTTGAATGATAGTTTTCTATTGTTTATAAGTAAATAGAATGTTTTCTCTACACAGGTAAATACTGATACATTTGGAGACTTACCTGAATAACTGTGCTTCCAATTTGCCTGATTTTAGTAATTCCATTTTATAAAAAAAAAGTAGATATTATCGAGTAATTAGTGTTACTTCTATTTCTTCATCAACTTTACCACTCACTAATTACAATCCAAATAATGATTATTCTTTGAAGCCAGCTCATTACATCAGTACCAATTAAATTAAGAAATAACAAGACTTGGAAGGTAAGATAAATAACAAGCACCACTAATAATTAAATATTAAATATAAAAAATTTGTAAATTGATCATTAAATAGACTTGAAAGATTCATGTGCTCACAATGGATTGCAGGTAAATCCGACGATCCTGCGACTGACTAGACGCCGAGCAGCATCGAGCCGGTTATCCGGATAGCCGCGAAACACACAGTCAGGTGGGAGAGAAGAAGGCGTAAGTACAAGAGAAAGAGGGACTTGAACTACTACGAAGACTAAGTAAAGAATAAAGGAAGAAAAAAGATTGAAAACGGTGGTAACATGACTCTCTAACTCGTCCCACTCTTTTCAATTCCTCACCCAACCGATCTCATACACAAACTCAATTATTATTTCGACCTGCTGCTGCTGCTACGTATAAGCTTACCAGTTATTTAAACACACCAGTGAAATCTATACTATGACATTACGGAATTACCTGAACCGCTCACTATAACCATTGGCCTGAAAAACGCTCCAGAAGAGTCTCCAGTGATATCCAAACTCTCTTCAATCTTCATCATCATTCATATTATAAACATATGTATGTATGTGTGTCGGGTCTTTTTTAAGTTAGGTCTTTTCATTTGAAAACCATACCTGGCAATCAAATTCAAACCACAATACACGGATTAAGTTGGGAAAAAAAATCATTTTATTGTTTTTCTTTATTTAGTCATTTTGATGAATTATTTTTATATGAATTGATCTTAAGAAATTTTGATTTATTATTTTTTTCTGAGGTGAATAATAGATGGTTGGTTAATTGAGTGTTGAAGAAATTATTATTTATTTTTCACTTGAAAAACTTAATATTATAATTGGTGCTTGTTGATCCGTTGACGCATATAGCTCATTTTTAAAGAACAAATAATTTTTTTATTATATTTTATTTGAACTTTCAATTCAAACAATTAATTATTATATTTTTTCACAGTTGAACCTGGTATTAGAAGAATTTTCCAAACATTCTGAAGAATAAAAATAAAAATCATCGGAAAGATTATCAAGAATTTTTAATGGATTTTCTATCACAAAAATGGGTTGGATGTTGTTGGAAGCACATCAGATACACTAGGGATTTTACGGTATCTAGAGATGATAATTATCTTTCTTGAATTTTCCTAGTATCGAGTGAAATATGAAAAAAATATATATGTATAGAAGATAGCAATTTTTTTTTTAATTAAAATGCTGAAAAATTATTAACAAAAATTACTAGCAAAAATCGAGATTAATTTATTGCAGCTATTAATTACTATTCTCCATACCTGTTGGTCATTGTCATAATTAGAACAGAAAAGATAAATGTAAATCTTGAAGATGTCTCAGACCAATCTGAATATCACTTGGATAAATCCATGCTATAAATCATGTATATCCTTCTTGTAAATATCCTATTATCTTGAGAGTTGTTGTAATTGAATTTTCTTTCAGACAAAAGATTTACTATTTCTTTATTTATTTATCGATAAAGGTATCAACCATTTCTAAGGAACCCTTGCTAATCGAATAAAATCTATCCAAAATCAAGTGTTGAAGTTTTAGCAGATTTTGACATGAATGGATGATAAAGAACACGACGTTTTACTCATAAAAAATAGTATAATAAAACAGAGGCTTCAGAATATAACAGTTAGACCAAGTATATCAAAGAGATCATAAAGCAGAAAAACACTAGAGATATTTTCCTAATTTTTATGGAAGGTAATCTCACGAAACAGATGTGTTTAACAGTAAAAAATGAGTGGGATTACGTATTTCGTACTTTGAGAGCTTCATTATTGTGAAAAGAAGTAAAGGAGAATAAGAGGAAGATGGAGAATGAAAAGTAGTGTGGTTGAACGGATGATGTGAAGGAAACGTGCATATAGGGATTTCGTGATCTACACCCATTGTGTGTTGGAGCGTTTTCTCACGAGATACCTTGGACTCTAATTATATGTCTGGAATGCTCCTAAAACCTATGGCTTGATTGCTAAATATTCCGTGGCCATTTTAGGCCACAGACTAAATTTGGGAGTCGATGAAAAAAAGTCAGATAATGTTTTGTAGCTTCTACACAATCCTACTTGCGTCAATCTATGTTATTATTTCAGAACTTTTTATTTCTATTTCTGTGTCATTCTCTTTTTTATTAACCAATTCAGCTTTCGAGAAGAAATCAGGTTATTGAAATATTAATTGGACAGACATAATCAATTGTGTTCATTCAATAACAGCTTTTTTTTCTGCTGGAGTTCATGGAAGTAGATTAGAAATTCGAAAGATAAAATTAAAATTAACTTAAATAAAAATCATTAATTGGTTATTGGAAATTGGATATTTTATTTATTTATTCATCAATCAATTTTCTGATTTACAGTCATTTTAATTTTCAATAAATCTGCTAAGCAAAGATATAGATTTATTGAATGTTGAATAAAGAATAAATACATTTGCTAATTATATTGACTTGCTAGTAATTTAATTCAAAATAACTCGAAAAATAGTAAATGTAATTTATAATATCTTCAAAGTTTCTATTGAATTTGTATCAATATCTCCAGACTACTTCAACTATATCTAATTTCGTGGAACTTAATCAACATTCAACTGAAAAAAAAAGTCGTCAAAGGATTTTGACATACATATTTCTATTTAATTATATTTATCACAGAAATAAAAAAAAAAAAGCTTTGAAATGTTTTATCAGAAATAAAATAAGCTCTGATTTACCTCATATTTAGAATTGAACAAAATTTATTACTGTCAAATTATAACAATGAATCTTGATCAAGAAAATACCACATTTTATCAGCTTTCACTTTTGACTAAGCCTGAGCTACATCAACTGATGACATTAATTTCAAATCCACTTCACACAATGCTTATCCACCAAACAAAATGATGAACACAATTACGACCAAAAGTCTTTTGAATCTTGATTTTTTTAATTAAATAAAAATCAAAGCGATTTCATGTTAATTTTATGACAATTTCCTTTCTGTTTTTCCCCTCTATAAACAGTAGATTTAATGTATGATAATTTGGAGCTGCAAGCTGTGAAGTTCGTCCCTTCAATCACACAATAGGTAGTTTTGAGGGTGGAATAAATGCATGATCTATAGAGATTGTAAATAGATATATGTATCAACGACATGCTGGACAAAAGTATCGAAAACTGTGCAAGCAGAATCTGATGTTTTTGAAGCGCAAGCGCATACCAGAGGGTTTATTATACGAGATGGCCTTAGTCTTAGTTCGTCTGGGCTTCAAGTAACATCACATTCGATTCGGAAACTCACCCTCACTCTATTTTTTCACTTTAGTCTCACTATAAATAAGTTGGTCATGTAATAAACAACATTTCTCCTGAATTCTTTGAGCTTCAATTGGATGTGAATTTATCCTGGCTAAGCTCTCCAGTGATCAATATAACGAAAAGCAGTAAATAAATCTTCAAGAATTCAACTATATCAAACGTGAGCTGGGAATATTGACGTGACGTCGTTCTCGTGTCTCATCTTAAAGTTGCTTGATGATAAAATGATTCCTTGAGACTATTTTAAATTGTCTTCTAGTGTTATTGCTATTTGATAAAAAATTATCATTACTTTTTCTTTTGTTACTAATTGGGTGGGATGTAGTTAAAATGATATTAAGTGAAATTAATTCCAAGTAATTAATTGTTAAATAAATTTATTTTGTCTGCTTATAGTGATACTGATGTCATTTCACCCTACAATGGCAATATTGGCTCTCAGGCACATCAATGACACAAGTTGAACCCAATAAAAAGATTCAATTTGTAAAAATATTTTAGGGGTAAGTTTGCTCTGATGGAGTGAGAAATTCATTAAGGGAATGGCTTACGTGTTAATTCGGAAATTTATCAGAAAGATAAGATAGTGAATGTTTAGAGGCTTTTTTTTTTCTCGAGTGCTTTATAAGTTGGAAAAAAAAATTTTAAAAAACTTTGCTTGAACTTTGAAATTGAAGTATTACAGTTAGTTAAAGTTGCTTTAGTTTTTTTTAATTATTGTCGAATGAATTTTTTTTTCATTAAAAAAAAACAAAAAAAGATTAAAATAAACTTTTCAAAGTAGAAAATTACTCTTTATTTTATTATTACTTATAAATGAAAATAATTGTGTTTATTGAATATAAATCTTTGAATCATCAACATCCATTTGGGGGTTTTTTGAATGAGAATATTTTGATAAATATTTGTTTAGGTATAGTTAATAATAAAAAAAATGATAAAGCATTTTTCGTTGCAGTATTGATAGCAAACAAATCCATAATAATGAGGAAGATGAGTGATTCATTATTAAAAGGAGCTAAGAGTTTACTGTGCTATCCATTGGGATCATTGTAAATAATCCTGATGGACATGTTCAGAGTGCACCTGTGACTGAGCTACTTGACAGTAATAGTTATACATTTGAATTGGTATAAAAGCTCAATAAAATTGCCAGAAGAACGACGCGACGAAAGAGAAAAAAACGGAAGAAGGTGGTGTAGAATATGGGGAGGAAGAGATGGGTGAATTGTTGAAGCGGGGGATAAGTTGAAAGGGAGGGAGTTTGAGGAAGTTGGTTTTTATTTGCATCTATTGATAAATTCTTCAACAAGTTTGTGGAATCAATGATTACCGGTCCTTATAATAAAGAAATAATAATAACGATAAAAGGTATTAAATAAAATTTTGAAGAAGAATATAAATTAATTATAGTGACTGTGAAAATTCAAACGATCATCCATTCAAGTGCGATAAAATCAGATAAAATGGGGTGCGAATTGACTAAATTGGCATCCACATCAACAACACAACAAAACCAAAGCGGAAGGGAATCACCACCACCACCAGCCGAAACTGATCCACGACTGCCACTCACTGCAAGACAAAAATTCACCATCATTGCCAGTTGGAAGGCTGTTGCAAGGGCTATGGAACCAACTGGTATCTACATGTTTGTCAAGTGAGCGAATAATCGCTTTTCTAACTTACCATCATCCTCATAAGCTATTATCCCTCTATCTATTTTTTACTTCATCCTGGCGTGTAATTACACTGCGTTACAAGATTTCATATCCACCAGTTGAAGTATTGACTTTAAGGGATTTTCCACTCGGTAAATTTAAATGTAAAATCAGGAATAAGCTATCATGTTTGGCTTTTTATTTTTTATCAAACATGTTTGAAAATAGAATGGATTAAATTTCATTTCACCGATGATTTCTTATTTTCTGATTATTAAATAAAAATGATGAACAATAAAATGGAAATTTTTTTAAATATTGTATCAAATAATATATGCTAAATAATTTTATTCTGATAATCAACCCAACTTTTATGAGCTTTATTAGGTGGTTATCAATTATTCAAAATTATTCGAGTTAGGTTTGACTAATGAATATCTAGTCATAATAGATAAAAAAATTTCCATTAGAAATGAATTATTTATATTTCATGATAATTATTTTCTCATTTCCACACAAATTCATTTGAAAATCTATGTAAATATAATCAGTAAAAATTCATTGTTCCAATATTTAATAATCTATCTCTTAAATTACTGAAATAAAGTACTCAAAGTGTTTTTACAAAAAATTTAATAAAAATTTCCTTTGAAGTTGGTAAATAAATATTTTTATTACGATATGAAAAAATTAAATAAATATTATTAAATTTTCTTTTTTTTTAAATCATGATTTATTATAATTAAAAATATTTATTTCATCAAATCAACATGTGATATTGAATTTTAAATAACGCTCATTAGTATCAAAAATTTCTAGATTTTTTTCATGGTTATGAAAAATCATTTAAATAAATTGTGGTAAAAAATATAGAAAAATATGGAGTGTAGATGTTCTATTTATTTATCAAAATCTATAAAAAATACCCACGAAGTAAAAAGTTAATAAAGTTAACTGGTTGGATATGAAAAAAATTGAAATGTCTTCTATGATGTTAATCCAAGAATCCTTTTCAACTTCATAAAAGACATAAAGAACCAGTTATTATATCATCTTTCCCCAAGAGAATATTTGTTAGGATTTTTGCAATAAAAAGAAAAATATAACAAATATTCATCCAATGGAAATAAAAATCTCCATCACCTAGATTGATTTTTTTTTTCAACAATAAATTGCATGTATTTTTTGTAATCAACATGATCAAACTTTGTCTATAGGTTGAAAAACAAAAAAAGAAATATTTCATGAACAGTTGAAAAATTACACAATAACTCAATCCACCAATAAAAGTCGGCTGTAAAGGTCCAGTTCAACCCTAGTAGCCTAGCCTGCTGAATCATTTTCAGTTTGATCATCAGTATTTTTATCTGAAATGATAGAGTAGCTAAATTCTCAAAGCATAGAAACAACAATCAACTATTATAGTATAAATAAATAAAACACTTTACAAAAATTACCAGATACTGTAGAATGATTTCGAGCTATAATATTTATATTGAATGTGACTGTTGGTTATCAGCTCTCAACATCAGCTGTCATGAATCGAAAAATAACTGGAGATCCAATCGTGATAAGACATAATAAGATTAGATGCTCTACTAAAGTAAATGGGTTCAAATTTATTTGTCGTTTTTCAATGGAAGTTTTATAAAAATTTAATCAATCTATAGAAATAATTAAAGTTTAAGTCATAAATGATTACATTAAATTTACTTTAATGATTTTGATGGAAAAAAGAATAAAACTTAAATAAGAATCAAGATATAAACCAGGAAAAACACGATTTAACACATTTTTATTTTGTTCTATAAAGCTAACTAGCTTTTTTACTTGCTAGAAATTCTACAGAGTTGAATAAATAAACAAAACATTTCTAACACATCAACTTTTTGTTATATTTAGCTTGAGTTTTCCTCGAGTTTTTCGTTACATAAAAAAGAAATAGAAAAGCTTAAGAGATATTCAAGTTATTTCATTGGATTAATTATTTAATTTTTGAATTATTTATATTTTTTTAATTGTTACTACTTCAAAGAAACAGTATTTCATATTTAAAAAATAAGTTTACAAATCCACTAAACACAATTTATACAGCTTTTCTATGGTAGTATTCTTTGCTGAATGCACTTGACGTATTTCAATTTAACTTGTTTTGCATGCTCAATTTTTCATCATTTCTTTTAAATTAGAAAATCATTCAACCATGATCAATAAATTTTGAAAAAGTATAACAAATATTACTATTAAAGAATAAAAATGATTAAAAACAATTTGATGATTATTATTCTTCTACTAAAGAAGATTTTTCATTTATAAAAAGAAATTCCAGACTTTTCATTTTAAAAATGCCACCGTCTGGAAGATATTTCAACGTCAACTATTCTTACATTTTTGAGTTTAGCCATTTTCGAGACAACATAATTCTATCTCGAGAAGATGAAGAAGAAAATGATATCAAAAAATAAATAAGAGCTTAAATTAAAAAAAATGACCTAGATAATCCTTCTATACTTAACCAATAGGAATATTTGAATTTCAATTTCTTTCAAATCACAAATAAGTAAATAAATAAATGATTGGATGTAGGACACTAAGTGATGGTTACTGGATTGGAATCTCGTTAGCACTGACGCGTAGCAAGGTGCTTACTATCCATGAGATGATACGTCTTTCGGTTCAGTGATCATCCAGCTCGAGAAATCAATAAGCGGTCTTTTATCATCTAATGTTTTCTTCCATCGTTTTCGATATAAACTAGTAGTTACAGCTTTGACCATTTATTGCATGCATTTATGCACTTTATACATGTAAGCATATATTGACCATTTATTTTATCTTGCACACACCAATGCCAATTATATACCAGATAAGGAGCATTGAGATAATCCATTTACGTCGTTTGTGGTAGACTATTTGAGGACAACAGCGATCTACTGAACCTGTTCACTAAATTCCGTGAATTGAAGACAAAGGAGCAGCAAGCTTCTAGTATGGAACTGGCAGAGCATGCTACCAAGGTTATGGAGACTCTTGATGAAGGAATCAAGAGTCTTGATGATATGGATGTCTTCCTAACATATCTTCATCAAGTTGGAGCAACGCATACCAAAATTCCTGGATTTAATAGACAGTACTTTTGGGTAAGTTGACATTCTTCATCATTTCCTAGATTACCAGTCTGTCTATTATGGTCTTTTACTACTAAATCATTGATCCAAGTGACCTGAAATGTTGAAATGGACTTAGATGATCTATTTTGATGTTGGTTTATAAGTTTATGCTTGGACTATAAAAAGATTGTTGATCTAATCAATTTAACCTCCATTTCCATGTTCTTTGAGAACTGACTTTTAAGATGAACAATGGGGAGGGAAAAAAGAAATAATAAAAACAATAGAGGGAGTATCAAAACTGACCTAAAACACCATAAGAATGACTCGGACTAGCTTCCCTAAGGGAGTTAGATTAGTTCAGGACAGCCAAATATAGCCTTTGTGTAGGAAGTCGAGCATTTATTAAAAAGTTATATTAGTTGAGAAGAAAAATGATTTTTTCAACCAGTTTCAGTTCTGTAATTTTTTTCCCTTAGTTTCTTTTTGATATGTAAGGTCGGTCTGGTGCTATAAATGTGTGGGATAGTGAATCAATATAGAATAATAAAGAAAAAGATTTTCCTTGAGATATTTTTAAAAAAAACTTGATATCAAAATTTCTCAACATTCACTCTAAAGTCATGTTATTTTCTTGATTTCTGGTAAAACTATATCAAGTTCTAGTACACTAGTGGTACTTTTGCTGATTAAAAAAATTCTTCATATTTTTCTTTTAATCCGTCAAAGTAAAGAACATCCATGCACTGTTTATCTAGAAATTTTGACAGACACAATTTTTAGCTTCTAGAAGATTCAATAATAGAATACAATAAAATGTAAATTTTTTTTATTCCGCAAAAAGAATATTCTTTTATTTTACTTGTTTGTCCAGAATGACCTCAAAGTATTCGTTGGAAATTACATTTATTATTGAGTAAAGCTTTTATTCAATTTCGATGAAAAAATTCGATTGACTGAATATATATCTGGAATAAAAAAGAAAAAAAAATATTACATCTGTGAAACTATTTGATAATTTAAATATTTTTCATTTCCACATTTTTTAATTTAGCCTACCTTTCATAAATTCATTCCGACCTTTCACTATTGTCATCCTCCACTCAGAAAAATAATAATTTTTTATATTTTTCCCTAAATAAATTACTGTTATATTCCAACCAACTCATTGTTTTCCAAAATAATGACAATAAAACTTTATTGTTACAACAAATATTGCATTAAATTTAGAAAAAAAAGTTTGCCAATGTATTTTATCAGAATGATATTCAATTGAAGTTGAATGATGATGATCATGTAATTTAAAATGATATTATTGATAAAAAAATAAAAATGAAAGAATATTTTCACATAAAAGTTTCTTTACATTATAAATTCACAAGACTCGTTTACTACAGCGTGATAAAAGCTTCTGTATGGAATATATGAATTGATGTAGTAAAGGAATTCTTTGAATAAATGCAATAATTTCTTATGGCATATTCCCTTTGGATATTTCTTTCCTTCTGTCATTCTCAAACTTCTGTACACTGTCACAAAAGCTTCTTTGATTTTCTCTCTGGCGGTTTCCGTCGCTCACGTCGACAACCCCGAGATGAGCCAACCGTCGCTACTGCTGGTCCTATTGTGTCCTTGTACCATACAACGTGAGTGTAAGACAGCTTATACAGTGGAATAATACACCGTCAGGGCTACCAACACACACCACCCATACACTAACTACGCACACAACATACGAATGTCAATGCAATAAGCAGGTAACATGTTCATGGTACACGTCGACGTCAACAACTAAAGAGTTTGCATCTACCCACTACTATATATAAAATATAAAACAATAAAGTGAGGAATGAAAAACGACTAAAATATCTTTACTATTTACATACGAGTTTTCCTATTACATGTCTATTATTCAACAACTAGTTTGTTGTAGATACCAGCCAATGAAATAATGGAGAAATGTTTTATTATTCTTATCCTTTTATATTGTGAAATTTATTCTCAGTGAGATAATGCGGATTTTTGTTATTTTTTCATTCTGTTTGTGCAACAAGATAACTAATTTTAGCTTCAATGAATGGGAATTTTAGAGGTTGGCTAATAGAATCATTTTGTTGAATATCAAATGTGAAAAGTTGACTTTAAATAAACCTTTGAGAAAAACTACTGCTGTTATTTTATTCAATACAGAGTAGTAATATAAACTGAATATCATCAAATTATTCATAGGATTTTTTTTTTTTTTAAATTATTCGTAAGTTATGTTATTGAATTTTTACACTTACTATTTGAGATGTATATTTTTTTTTTCTCTACTTCCACCTGGTATTTTGTGATAAGAAAAAAATTTAATAAATATCTGTAGAATATTTTCTACACTAAATTTTTTACATATATTTGAAAATACTCTGAAAATGTTTTATCACCAACTCTTCTTTTTTTTTTTTTAATTTTATTTTTCATATTTTTTGAAATAAAATTATCAGTAAAAACATTTTCACACTTTTTCTCTCAATATTTATATTTTGGCTCTCACAAAAGATGAAAGAAAAATAAACAATGTACTTTAGAAAGGGAAAAAAGTACTTAACAATCATGGAATTATTATTTTATCAAAACAATTTTATTTTTCAAGTTAAAAAGTTTTATATACAATTACTTCAATTAATTACGACAATAATAAATGACTCTTTACTGATACGAATAATTTACAGTCGAATAATAAGAACAATTACTACTGAAAGGGTAATTTTTATTTTATGTCATTAAAAGAGAAAGAAAGAACACAAATAGAGTAATTTATTGGTAAAACACTTTCTTTACAAATTATAAAGCTCATTGATTTTCATTAATCTTTAAATAAGCCCTCAATAAATAATTCAATTCATTACTGTTGCAGAAAATCGAGACACCTTTTTTGGAGGCAGTTAAGCGAACTCTCGACGATCGTTACACGGAGAATGTGGAGAGTGTATATAAATTGACGATAAAGTTCATAATTGAGACATTAATTGATGGTTATGATAAAGCGCAAAAAGACAATACGAATTCTTAGTCTTTTTCAATGCACAAATGCTAGGCATGGATATACAGTTAATAATGAAAATGTGAAAAAATAAACTATATAAATATATACATATATATATATAAATATATTAAAATAAATATGTGTAAATACTTGAAACAAATATCGTGACCTATTGAAAATGATCAATAGCCAAAAAGACTCTAATCGTTTAAAACGGAAATTCTAGTCAATTCCATTATTATTATTTATTTATATTTCTTACTGTTTTTATGGCTGATCCTTCGTATATAATCATTATGAACTGATTATCTTGATAAAAATGAAAAATGTCATATTTAATCATACTATCTAAAATCCAAAGAAAAAACAAATTACAAAGTGTATTATTAAATTGTAAAATTAATGAAATGTGTGCATAGAGTGTATGTATGTGAGTGTTTATTTATTTCTTAGATTTGGAAATTTTATAAACCATCTAACAAAACTAAAGATAATTTTAAGAAAATTTAAAGTTAAATTAAATTATATAAAATGATTAATTATTTATTGTGTAAAATTATATGAAATGCTTATTAAGAGACTTCTTTGAATTTTACTTTCGCTGCATCTTAATGGGACTGAGGAAGTTATACTGGTAGCTGACTTGATAAGCATTTGATGTAATTATTAAATGAAAATACTTACATGTACCCATACAACACTTTCTCATGATCAACTGATCAAACAGTACTGACTTCTCTCATTGACATTTATAAAAATTAAAATGACTTTCCTGTGTAGACAGTCAAAATAATTATGTTAAATATTGAAATTTTTATTTTTATAATCTAAAATTAATTAAGTTAATATTTTAACGTTTAAAATTATTGGAAAAGTTATTCATTGTATTTTTTCAAATAGATATTTGGTGGTTGAACGTCATATGATTCAGGTGGTTAGATATTTCCAAAACGGAAGTAATCAACAAGACTGCGGTTTCCAAAAAAAAAAAAAAACAAAACCACAGTAATATTTTTTGGCTCCAAGTATTAAATTAAAAATCTACTATTTCATGAAGAGAAAGAAAAAAAGAGAAAATGATCAATGAATTGTATGAATAAATTATTTAAAAACAATCAACATTTTATTATTTTTGAATGCCTACACTGGAATACTTCCTGAATGGTATCTTCGTGCATAAATATTTATACCAAGAAACATGGAATGAAGGTACAAAAAGTATTTTACCGAAAGTCTTCAAAACTAACTGAAAAAACTAACAGAAAAGCCAAAAAAATATACAATAAGTGAATCAATGTAAACACATCTATATTAAAAAAATATATATTATATATATATATATTATATTGAGAATTATTCAGGGTATATGAATGTATCTGATGAAATATTTACATATTATAAATTATAACATACAAAGCATGTGATAAATAGTGATAAAATTAACTTATTACTATCAGCATTATCATTATTATATTATTAATTTAATTTATTACTGAACAAGTATTTATATATATCTTTTTTTATACCAAGATATTTTTCTGCACATATTCTATCTCCTCTTTGGCCTTTATTTTCTTTTTTTATCAGCTATCTTCTTCCCTCTGTATCATTAATGATAGTTGGTGAAGACAGGGGCAATTGAGCTGCTTTTTAGGTCAAGCATCTTTGACACTAATAAGGTAAGAGTACTTTCAAAGTATGACACGTCTTTAAACTCAAAATATTCAAAGCAAACAGTCTAAAAAAATTGTTTATCAAATGTTATTATTTTTATTGTCGGTATTAATCTGTTTAATTTACACGAAAGTAATAAATATTGTAAAACTAAAAATATAAAAAAATTTTAATTATGCAGCTTCTGATGAAATATTTTTAATTAGAAATCAATTAATTCATTTTTGTAATTACCTGCTTTTGTAGATATTTGCCTTTAATTAATGAAAGTATTAGTTTATTATAATGAATAAAATTATAAATAACCTCTTTGAATGATCACTGTGGTGCCTTTGCCCTTCTATATTTCTATTCAATCATTTACTTTTAATTTGATCAAAATTAACTGAGCATGACTTCCCGCAATTACTGAATAATTATACCACATGTTGCCTATACAGTTATTTTGCAGGCAATGCATTTATGTTATTTTTTTATTCTTGATATTTAACTTGTAAGTCATTAATTTATGCCAATGTCAAAGAAAGAGTTCAAAAATTAAAGTTCAATAGGTTACCAGATTAAATGGCCCAGTTTTTTAATGCATTAAAATTCGATACCTCAATTAAACGAAATCTTCTATTTTTTTATTTACTAAATATTAATATACAAATAGTTATTTAAACATTTATTTGCATTTTCTTAAATAAACAAGACACTCAATAAATTATAAATTAATAATTTAAAAAATTATTAGCCATTTGTAAATAATTGTTTTATTTCAATACAGCGCCACCATTGGTTCTACAGATGGCCAGTAGTTGTCGCTAGCATCCAAGAACAAAAAGACAACAAAAATGGCGGATATTTTGATGCGCGCTAAATACGTCAGAAACGTAATGTAATGCGTAAACTCAAAAAACAAGTGATGGTTAAAAATAGAATACTAATCTAAATATTATCACTAAATAAATTATCATCATTGAATTCCGAACGAATATCAAACTTCCAAGTAAGTGCTCGGATCTTTTATCACTGAATTATGAAAACATTTTATCTTGAAAATAACCTGAAAACCTAAGTTACATTTCAAAACAATACTTATAGGTTAGATTGTTATTTAGATTTTCTAACAATAATCTTAAAAAAAATTTTAATTCACAGTTTATTAGGAGATTGCGTGCTCCTAATCGTAGATGCCAAGCGTTAAAGATGAGTCAGAGCCTGAAGGCGAAGAAATGTCGCACGATAGCAACAACAGTGACCAAAGCTCGGCCTCCTGTGACAGCAGTGCAGATCACAGTGACAGCGATGACTCTTCCGAGATGGATGAAGATGAATGTGAGAGAAGGAGAAATGAATGCATGGAAAACTTGGTTGATCTAGAGCGGCAATTTGCACTCTTGAAAGAACAGTAATGTATATTTTATTTACTCGAATCCTTAGCTATAATTATCACTCTAACTATGAACAAATTGATGAATTATTTACTTGATTTAGTTTCATCTTATCAAATTACAACTAAAATAATAAGAACGCAACATTTAATTGTTACTTGTTGAAGCAAATGAAAAGTAACAATCGAATTACATCATTTTTCAATGTTAAAATAAAATTTCCTTTCAGACTTTATCGAGAAAGGATTACTCAGGTTGATACGAAGCTTAGTGAAGTACGGGTTGGTAAATCAGAAGAGTACCTGATACCCTTGGAACGTCTAAAAGAGAATATGAAAACAAAAACAGAAGTAGCTGGCATTTTAAGAGAGTTAAGGGTACAGAATATACAAAATAAATTTTTAGCTGAAGAACAAGCAGCTTTACAGAACTTTGAAAGTGAGAAGGAACTTGTGTGGGATGCAATCTATAGTGATTTGCAAGAAAAAATAAGACGATTAGAGGAAGATCGTAATAATGTTGATATTCATGCGGACTTGTGGTTCAATTCAAGTGGCAGAAAACGTCGAAGTCATGCTGAAAGACGTAGAGCTGTATCAGTTACTGGTCCTTACATTGTTTATATGCTGAATGATGCTGATATTCTCGAAGATTGGGCATTGATTAAGAAAAGTTTAAGTAGTCGAAAAGCTGAAATTCTTTGAGTGATCATTCATTTTCCAAAACTTGTATACAGTTTGCTAAATTACATATAAATATTTTCAATTAATTCATTGTAAATTATTGGTATAAGATTTATATATACATGAAGAGCGAAAGGACGAGAGAATGAGTGAAAGGTACTTAGAATTATCACTTCAAATTTTTAATAATAAAAAATTAAAAAGATTCTTGTATAACTAATGGATCATATAATTTATCCCATCTATTTCCAATATGGTTTTAAATTTCATTTATGGTTTATTTATTAATTGAATAATATTAAATATTCAATTTAATATTGATTTGATTTTTTTATTATGAACTGAATACTGATAACTAGGTGATCTTTATTTTTTAATCAACTTTCAACTTAATTTTTTTGAACAAAAATAATTGAATTAAAGTATAAATAAAATTGAAAATAGACGAGTATAAAAGAATTACAATTTTTTTTTTTTTTCATTCCATTATTATTTTTATCTCAAATATTTAATTCGTTTATTAATCAATTTATTTAGAGTCATTTTTTTTTTTTTCTTTTAAACGTTATTTTTATTATTTAGTCTATGTACAACACATACGTACAATACGTGATCCTTGATTAAAACTATTGTAACTACTTTTATTTTGAAATATAATTCCAATTATCTTTTGGCAACCATCTCCATCCACATACTTTGTCTACGAATCTTAGACTATACTTTTTTTTATCTTTTCTGCAACGTACTTACAACAATAATAAATAGAACATTAAATATTTTTTGTATGTACGTTTTTCAAGTATTTTTTTTTCTTTTTTTTTTTGATATGTTACAAATGTATATTTTAAATTCTATCTCGATATAGGAACATTTCATGGAATTAAATGTTTTAACTTTCTCACAGTGGTTACTTTTTAAAAGTTTTTTTACAGAAAAGAAATTTGTGGTTTATTTTATCTATTTATTTATATTGCTTAGATCAATATACAAAGTAAAATTAAGAGAACAATTTTATAGTGAGAATTTCCAATTTTTAATTTGTAGAATAATTCTTTTTTTCTTTTTATTTATTTTATCGTTAAACTTAGAATATAACATGTATTTTGTTTTTTCACAAAATATATTTGCACAATAGTTAATTAACTAAACTAGTTGATAAAATGAATCATTCAATTATTCATTTTTTTTTCTTGTAAGTACACCTGATTTATGTTTTTAAAAAGACATTTAAAAATTGTAAGAGCTATTCTAATATACTCGCCAATTACACTAAGACCGTACATCCGTTGTATTTTTACCTATCATTATTTATTTACAAATAAAGTATCATGGCATTGATGTCCTCTTGCCATTAGATATTTTATCATATTTTTTTTTTTTTGTATTATGACTTTTTTTTTAAATTTAAACAACTTTTAAAACATGCTTCGTTGTTGGATAAATAACGAAACAGTCTTTGGTCTTTATTCACTAAGTTTCTCTCCCACTTTAATATTAAAAATTAGACAATTCAATTGTACATATGTAAAAAAAAAAAACTATTTTACAACAAAACATTTAAATAAATATATTGACAAACATTACAACACATTTATGTGTCTAAAACAAATAATTACTCGATTATTTAATTGGAAGAAAAAGAGTTAATTTTTCTCCAGATTATTTAATTATTGTTACCTTTTAATTATTAAAATAAAAAAGATTTTTGGATATATTGATTAAATATGAAATTAATAAAATTGGAATGAAAATAAATAAAATACAAAAGTCTCTGTCAGATTCTTATGTTATCTCTACTGTTATCATCATTATCAATATTATCATTATAATTATTGTTTTAATAATTAATTATTTAATTAATTATCATTAGTATCAATATTATAATTATAATTAATATTATTTTTAATATTATTATTTAGACTCTTTATTTAAAGTCGAAAGTTAACGATAAGAATTATGTTTGGTATTGAAGCATTGGAGCGGCTAAATTTGGATGATGTGCTGTATTCATTCTTAGTGCTGAAATACTTTTATTGTACCATTCATCTTCTGCAGACATTCCTGTAAATAATTAAAAATTTAATTTATTTATATTTTTTTTATTATTATTAGTAATGATAATTTATTAATATAATAATATAGAAAATTAACTGGAAAGAAGAATATAAGGATGTTTAGGACATAGATATAGAAAAGGACTCAAGTCGATAAGCAATTTACGAATAATCTTGATTCAATTTAAAAGCGATGTACCATCTTGTGCAGGAAATGACATAAGATGGTGCTTGAGAGGAAATGAAGCATCTTCGAGTGAGTAAAGTTGATGTTATTTTATGTTTCAGTAATTTTCTAGATTTTATGTTACTATGTTTTGATAATCATTTTTAATATTTTTGATTCAAGAAGCAATTCAGTATATCATTTAAAGATATTAAATAGAATTCAATTCAAATTGATGATTGACTAACAATAATTTTCAAAGAAGATAAAATAAATAATGGAAATTATTATTTGACTTTTGGAAATGTATTTACTTTAATAACTTGAGTATCAGTGATGGATAAATAAAAAGATTGCCTAGAGAAGATTGAAATAAAATAATTACTCAAGGTAATAAAATTTGCATAATAGAATTAAATAGTAATAGACATTTACTGCAGGTATTTTTTTTAATTAAATAACAATTAAAATGGAATATTTTGATTTTATAATTATTGTTGATAAAAAATAATAACTTACCCATAGCATCTTGTCGCATTCCCGTTACTGCTGACATATTAGACGCCGAATGTGTCATGGAAAAAGGCTGAGGCATACTTGGATAAGAAGTAGCACCCATCTATAAATAATAAAGTAATATAAATAATCACTTGAAGATAATGAAAATTTTGAAATTAAATTTATTCCATTAATATGAATACACGATGTCATATACTGGTTTCATGTAAGTTATGAGTTTAATTAAAGTGACAGGCTTTCAGTAATTTACAGTGGGCTTGACTAATTACTTGAAATGCAATTTAATTACATGAGGATACATCGTTGGACCGCACGTATATGCCATATATCACAGCAATTAATGAATTCGTGGGCTTACTGAGATAACTGATATAGGAAGACTGAATAGGTATATTCATAGGTCCATCCTGATGTATCCTATCAGTTGGAATTTACTTATGAGGTCTACTTAATTTACCTGTGGATAACGATTAATGCCATTTATACTGTTGTGCGGATGAGCATAAGGTTGATATCCTCTTCCAGCTCCAGGATAAATATTCCTCATCATCGCACCTTGACATGCTGGTATTGGTGCTAGTGCTTTTTGCAATTGTTTCTCTTGTTTTCTGTATTTTGCTCTCCTGTTTTGAAACCATACCTGCAAAGGAAAAAATATGTATAATTAATTTAAACAAGATCAATAGCTTTGTAATTACATTTATCGTACCCAATAATTAATTTTAAAAACCATGAAATATTAGATTATAAAACCCTAGCATCATAGTTTCTTCTCTGGTGACTTTTTTGATGAAATTTGTCATCAAAGAATCGACATGATATCAGAGAATCACATGAATTTATGATCAACCTATCGATTAATTCAACATCTCAATGGAGTTGACGAAGAATAAAGATTGCTGGAAGTTGATGATAGTCTGGAGTTAAATGAGATATTCTTTCTGTGAGTATAAAGTTATTCTTCTCAACGTGGTATCAACATACAGACCAAAATTTCATCAATTTTCCAGGATAATTTAGAAGATCGGTGGAAGTTAATAATAACGTATCAATGGTATGTGTTTGGCAGTGTTTGATGGAAATAAAAATGGAGTAGGTGATGGATATAGGGGGTTGGATAGTTGCAGCGTGACCGATGAGAGGTTGGTTGCCATGGGAAACATCACCGCGATATGAGGACCAGTAAAAGCGGTCCGAATCACTATTATCCCCACATTGGTGATGGATAAGAAAGCCCGCGGATGCGGGTGGTGAATTTCAAGGGAAGAGGGATGCTACTTGGCTTGCGCTATTGGATGCTACTCAACGCATGACGTCATACCGAGAGATCCCATTGGTAGATACGTTTTATCGACATTTCTAGACTGTAAACGCGCCCCCGAGAGTACGATATATCGCGACTGTAAATCCGCGAGTACGTAGAACGCATGTAATATGACGTAATTTTAAATTTACCAGGTATTTATAGCTTTTATTCTCTTCAACTTTTGCTAATGCTATTTATCTTTATCAAAGGAATTTATTGAAGTTTAAGCTATAATATTTATTTCCAGGATTTTTATTTCATGCTCTGAAGAATTCATGCACTCTAGGGTGATACATTGTACAGAATAGCTGAAACTAGAAACCAGTTTGGTAGAATTTTAGATATTTTGAATCATATCAGAGGAATTGGTTTCTTGGGATGTAAAACATCTCAACTAGAATGAAAAGATTCTTTTCATGAGTAGGATAACTTTCTGAAGTCAGCAATAAGATTTTCATTTATTTGCTTCACTTGGAAGATATCGGTGTAGATTACTTTTGAATAAACTGGAGGACATCTGGAAGATAATCTAAAGGTATCTACAAGATGACCAAAAAGATGTCTAGAACATGCCTAAAAGATGTCCAATAAGCTTCAAAATGTTTAAAAAGCATTTTGGATGTCTTTTAGAGATTATTTTGAATATCTTTAGGACATCATTGGAGATGTCTTTTAGATATCATTTTTGATATTCAATAACAATTTGATGATTATCTAAAATCAAAGCTTCAAAAGGATATAGGTATCATTTTGGACACCTACACAACAACTGTGAGGATAAATTCAGGCATCAGATATTTGTTTAAAGTTATCTGGAAGACATCTTTCAGACAACTCTTTTTAGCTGGCTATATCTTGTGATTTTTACTTTATGAATTTTCTGATCATAAAATCTGGAGAAATAATTCAAAAGCTAAAGAAGACGATTGTAAATTCTACCTCTAGAAGACTCTTTAATTTTCTTCAATACTTTGTCGATGACTTTTTAATAATGATCTCCAACTAGATATTTGGTTTTATGAAGAACCTACTAATAGCGAAGCTTTTGACTGAACAAAAAATGAATATTTATCATAAAGTCTAAGAAATGTACATATTTGGTGAAGACTTTATCAAGGTAGAAGAGTAATATATGTGATGTACATAAAAAAAATGTACATTCAAAGATTCTCATCTTGTATTTTAGCTTTTATACAGGATGAAGTAGACGAGTAGAGGATGAAAGACGTGTAGCTTGGAAGAGAACTGAAAAGCTAAGAAGAGCTTGTAATTCAATAACCATATCTACTACTCTCTTTCTCTTTACTCAGCCCAGTCTTATCTGCTACTTCTATACGATAGGGAGAGTTTTGTCATGAGAGGAAGACGAGAAATACTGAAGTAGATATGTATAGAGTCTGGTTAGAAGGTGCTTGTTCTCAAGGGGAATGAAAGTTACTGGAATGTCTGCTATTCGACTTCTTCACTACTTTTCCTATCAACAATTTTCTTACCCTTATTTATTAGCCAACAATTATAGACCTGATAAATATGAAAGTAACTGATGTTCAATGTAATTTTTTTATTTATGTGGAAATGATGAAAAATAAAAAAGAAATGATTAGAATTGGAAAAAAAGCTAAAAAAATAGCCTACAGCTACTGGTAAAAGTGGGTAGTAAAATTGAGATGAGTCAAGGATGGGCGATGATGTACCGGAGGCTGCCATTATATCTCAGCCGCCATTTTAAATCAAATTTTCTCTACCCTCGATAGATCTGAAATGTCTCGGCCTTGGAGAGCATCTCTTTCTGTCTCACGACTTCTTGGCTTCCCTTTTTAGTCGACCCTTCTTCTCTATATATAGCTCTACACATTTTGCGATGGATATCCGAACTTTCTATTAGAACTCAATACTTTACTTCAGAAAAAAAACCCCTTTTAAAAAATTATTACCATCATTATTGTAAACAAAAAACATTTTTTTATTTAATAACATTGATGATAGATGGAATTATTCTGATGTATCAAATAAAATCAAACACTTTTAATAGAAGAAAGGTTATTTTTATAAAGTGAAAAATAATCCTAAAACGTAAAATAACGTTAGATGGTGAAAGAATAATTCCTAAATCACCGCACAAGAAATCTCATTATAGGAACGTGAAAAAAGAGTATGAAAAAAATGGAGATCCGGTGGTACCGATATCAAATTAACCGAGTTTTCATTCGAACTTTTGCCAATCACTTTTGCTCTCAATTTTTTATCTCATTTCACTTTTACATTCAGTTTTATGCCATAATATTTGATTCAATAAGATGATTTATAATATTCTTTGTCAATTTAATTAATAAATTATCATTCTTAAAGGCATGTATGATTACCCAACTCTCTTCTAGAAGCTTCAAAAATCCATTTTAAAATTACTTTGACTTCATTTCCACTTTGAAAACGAATGGAACCATTTAGAGTGACATTTGGAAAAAAAAAAGTACATGAAAAATCTGGAATAGTTTGATAGAGATATTAAATGATTAGTAAACATTTTAAGTGACGAATTAAAAAGATACAGCGAAAAAATAATAAAGAGTACAGGAAATACCTCAGCGAAGTGTGGAAGTGATCCTTTGTGCATAACTTATATAGGCAGCGGGTGCAGTAAAAGCAAACCACGTTTTACTTGGCATCGCAGTTTAACAGGGTTAAGTCATGGCGGTTCTCGGGCTTTTAACGCAAACAACACTCTTGCATTATATATCAAAAGCGGGAACGTTGCGTCGACTGTTTTAATATGTACTTGCCTACCGCCTCGTCAGAGTTTTGCAAATTTCCCATTCGCGTATTACGACTCAAACCGTACACACTTTACAAAATAATTTCTACACTCTATGTACCCGACCAGAGCTTTGCTCCAAAATTTACTTTTATTCATTTCACCCATTTTGCTCATTTATTTCTCAAGCTTCTGCTTTCCTTTTTTGCATACTTTGTGTTCTATAAATATTTCTAAATCATATTTTGGTTTTAGGTAGAAAAAAATGTCCGTTAGGAACTATGGCGGTGATTAATTTTAAATTATAAGAATTTTATGTATTTTTTTTTTTTTAATTTTAAAATTATTATTTTCTTTCAACTTTCATCAAAGTAATTTTGAATATTCTGAGACTAAATTAATTGTTCAACAATTTATAATTTATAAAAATTTAATTGATACAATTAATAATGTATTACATTTATTGACTTGAAGTAAGCTCATCAATAGAAGATAAATTAAAATAAAAAATTATTGTATATATTTTCAAGAATTGCTTTAAATAATACAGGTAATGCTGTCAAGTTTTTTTTAAGATTATTTTTTATTTTATAATAACAAATTAATTAATTTTTTTTAAGTAAAAATTGGATTCATAACCTCGAAGTGCTACTAAAAATGGAAAAATCTGTAATCCAAGGATTGGTTTAATTAATCAAATCTTAGCTTCAAGATCAAATAACATTTTAAGGAATTTTAATTCTTATTCTATTATAATCTTAACAATGTATCTATTTTATGAATGATAATGTCCATCTATTAATCTGTTCATCTAATCTTATTGCAAAGTTGACAGGTAAATTGAAGTGTATTACATTCATATGTATCAACTTATTCAATTACACTTTATTATAGTGAAAGATGATTATCAAATATCTATAGTTACTTTGCAATGTTTTATATTGACCATATTTTAGTATGCTAAATCTTAACACACTCATTATGCTAATTGACTTATTGTTATTGTTCATTAACGAGTGTTCATTAACTAACCATCAACAGTTAGCATTGAATCTGACTAAGATGATTGAGTTTTGGTGATTGTTAATCATTATTTTCTATTAAAAAAAAAAATAAGAAGAAAAAATTCTAGATGTTATTTAATAATTAAGTAAAAAATACAGTTTAATTACACTAATTACGAGGAAGAACAAAATGCAATTTAATAAAGCACAGTTAACTGTGCTAGTGAAAAAAATATATATTAAACAGGATCTAAAAATACCTAAATACACTAGAGTAACCTATTCCCCAGAGTGACCCCTACGTCTGATGCTACTTTGGAGTTGCAATTGAAATCTTTGATGAAAGCATCGGATGTGTAGGAAGAAAAAGTGGAAGAAAAGAAATCGAAAAAGAGGGTCAAGTTACAGGAAAACGCAGGAGAGATATCTTGAATCGACATTTGCGCTGGTAATTCAATTGTAGCACCCCTGCACATTCGCGTCTTTGATTCAATTACATGTAGGATGAGTCACACTGAGAGAAAGAGAATGAAGTAAAACGACTAGAAATGGAACAACTCACTAAAAGTATGTAGTCAATACATATATGTACGTTGATAAAAATATCAAAAACATGAACACATTATATTAATATTTAATGAGAATAATTTACATCTTGATAATGAGTTTTCTAGTGAAATTGTGAGTTTTTCATGCATACACTTGACGAAAATTATCACAGTCGGTGCAAACAATTCTCCTGCTGTGCTTATGATCATGTATGGGCTTTATGATGCTACAGACTGCAGCTTAATCGAGTCTGGATCAACATCAACGAGGCTCTGACTTTATGAACTAGGACAATGAACCTTTGAAGATTGTAATGGAAAAATATTGGAGTAAAATGTTTTTTCATGTACTACAATTTTTCTTTAAATAGATACCTTTTTTCTTTCAAAATAAATCACATTATGTAAATGATGAAAAGATCATATTTTTAAGCTAAATTAATTCTAACAAAAAGAATGCTATAACGACATGTTTTTTTTTCTATAATTTAGAATTAAAATTTTATCAACAATTAAACTTGAAATTGGATTGTAGTCTACTTTGAATCGAAAATACCAGTCTGTAGACAAGTAATTAATGGATAATCAGTCTAGATCAGGACAGAGGCTCTACTAAGTTGATGAAATGAAACTATGCTAATGGATCTAGACACCAATGGTTGTTGTGCATTTGTTTATAGCACCTTAGAAGTAATATTAATGAAATAAATAACGACAAGATGTCATCATACCTCAAACTCTTTTTTAAATGAAATAATTTTAGAAATACATCAAATAGACTTCAAGAATTTTAAAAATTATTATCATTGTTGATCAGACAATTGGGTGATCGTTGAATCAATTTACAAACAAAATTCTAGAGTTGGAAAACAATTGTTAACGATCAACAACATTAACAGAGGAATGTGCTATGTGTTATTGTACTCATGTGTACACCATGTAGAAAAAGATACTCTACTCACCTGGATTCTGGCCTCGTTCAATTTCGTGCTTCTCGCTAATTCCTCTCTGCAGTATATGTCCGGATAATGGGATTTCGCGAATGCCGATTCCAATTCCGCCAGCTGCTCCTGCGAAACAATTGGAAACCGTATTTGAAGGTACGTCGGTTCTATCTATATACATTTACATGTATGTGTATATGGACATGTGTATGTGGCTATGTGGAATCAACTAAAGCTGGAATATGTTGGTATATATGCACATTCAGAAGTGTCTGGTAATCCCACGTACATGGTAATCGCGTAATCAACAGCGAGTTGCAATGTGAAACAAAGTCCCCAAATTTATTATTCTGCCTACATGTCCTCCATTCAAATATTCATTTGAAATTTTCGCCAATTAACAGATATATGAGATGATGATACCTGGGTAAATGTAGTCCTATGTCGTCTTCTAGCGGGTGTAGGACAGCTGGCTGTGGTTGGAGTGTGGCCGATGTGAGGACTGGAGGCGCAGGGTTCGGGTTTCAATTTTTTAAAGGCTCCCTCAGCACCTGAAAACACCACAAAAACCTTTTTTTATGCCACATCATTACTTAAACTGCTTTAATATGTTTAGATCTTTCAGATTAAAGAGACCAGGATCATCATTCAATCATTATTATCATTTTAGCTACTTCATTGTTGGGTTGGTATTTAATTCAATGATTCCTAATGTTAAATATATTCCAATATTAATTGAACAATTGTCCACAGATCAATAATTACTGATGAAGAGGATTTAAAGTAGTAGATTGAAGCCAAGAAACCAAGTGTGAATGTGAGAGAATGAACAGGTGCCAACGAGCCTAGCCAAAGTCGAGTCCATAGCTCGCACCATAACTAACTTGGTTAAAGCGTTAATTATCTAATCATGTTACATGCTGATTCAATATATTTAAGGATGAATGCTGTCCACTTTGCGCATCTCCTTACCCCTTACGTTTACTTCATTCAAGTATTCTCCTTATAACTACCTAGAAACTCGGTCAAGTTCACCTATACTTCATCAATTATCTCTTAGATAATATCAATTATTCAAATGCTATTAAAATACTTGCCAGCAATCTGCTACTCAATTTTTCATATTATTTTTTTTCTTCTCAATATCTAGGAGGTTTTTAGTAAGTAATAGCAGTCATTTTTATCTAAAAAGCTGATAGTTATTTAATTTAATTCTTCAAAAGAAATAAGAAAAGAGAATATAAAGTCACTGTTGATTGTTTGATTTTATCTATCTTCTGACTTTCTAATTTAGTTCTTTCTACTCCCTGTTCTATTGAAAGAACCTGTTAACAACAAAACTTATATACTGTTGAGAGCAAATACTGTTATATGAACTGATGATGTACATATATACATGAGATTTGAGCTACTAGGGTGAACTACAAGTGAGTGAAACATTTGACACCGTATCATTTAGCAGGAGCGCGAGTGTCGAACAACGAATAAGCCATCTGTCACCTATTCTAGTGTCCGTCGCTGTCGGCAGCTCAAATAATTAGTAGCAATTCTAGATCTAATATAACGGACTATGATGCATCATGTCACTTCTAATAATGTCCAGTCTGCTCTGGATGAACGACAAAAAAATCTGAAAGCCATCCATGATGTTTCTGGACACTTTTCAGCTGCATTTCCAAACATCTGCAAAGGATTACCAATTACTAACGAGATGAACAACGAAATTGGTTCATGGTGGTAAAGGCTTAGCTACTGCTACTTATTGGACCTATTAACAACATTAATGATCATTTGGATTTAATCATGAATGATAATTGTTTGGTATTGAAAAACAATCATTATAAATAATTTATCTAGCAGAGAGATGAATGAATGATCATCAATATTAAATACTTTTTTAATTTGTCTTATTATGGGAAAGAGTTGAAGTTGAAATTGATTTGTTGATCCATGATGGAATAAATGATGAGAATTGTTTAAATGTGTATTGGTCATGAGTTGATCAAAATGAATCTTATATTCCAAAGTCAGAAGTCGGTGTCTGTAACATATCAAGTGATTTGCATAACGTCCGAAATGTCCGTAGCGTATGAAGTTACCTGTACAATTGCTGTAAATTATTAGATCATTAAAATTCATAGAAATTAATGAATAAATTAAATGATAAAATTATTCAAACTAATTCTTTGACTTCTAGATCAACTTTTCGAGTATCTCTACTCCAAAATGTGATGATCAATTTACTTATTTATTTATAATAAATAAAAGTTTGTTGATCAATTATGAATATCATTTGAAAGGATTATTTTTCAAAGTGTGAAAATGAATACTAATGATGCTGAATAAGAGGTTTATTTGAATGACTTGTAAGAGTGACAAGACTAGCAATCGGTCTGGTATAGTGTATTATTAAAGCTCCCCATTCAGTCGCCCTTTTAAAGGTCCATCAGCAGACAATATAATAGCTTGACAACAGGTACAACCATATGCCGATCTCGCGGCCCCATTGTCCACAAGAGCTCGAACCCCCCATGTTGCCGCAACACAACGAGACTACCATCACTTGGAGATTTAACGACCGGAAAATTTATCCATCTCGAGAGGACTGTGCTTTTTCAATAAGCCGTGTTATTACACAGCAAATACGTGCTAAGAGTCTGATGTTTTTTTTTGCCTTAGTGTAATGTTTCTGATGATAAACATACTAGACTTTTGATAAATAGCTGGTGAAGATTTATTTTTATCATTCTTTTTTGAAAACAAACATTTAATGATTTATAATAAAATGAATCAACAATGTTGATGATCTATTGGAATAGTTCAATGTCATCAGGATTACAATATTTAAATATTAGTTCTGAATAGAAGTTAGTCATTGGAATTGATGGAGAATTAGATGTAGTAAAAGTTGAATTGAAGTTGAAGTATAATTAAAATAAGTTATGGAAGATTTATTAAAAACCCTTCAAGGCAGTTGATCTTCAAGTTGAAACTTTTGATTAATATAAATCTACTGTTTGTTAATTATAATAAAAAATTCTAAGATATTTTATTTCTATACTTTTAATTGTGAACAAGCATCAATGAATCAATTACTCTTGGTCATGGAATAATTTTTAAATTTATTTGAAGCCAATGTTTGATTATTGAAATGAATTCTTTGGTCATTCTTACTTGTTTTCAATTGAATTATTGAGAAAATAAATAAATCAGTTCTAAAATTTATGAAAAAGAAAGAAAAAATGTATTAAATACCCCAAAGAATTAGGAAGCTTACACTTAAAAAGTGTTGATAAATAATGAGTATTCATCAAACAGTTCTCACCAACACTCGTGGTATTGCCAACGGAGTTTCTGCCGGGTGTAGCCGCGGGTGTAGGTGGACTAGCTTCTAAACCTTGATGAACTCCATAGAGTCCAAAGTCCTGTTCATTGGAACTTGTGCTGCTACACTTTCTCTTTTCTTGATTATGATTAAGATGAAAAGTATCGTTCTCAACGAGACCGACTCCAAGAAGACCAAGGTTTGGCCTCAATTCATCCATCAGTTTATTCTGACTGCAATTAGCTGCTGCAGCAGAGAAATTTAATTGACGACTAAAGATAGCAGGAAATATATTAAATTGCTGATGGTCCAGGCTTAACGCGGTGGTTGGCAGGGAACCACCCACGGAGGTGCCACCGACGGATCCAACACCGCCACCTGGGCCGTTGCTACCAGATAAGTCGTTAGCCAGGATGATGCCGGGGTGACCCTGCTGCAGCGCGAGGTCGTACACACTTTATTTTATTTAACTCGGTATTACGAGAACATTATACCATTATATTGTCTACTAAACTTCAACTATATTGCACTAGTTTACAATGGACTCTCTATCAAAACAATACTAATTTAATCATTGGACAACCTGGTCCAACTTTGATTCAGTTGTTGATTTTATTCTGATGAATTACAACACTTGTCTATGTTAATCCTGTTCACAATTATGATCAGTAGGATTGGTCCAATTGTTTAAAGCACACAAATAATCTTTCCACCATGCCACTGTATAATATCCTCAGCAGACCAACTGGAAAATAATCAATCTCCACTGGTATGTTTAACGCACAAAATATTCAAAGTAGTAAATATACATATCCAAGTAATTTAATTAATTAAATGTTGATGAATGTAAAAGAAAAGAAGATGATCTCGTAGTGGTCTTTAGTCACCCTCCTTCCCCCTTCTCCTTACTACAATTCACCAAGTGCTGCACGCGACTCTACGATCCGTCCCGATTGCAAATTCAAATTTTATTAAACCTGATTGAATTTAAACATCTCAGTCGGTTAGTGATGGTGAGGACAGCGTCCTTGGAAATTCAAATTCGTTTAATAATTGGCGGGAATGAGATTAAAGGAATTGCCGGTTACTCCTGGTGATTTGTGTGTATAATTCAATGGGTTAATGTTGATTTATTGCTGTCTCTCCAATGATATTTAGCACTTAAGAACAAGTAATTCGCGGCGGGGTGCTCGAGATATATTAATAAATCAAGTTTAATTGGTAAGAAGTTGATGTTGTTCGAGTTAAGATATCCGGAATCGACACTGATGATGGTGATGATGATGGGGATACGTTCGCCGTGAGTTCTTGTGGGATTCTGTCCGCGAAATGCAGTTATCCCAGTAACTTGGGGGATGCGTCCATAGCGGTGGGGGCAACACCGGCCCCTGGACGTATTCACAGAGGGTGCAATCCACCCTCTCATGCTATCACTGAATACGGTCTCCCAGTCTGACTGGTTACGAGCTGCCAAGCGTTGTCATGGCAATGACCAATCACACGCCCTGAATGTGCACGGGTTTACCCCTACATTCAATATGGCGGTCGTCCAATGAAAATTCCTCTGGAAAATAGCCTGCAAGCGATTTTCTTCCCTTGCTCATCCTCTCTTTGGTCCTGTCTCATTTTTTTGTCTTGCTGTTTCATTTGGTTTTTTTCCTTTTTTTTTTTTTTTTTGTTTTTTCATTTATTTTTGCTTCAGGTATTTTTTCCCTTGCACTCCTTCTTTTTCTTACTTTTCAATGATAATTTATCAGTTTTTTACGATTAATAAGTCGACTTGACTTCGGTATCCAATCATTGAGTAACTTTCTTTTTTTTCAAAGCATTACTCTAGTGATAAAGCGCTTTTTTAGATCAGACATATCAACAGAATGAGCTTTAAAGAAATCACTTAGATTCTTTTTTTCTAGGATAATTGATTTTTTTATTTGATTATAGAATTTATATGTTGCAAAAGAAAATTGTTATGATGCTGAAAAATACTTGATGCATAGTTTCTTGTAATTATTTTTTTTTTTTTGTCAAATAAACTTATGACTCTGAAAAGTAAATAAATTACACAGGCTTTTTCTGTATTTATAAAAAAAAAAAAAAGTTCTCTATATAAGACATGTATTATTTTTTTTTAAACAAAATTAAATCAAATTGTAGATAGAAAAATTTTATAATCATAAATTTAAATATGATTAATAATTTATTTTCAAAATATCAAGCTTTTAAAACTGAATATTACTGACTATATTTTTTAAAATAAAAAATACATGACATAATAAATCATTTCTATATATCATATATTAAGAATAAGATTCAAAATTAATAATAATTATTTAAATAAATAATCCCTTATTTTCAAGTAGTATAAAATTATTTTAGTCAGACCAATTTAATTATCAATAAAAAGCTAATATTTCTTTTTATGTTATTTCATTCTTTTTTTTTTTTTTTTAAATTATATTTATTGATAGATTACCTTTTATCGTTTGAAATAAGCCTTGTGACGGTGATAATTAAAGATACGACAGCAATTTGATTCTTTAGAAATGAAGCAAAAATAGAACGCCCACTGACACGCGCTGAAACACGTCTTTCGGGACTGTAATTTGTTCAACAATGAAATGTTGGATGGAATAAAAAGCGGGCCAATTCAAAACCAAAACTGTAAGGTTGAGGTTTTATTGTATGTAATTGTAAAAAATATAAAGCCTTGCATTGTAACTTTACATTGGTCCAGTAAAAATGAAAGTAAGACTGTGATAAGGTCCTAGTTAGTTCAGCTGTATCCCACAGTCAATAATGTAACACCATAGGAAGTAATAACTTCAAATAATATTAACCTGTAAAATAAAAAATTATATTATAAATAATTTCTTTTCCAATTATTTCATTTTTAAATAATTAATAAATCTAGTGTGCTTACTTTAATTTTTTAAAAATTGTTTCCATCACAATCATCAGTTAAACATTACATCCAAGTGTTCTTCAATGCTATCAAATGATTTTCCAAGAGTTCTGAAAGGAAAAGAAGTTTAAAAAAGAAAAATAATAGCAACAAAATGATGACAATTGAAGCAAATATCTGCTTTGATATCAGAGCCGGGTAGAATAAAAAATCTAGTTCTATGTAGGCATATGAATGTCCAAGTAAAGCGTAAACTCATGTGGCGAATGTGACAGATTTGGACCACGCCCCACCGATATGGCACCCCTGTTGTCGTTAAAAGTAGTAGGACCGCTGGATGAACTCTATACCTCTGTCATGCTCTTACGCACGCTTGCAAATATCACCAACTATCACCTACACACATTGTTATATAGACACATGAATACGTGTGCTCAATACAACTTGCTGAAATTTCGGAACATATAGCTTTGATCTGCATATGGCTATCGAAGGTTGCAGTACAATCAATCGAACTTTCAATCTATTTCCACTGAACTTTATATCCTTGTAATAAAGTCTTCTATTCATTTAATATGTATAGATTTTTTTTCATCAAAAAATATACATTTATGTTCATAATTATCACATCTGTTGGAAATATTTTTTTTCCTGAAAATAAATATTAGTTTTGTATTATTTTTAATCTGATTAAAAGTTTGCTTATGATAATTAGCAATTTTTTGAAAAATTTATCAATGAATGGCAAAAAATTTAGGTAAATTATCATCAATTGTTATCGTGGTGAGGAAATAACTGTATGTCACACTTAATTCAAAGATTGAAAGTGAAGTCAAATCATACATGAGGAGTATCTGGACAAGTGTGGTTTTATCATCAGCACGTGCCATAAATAAAATCAATTGGCCAACACGTGTCAACCAAAATCCTATTGCTCCCACGTTTAATTTCACATAAAACGCCTACTTCCAGCTTACATTAAGCATATTGTTTTATGTAAATATTAGTGTTTATTTTTGTTCCAATGGCATTTCAATATTCATCACAACTTCTTTAATCATCATATCTGAATATTTCTTTTAAATATTCTCCAACATTAATTAAAACTCTTGGTAAATTTTTTTAAAGTGCTTTTGGAAGAGTACCAGTTCATGGAGATCTGAAAACATACAGGATTATAAATTTCAAACAATTAAATTACAAATAATCATACATAAACATTATTATAATTTATTTAATACCAACTTTCAATCATCAATTATCTTTTTAAAAATTCTTTTAACAACAATGTTATTGAAAAGTTCAATCTATGAATGCTTTAGCCAGTTTTTTTTGTAATTAATAAACCTAGAAAGACTTTTATAATTGATCAATAAAAGCATAAATATAATTTTTGTTTTAAATAAAAATCAATGGGATATCAACAACATAAAAAAACGACAAAATTAGTCGTATATTATAATAAAATAGAAATAAAAACAATAATGGAAGCTTGATAGATAGACTTGTTGAATTTTAAAAAAATTTTCGTTTGAATTCAGTACATCTATATGATAGAGTTGAGGATGTATATGTATGTTTCTCGAAGTGAGCTAGCTTTAGCTCATTATCTACGGCCAAGTCTTCTCTTCTGGCAGAAGGAAAACTAAGAGAAGAGCCGTAAAAGCTCTCTGAAGAAAAGAGAAGAGTTGAGAAGAGAATGAGAAGGTGAAGGAAAGAGAAAGAGATAGTACTACCCTACTCATGGGGCGGAAGCGTCACGTACTGCTCTGAAACAAAAACGTAGCGACGTCAAATGCAATTACGAGAGCTGCGAGAGCTCTAGAACGCGGATGCTGCGCTATAGGTTAGATGCAGGGCCAGGGGGACCAGAAACGAAGAGGGAGATCCCGGTTGAGCGAACGAGTCGACTACGTTGAGAGGAGGGTACTGAGGAACAGAAAACGTTGGAGAGATGGAAGTGGGCTTGGTAGTGCGAAGCACGATGAGATACACCAGGAAAATTTTACGATATAACTATATATAGGATACTCTTCTTCACATGTATGCCAATAAGCAGAAATAAACAAAAAAAATATTTATTCACTCTTTTTTTCTTCTTTCTAAAGTGAAATGCATTCATTTTTTCAAGCTCTATTGAACACTCTATGCAGAAATGATGATTGAAAATTTATTTATTTCTTCAGCATTTGAAAGAATTATTTGATGAAAAAGACTTCCATTAAATAGTTGATATCCATCAATATTTTTTTCCTTCATAACATATTTGATCTGGAGATTGAAGCTTCTAGACATGGTGTTTGCTGCTGGATTTCATTTCCTGTAAAATAAAATTAAAAAAAAAAATTAATCAGCAGAAATTAATGTGTTTAAAAAACTATATGATGTATTAGAGTATTTTCTAAAATTTAATTCTTAAATCCAAAAATCATTTGGACTATGCTAATTTTTGATAAATTCATTCATGAGTTTATCTTGAAAATACTAATAATACTTACATTATAATCGAATTTATAATTAAATAGTTTTATAATCAGGAAAGTTGTCGCTGTAATTTGATCTGATACGATCATTGAAAAAAAAAAAAAGGTGAAAAAAGATATTGATGTAAAAAAGAATAGGATTTAATTCAACTTTTCATCATTAATTCAAGATAAATTCAATTTAAGATTAAAAATCACTGAATCATTTCTACAAAAATCAATTTTATCAATAAGCTTTTTGCTTATTAAAATTTTTTTAGTTCCAAAGATATAAACAATTGTAAAAATAAATAAATTATTGGATTTTTAATAATAAGATTAGAGTAATTTTTTTTCTAGTTTTTTTGGAAGCAATATTTTGATTTCATTCACTCTAGCATTTTCTATGTGATGTATTTAAAGTATATATGTATTTTACAGTTACATGTATACACGTACCTGTTAGTGAGACTTATGATGAGGTTTCAATTTGCCAAGGGGCGACGTCAGGCTGCGTTTAACAACTTTTTAATGGGCGGAGGGAGAAAACTAGAGAGTACAAGGCGTAGGATACTGAGGGATATAAGAGAGCGCTTGATATATAGCTGTATCAACCGACCATAAAATATAGATACACATTTTTGTCAGCTATTTCATTTATAATAATGAATAATATTCCAAATATATTCCTTGCTCATTCCAAAACTGCTCAATAGACTCTGGTATTTAATATCTGATAATAAAAAAAAATATTAATTGAAAACAAAAAATTGTTTATTTTTAATATAAATATTAGGAAATCATTTTTTTTTGTTGTTTATAATAAATAAAGCAAAACATCTTTGAAATCTAAAATAACGACAAGTGATAAAGGGTTAATTAGGTGCGGGTTCAATTAAGGCTCTGAACCCTCAAAAATTAATCTTGAAAAGTTAATGAGAAATTTAAGGGTAAATAAAGAAAGAAATAAAGGGGTCAAAAACCACTGGATAAATGTTCGCCAAGGTATTTATAAAGACCACAGAAAAAGTATCTTTCATTTCTTCGACCACTTTTAAAAAATTTTTCAACCTTTTTTTTTTTTGTTTAATTCTATATAACATATGCAGTTTATTCACAAAGGTCTATAGTCTAAACGATCTCAGCTTTCAAGTTAACTTGATTAGGAAAACATTTTTAAAGTAATTTTTCATCTAACTGATATGGAATATTGTTATTTTTAATCTCAACTTCAATAAATACTTAAACAAGTTATAACATTTTTGGAGTAAAAAATGATTAAAAGAATTTTTTTATTTTAGTAGTACTCAGTACAGATTGAAGTGTTGATTAAAAATATCATTATTTTTAACGATTTTTGTATACAGACCATTAAAGATGTGTGCCGGACACGGAAGTGGCTATTCGACGTGTGCATGGAAGAACGCTTTTAGCGAGACGAAGGCCTCGTGAAAATACGAGAAAAAAATTGAAGAGAAAACAAGTTGAGAAAAAAAACTGTAAAGGATATTAAAGTTAATCATGTGGATAAATTTTGTCATTTCCTCAACTGCCTTGAGCTTGATACACAATTAATAAAAATATGCAAATGCTGCAGACGCTAAAAAAGAAAAATATAAACAATCAAATTCAATTATTCATACTTTAGAAAAATTATTTTAAATAAAAAAAAAAGAAAAGATTAATTATTGAAAGTAATCCGTATGCTAACCTGATGTTTTTAGAAGACAACCGAATTCGATTGCATGAACCATCGATCACCATAGCATAGATTGGTGCATCCCTTTGGGCAATTTTGATGCGTCAAAATCTAGTCCATACGCGTATCTCTTGATTAAAGTGATACTGGAACTTTGTTGTGATTGTTCCTTATTTGTAGTTGAATCATGCGGGTTGAATGATAAAATGTGGAAAAAGAGATCTGATGTATGTAAGACAGTTGTCGTGATAAAATTGCATCAAGTCAGTTGCGAGACTATCAACGGGTGGCAAAAAACGAGAATACACAGTGGGTGTCCCGAAGCCTATCACTCACATGGAAAATTCTATCAAGCATTCAGGTACTCGGCTCGATGACTTTGAAATTCATTCTTCTTTATTGAATTCTATTGAATCTTAAATCGTTTTTCGATTACACATCTCTTTTCATCTAGAGAAATTGATGCCTCCATCGATGTGCACAAAAATAATCATTACTTTCATTCTGGATCGTGGTGAGAATCATTAAAAGTCTATTGACTTATCTCTCTAGCTATTGTTTTTTTTTCTGCAATAAATCTTTTGATTAGTTTAGGAATAATGAAAAATAGTTTCTTTATAAAATTAAAATAACTAAAAATTAATTACTTATAAATTGAAGATCGCCATACTAAGGTTTATTGAATAAAAAAAAAAAAATATGATTCAATTGGTGAAAAAAAATTTGTTAAATATTCCTATTAGATTTAAAATTAAATTATTTTAACTATTTGTTTTTATAAAAAAAAAAAAAAACGAAGAAATATTATTGAAAATTTTGTCATGGAATTTTATCGTAAATTTTACTAAAAGTTTCATTTGATCAATTTTTTTTTTCATCCAAAACTATCATCAATTTTTCAGCTGAACCAACAAAAATCCAAAAATGAAATCTACCAACTTGTTCCATATAAATGCAAATCACTCTAAAAATTTTGATTAACATAAAATTCTAATTGTATTTTGGTTTTGTACACCAACTCATTCTTCATTTAATGATACTCATTCTCCTCCAACATAACCTCTCTTGACCAAAATATTTAAAACATTTTCCAGCAATTTTCCTGGAACATAATAAACAATATAAAACTTCATAAATGAATGCTCTAAAATAACCTAAAAAAAAAAAAAAATAATTATCAAGAATTAAAATATTCATCATGGTCGGGTGTACCACAGCATAGCTCTGGAATCAAAGAGACAGATAAAATGAGTAAGAAAAGAGAAAATAAAAATAAAAAAAGGACAGATGAAATAGTAAATATAACAAATATAGATGTCAAGAGAACAGGACGAAATATCCACACTCCTGTACATTGTTTGCGGCTTGGAATCAATAAGAGCATAGCTTTAGGCTACGCTTGTTTCCATGACGACCGGAGAGCCATCCTCCCTTCCTCCCCCTCCTCCCTCATCTACCACCTTCTATTTCTCTTTTCTCGTCGATCTATCTATATATGTAAATCTGTCTTTTCTCCCTTGCTCTCGATTACCACTCAAAAGTTGCCAACCATATTTTCAATACACCGATTTTTATCTACTCAAGTCAATCCTCTGTACTGAGACTATCGATTATATTTATCCATTTCTATGGTAATTTTATCGTTTACATGACTTTTGAATTATTTTCCAAAAGATACAATATTTTATATAAAACTCAAAAAAATTAATTTTCGATTTTTTTTTTTATAGGTTATTTTTTTCGTTTTGAATTGAAAAAAAAATTCATTTTCAATTTTTATGGATGATTTAATTGAATTTTATTATTGTTATTGTTTTTCTAATGAATAATATGATGATTTGGTGGCAAAATATTGACAAAGATTGTAAAAGAAAAGTGGAAAATCCGAAAAATAAGTAAATACCCGCTCTTGGGTATTTCGCGCAAGATTACATTCACGCAAGCTCAAAGAAAAACGTCGATAATCGGTCGCGCGTGCGAGCCAACGAGTATTGTAGAAAATAGCCGGGTAAACATATCGAGATAAGCGACCCTGGAACGATTGAAAACAACGTAGGTCCAGTATCTATATCATCAATCGTGTGTAAGAGAGGAAGAGACTGAAAAATCAACTAAAAAGATTAAAAGCTCAGGTAAAAATTTTATGATATTACTCTCTTTCATACATACTTTAAGCATCTAAATATTTAACCAACTACAAACCCCAACAAATATGTCCAAGTATTCCATATGTTTTCAATCGATTATTAGCCAAGTGCAACAATACATTAATTTATTATTAAAATATCATAAAACTAATCAGGTTTTATCAATTAATAAACAATAACTAGAAATAAACAAGTAATTATTTGAATATAAATTTTCCAAGTTAATTATGAATTAAATAAAAGAAACTATTGGATACTATAAAAGCTCTAAATATTTCTAGAATTAAAAATTTATAAATAAAACACTAAAAAATGGTTATCAAGTATCCTGGTACTGATGCTGAAAGTGAAACTAAAAGGATAATGTTGCCAATGAAAAATGCATATGAATGAAAAGCAAAAGAAGTCTATCTCGATGTGGTTTGCATGTTAGTTGGAATGATGAAGGGCGAAAAATTAAAAAAAAAAGAAGGTAGAGGAAGAGTGGTGATGGAAGGACGATAGTCACGGGGATGAGATCAAGCGCCACCGAGTTGGCTATTTAAAATGCATCTACAATGATAGTATCATATTACGTTATTCTCTATTACTGCTACTTGACATTGCCATTGCTAATGATTGTAATCAGCTTAAAATTATAAAATTATCAGATATTACCTTATTAATTAAATAATAAATTATTATTTAAATTGTTAAGTTGATCCATCAACATATTCATTCTCTAATTTTCTCATCCTAAAATAAAACAACGTTAAATCAATTACTCTTAAAATACTAACATTTTTATAAATTTGATTATTTTATTGTTCTCTGATTATTTAAGACAATAATTACTCAACAAAAATTTTATGTAATGATTCTTATTAACATTTTATTTTTAAATAAATTTAAAGCAATAATTGATGAAGAATATTTGTAAGAAAAATTAAAAATAATTTGTCTTAAATTTGATATTCTATTTTATGAGTAAAGATATCATGTAATTGTATCTCTAACAAGACTTATACGGGTGATCACAAAGTCTCGTTTGTAATTTTTATCATCATCCTTCCACTTGTATGTACGTTGTCAATCTCGCCATTCGTTGAATGAACCAAATGATATAAATTATTTATAGATTTCGACACTACTCTCAGGTCGTGGGGTAGATCTCTCGTTCCAACTACAGGGTGCTAGCGTGTACCACAGGGGTCCACTTGCAGAGAGCTCAAAGTAGGAGAAAGTGAGTGCGACGACAGGTCCTCGGGGAACTCACTCAACATATGCATTCCCGGTCCAGTGGATCCCACTAAGCTCATAGAATTGATTCGTAAGTACCCCATCGACAAATCCTGTCACTTACATTGGTGTACTTTAACACCTACATCATCATCATCATCAAGCAGCTTCATTTGTTTTTTTAATCATCATCATCATTATTATTATGATAAATTATTTTTTCTAGTATTTATTTGTAGCAACTTGAACATTTGTAAAAATGATTTTGCAACAAGTAGAGTTTGATAGACTAGTATATCGCTAGACCCCCGGCTGTCACCAATCTAAATCAATGGGCTTGTGGGTAATCGCATAATAATTACCGTGAACCCCTCGATGGCCCATCTGTCGATGGCCAGGGGGGCGTTTTGATCTACAGAAAAGTACAGAATATTCGTACTAACCCCCTTGATTTCAAGTACATCAACGTTACCCATAGATTCAAATAAATTCAACACAGGTTTCAGCTAATGTCAAACTATAAAGTTTTAGATTGATAAAGAACTAAACTCTGACGAACAAGTATCTACTTGTTGAAAGCAGAAAAAAAAAGGCTAAAAAATAGACATAAAACGAGTGTAGTTCATTGATGTACTAAATGCAATAAAATTTCAATTTAAATAGTCATTTTATGTCGAGTAAATACTTCAAGTTATTTTTAAAAAACACATGGCCATTTTTTTCAGTAGTTTTTAATCGTAATTTTATTAAATGGAGAAGGTCATGTCGATCCAGTTAACACTTCCAACGGACTAAGTAGACTACAAAATCAAATTAACTGGGCTACCTTGAATTTTTTCACCATTGTGAATCATTTAAAAGTTTTCTGAAAAATAAAACTTTTAATTGAAATTATTTTTCCATTACAAAATAATTAAATATATCTTTTTTAAATTGCAATTCTATAAATGCTAATCTAATTTTCTTTTGATAACAAGAATGTTCTAGCTTTAAAGTTGAAAGATGTTGATGATACTTTTACTTGGACTACACTTACAATCATCTTGGGGCTTTCGAGGACCTCATCATCCACAGAGCTCTGTTTCACATCATCATTACGCACCCCAAGCAGACGTCAAATTGACTCACGACTCTCAATTACTACACGATACCGCGTAAATACATTAATTGTCTAACTAATTGCTAGATAATTTTAACAATCAAACAATATAACAGGCCATCAATGATCTATTTCAGACATTTAGCTGAAGATATGAATAATCTTGGAGAACATTTAGATTTATCCAAAATGAGTGAAGAAGAATTAGACTTTTATTACTTCAAGTAAGTTAGAATTAATTAATTATTAATCATTAGTTCATTAATTTAAAAGATTATTCATTGATTTTTAAATAATTTAAGGAGCCATGATGTGGACAATAATACTAAATTAGATGGATTAGAAATGCTCTACGCAATTCAACATACTTTTCACGAGGACGATATTCATGAGACTGATGACTCTATTCCTTTAATTGTTGATTTGATAGACCGAGTATTAGAAGAAGACGACTTGGATAACGACGGGTACCTTGGATATGCTGAGTATGTTTTATCTCGGCAAAGTTCAGAGCGACCAAAAAATTTAAAACTTGATATAAAATAATAACAAAGTTGAAATATTTTACTCTTATAAATTTTATGAAATAATTAAAGTCTTTGTAATCAATATTAATGTTTTATTTTCAACAGAGTATTTATCTATTCAACTTCTAATAATGGCACATCCGTTAGTACAATTGATTTTTCCCAAAGATCTCGAGCAATTTGGACCTAAAAAAAAAGTTTAAAATGAATTTATATTAAATTAATTGAATTTGTTTAATCTTTCATGAAAACTAATAAAATGTATACCCTGTTATCTTCTTCATTGACCGGTAAGTCATCAACTTTAATAAAATTAGGATAAGTACGAATAATTTTTTTTATCGCTGGCACAAAAGCATCTTCAACTTCTAAAAATTGCAGGTCATATTCATGATATTCTTTAGAATTATCACAGCTATAATATAGCTTATAAGAATTATCATCTTCATGAACTAGTCTTACACAATGTGCTCTTGCTAATCTTATTTTAGTATCAGGTTCAATTTCTACTCTATCCACCACTCTTCCTTCTTTAGCCATTCTTTCTCCATTTTCTAGAACCGAGCATTGAGATTCCTCTGGTGCTAATGCTGGTGGAAGATAATCATGAATTTGATCTTTAGCCATTTGATCAGCAGCTGCGTCAATGTCAATCATTGCTACAACTTGTTCTATCACTTTTTTAGTCATTTCTTGAAAACTTTTACGAAAGTCCGATGATTTCTTCTTTGAATGAACTGCACCTATGTGGTTCAAATAATTTAAAGGAAGACCTCGTCTTAGATCAGGTTTATTAGCAATAGCTTTATTTAGAGCTGCTGGAATGAGTTTTTCAAGAAAATCTCCCCAAGAATTTTTTTGATAGACACTAAGGGTTATATGAAGACTATGAGCATCTTCCAGTGTTTCTCCCTGGTGGATTGTCCCTCGAGGGAAGTACAAAAGGTCGCCAGCTTCAACAACAACGTCCAGTATAGGTTCACCAATTTCAGACTGTTTGAAATTTTCTGACGAAAGTCTTGGCAAAAATTCAGCATCATTTCGTGGCTTATATAATCTCCAACGTTTTTTACCTTCAATCTGTAGAATAAAAGCCTCAATATCGTCATAATGCGGTGCGAATCCTTGACTTCCAGGAGGTGTAAGGTAAAAGTTAGCCCCCACAAAACAATTGAAATACTCTTGGAGTGTTGAATTTAATGTGTGAATTTTTGGAATGAATGTTTGAGGATTTAACATTCTGACTGAACAACCATTAGAATAATAATCCCATACTACACTAGAATGCGCTCTTCCTGGAGGATTATGAGTTTCTCTCACACCATTCGAGTATGATGTTATATCAAGATTTTTTGTATAAAGAATATTAAACTTTTTTAGAATATCATCTATCATTGGAGTTGACATTAAAACTTTGTAATATTTGCTAGATTTGCGCTGAATATGAAGAGGAGCTCTTTCCCAATTTTCTATGAAAAATTCTGATGGAGATAGAGGATAAATCAGCCATTTGAATAAATGATTACTTTCATTTACTGGATTTACTGTATTCATATTTTCACTAATATCATCTTTTTTGTTTAAATCAGGACTTATTTTCGTTTCAATAATTTTTTTATCCGGACTTTGCAACTTCTTAGGGGTCGATGTATTTAAAGGTTGTACTTTCTTTTTTTTAGTGGAACTTTTTGGAGATAATGAATCAGAGCTTTCACGTTTTTTGGAGTAAATAGCAAATGCTGAGACTTCTTCAGTAGATTCAGACATCTAAAAACAATCGAATAGGTTAGAAATATCAAAACAGGATGAATTCAGTTAAATGTTGGAATAATTTTTAGAGTAAATGATTATCTTACAGTTTCTAAGGTAACATAAATTGTTAGTATAAATGATTATAAGAGTAATAAAAATATTTATATACAAATTGATAATGTATAAACAATTTTAGTTACAGTTGCAAAATTTAAAATTGTTTAACACGCTCACGTGTGTTTGTTTATTAAAATTAATTCAAGATGTCACTACGAGCACACATGATAGAGGGCGCTGATGCGGAATTCTGTGCCCGCAAAATATGAATTGAGTAAACAATGACACATAACCTTTCAAAGAATATGCGTCGCAGTTTATTGTATAACAAATTTGTGAATATAAATAAATAATACTACAATGAGTGACAAATTAGAAAACATAAATCCTAAGTTATATGAAAAAATTGTTGATCGTCAAGTGACTGCTGATGATGAAAATGAGGATATTATTGATGAATTCGATGCTCGAGAAATTTTTGGTACGTTGACATAACCTTACATAATAATATTTTAATTAAACAATTCTAAATACTATTTATTTGATTTATTTTTTAGATTTAATCAAAAATATCAATGATCCTGAACATCCTCTTACCTTAGAACAACTTCACGTCGTTGAACAAGATCTTATTGACGTAAATAACTGAAGCAAAATATCTCTATTAGACTATTTACTCATTTTAATCTTATCAAATAATTCGCAGGTAGATAACAAAAAAAATACTGTTAAAGTAAACTTTACACCAACCATTCCTCATTGTAGTATGGCTACAATCATTGGTTTATCTATCAGAGTTCAATTGTTGAGAGCATTACCAGCGAGGTTTAAGGTTAGTGTTGAAGTATCTCCAGGAACACACAATGCTGAATCGGCAGTTAATAAACAATTAGCTGATAAAGAAAGAGTTGCTGCAGCTTTAGAAAATTCTCATCTTGCCCAAGTAATTAATCAATGTGTTAGTGTTAAATTTTAAATAATTAAATATTATTTACATCTATAATAATACAAAATAATTCTTATATTTTATCATGTCTTATTATAGAATGTAATATTTTAATCTAAATATTAAAGAAATTATTGTTTAAATATTTTTTTTATTTTTATATGTATTTATATTAAACAATAACTCTATTCAACTATTATAAAAATTCCTAAATTACATAGAAATCATATTAATCCTGTAGCAGGAAAAAAAATTTAATTCTTCTTCACAGCTTGAACTTTCTTTATATGCTCCACGATAGGATTGTATTTATAAGTTTTCTGAGTTGGTCCACGACCAGCTTTATTGAATTGAATTGCATCCAATTGTGCTCTGTCACCTAACTCTCGTGCCATTTTCATGTTATGTATACCTGAAATGAGACAATTATATTTAAACTATTATCTATATTATCCATTTATTAGTTAAAATAAATCGGTATCATGACTCATACTATCTTTGAATCCTTGTTTGAATGGTTTCTTTATTAGAGCACCAGGTTTATGTTGTATTTTTACTGGAATTTTGAAAAATACTCTGACTGCTGGTATTCTCAAGATTAATACTTGAATTAACGAATATATATTTGTTGATAACCAATACCAAGAAATAGCCTAGGAAGAAATGAATATCTAATTATTTAGAAACTCTAATAGATTATTAATGAATCTGAATTAAACTTACTGAAGAAAAGTTAATTGTAAATGGTAAAATAATCACTGGGACTGCCAAGATAACATATTTCATCATGCCTATTGCTTCTAATGAAGGTGTATCAACTCCGGCTTTAATTGTCAGAAAAAGTGTACCACTTGTCATTAATGGTAAAAGAAAATATGGATCGGATACTGTTAGGTCTTTAAACCACCAAAGTCCACCAGTTTGCATACTTTCTACTGGTAGATTAGCCATTTTTTTCAGTCCAAAGAAAAATGAAGCAAATATTGGAAACTGGAATCAAACCGAAACAAAAATGAACAATACTTATACAACTTAATAAGTTTAACATAACTGTAGATTCAAAAAAAAAAAACTTACTTGGAAAAATGGGGCGATCAGATTTTTTATAGGATTACATTTCTTGTCTTTCATAAATTCCATCAATTCAAAAGTATGTCTTGCAGCTAGAAAATTGAATTGAAATAAATCCAGTAGAGTGAAAAACAATTAATGTAAGTAATTGATTAATTTTACCTGCTAATTGATCACCACACATTCTAGCTTCTGTTAGATCAGCTTGAATTTTTTGCATCTCTGGGAGGACATTGTGCATGTGTACTGTTTGCCTTTGAGAGTAAATTACCAATGGAAAGACTAATGTTCTTATAACTATTGTTCCTAAAGATAAATAATTATTATTAGCAGTTATATTTTATTTTTAAGATATAAGTAAATAGAAGATTACCGATTGTTATGGATGCCCACCAGGGAAGATCACCAGTAACGTGTATAAATTCTAACATCTGCTGAACAATACCACTTGGATACCAACTACCTAGTCCAAGAGATGCAAAAGTCGGTTCTCCCAATTTGTTTGTTAGATGAACAATAACTTCTTCGACTTCTGCTGCTGGAGGAGGTGTTACTGGAATATCTATACACCATAATAAACAATGTAAATAAAAGTTAACACTCATTAATCATCATCTTTATTCAAAAGAAGCCATTTATGATTTAGATAGAATGATACCTGAAAATGTAATATTTTTACCTGGAATTTTATCAAGTAAACTTTCTGAAGCTGCAGCAGTTGAAGCAGCAGTATCTACCATTTCTTCAGAGACATTCTGAACATTTGTTTCGTTAGTACTGATTGATCTTATAAATGAACTGCTGAATACCGGAGAATATCGAGTTAACCTGTTCGATATTGAATATCGAGAAGTAGCTATGGGATTTCTTTTATTGTAACATGATATATGCAATGATTTACGAAGAGTTTTCTGAAATAGTTAAAATGATTGTTTTAAATATTATTTTTATTACAATTTATCGTATTACTATGATACTTTATGCAAAAATATCAAATTTGTTTTGAAAAAACTTGGTATAACCTCAAAAAAATGAAGTAAATTTACCTGTGCAAATGGACATGTTCTTGATAATAATTGATTGTTAAAGCACAAAGATACCCTTGACACCATCATTTTGGTGTGTTTACTTGTATTAAATATTTATTTACACACGTTTCTCTTGATAAAACGCAATAAGATCCATTAAACAATGGAGTTGTAATATAAATTCTGCTCTCTCCGGTACGCACAGATGCTCAGTCTAAAAACATGTGTATGGATAAGTGTATGTGTGTGTGTGAAAATTATGATTTCAAAATAATAGCGTGAAAGGTAAGAAATTTATACTAATTATTAATCATCTTATTTATTGTTAAATAATTTATTGTTTATTATTAATGATACAATAATTTGTGAACGAAATTTTCTGTTGTTGATAACTTTTCAAATATTAGCTAGCTTGCATGTTTACCTTTGCGTTTGTTGGTATAATTTTTCTCTGTTTTCTATGCTCAAATAATTAGAAATCCATTTATCATTTATCCAGTCAGTTCTCAGTTGTTTTGATGTTGTTATCAAATTTGAGGTTAAATTATTTGCACTACTAACTTTTGACTTTTGAAAAAATTTTTTAAATTCTTAGTAAGTTTATGATATTTATGGCATTTTTAGTTCTACAAAATTAAAAGAAAAGCTGTCGATTTTTCTTGAATATTTGGTATAAACATTCAATTATTATTGGCCAAAAAAATAAGTAAGAAAGTTCATGATTTCATTATTCAAATGAACTTGATTTTTAAAAAAATTACCTGCAGGCTTTTGACAGATATACCTCAAGCCACCGTGTCTTCTTCACTACTCAAAATGTCTTCTCAAATTTCTCTGGACGAGCGGGTATTGAAATCAGTTCGAAAAATAGTTCCATCATTAACAACAACTAAATATAAAGGTCAAGATGGTCGAATAGGAATTTTTGGAGGTAGCATGGAGTATACTGGAGCTCCATATTTTGCAGCAATGAGTGCATTCAGAGTTGGAGCAGACTTGGTCCATATATTTTGTTGTAAAGATGCAGGAGTTGCTATTAAATCTTTCAGTCCTGAGCCAATAGTTCATCCTTTGTTAGACCATCCAGATGCTATTCGCCAGATCAAACCATGGCTGGATCGTCTGCATGTAATTTTAATCGGTCCTGGGTTAGGACGTGATGATAAAATATTCAAAGTCATTACAGAAGTGATAAGTCTATGCAGAGACTTAAGAAAGCCTCTGGTGATTGATGCTGATGGTCTTTATTTGCTTTGTCAGAAGCCAGATATCATACGAGATTATCCTGGAGTAATTTTGACTCCAAATGCTATGGAGCTCAGCCGGCTTATGAAAGCTTTTCTTGATAGAACAGTTCAACCAGCTCCAGTTGCAAAAATTTCTGATTTAAAACACTTGGCTGATTCCATTGGAAAAAGTGTTGTTATTTTAAATAAAGGAGCTAAAGATATAATTGTTGATGGTCAGAAAGGTTCTGAAGCCATTTCTTGTGCTATTTCGGGTTCAGGAAGACGATGTGGAGGTCAAGGAGATCTGTTATCTGGATCCCTTGCTGTTTTTTGGTGGTGGGCATTGAGTGCTGGACCTAGTGAATGCTCGTTAAATCCACCATTAGTTGCAGCTTATGCTGCTTCTAGGTTGACTAGAGAATGCAATGCTGCTGCTTTTAGAGAAAAGCAAAGGTCTATGTTGACTACAGACATGCTAGAGCAAATTCATCCTGTTTTTTCAAGACTTTTTGAGATCACCAAGTGAGAGTCATTTAAATACATCAAATTTTTATTGTGATAATATAATAAATAATTCGGTTTTATATTAAATAGATTTTACAATAAAAATCTATAAAACTTTTAAAATAAATTTCTTTTAGATTGTCACCTATTTTGAATCCAAGAAGATCTAAGAGTGAAGATATTTAATGAATTTTTATCTCAAAATTTTTTAAAACTATTTATCATTTATTTAATATTGATAAATTTTAGTGAATATATTTGTAAGGGGCCAAAATAACGAATAAAAAAAAAGTTTTCTAATCTTTTAAGAATTGGTATCATATATTTTTATTGTTACGATTATAAATAAAATATTTTAATATTTTACACATATATATCTTGATATCTATAATGTTGAAACTTAAATGTCTTTAAAAAATAACAAATACTGTTCATTTCATTCTTACAGAGAGTGTAATATACTAATCGTGAATAAATTTTTTTTCATTTATTATTTATGGCATTACTATATGTTTATCAGTTCAACAAATTCGTTAACATTACATAAAATTTTAAAACTTAAAAACTACATATTTATGTATATATACAAAGCGCATTAATAAAAATAACAATTAAAATAATCGGTGTCGACGAAATAACTAATTAATAAATAAATAAAAAAAAGGTAAAATATCTTTTTAAGTAATTAATATTACTATTTTGTTCATTCAGGCGATATTATGTTGCAAAAAATTTCATGTATGATTTTATAGTATTTTTTTCTTAAGTCTCTTAATAAACACTTAGTTATAATTGTAAATTTTTTAGACTAAGAATAAAAAGTTAATACCGATGTGTGATTTCCACGTATCAAAAGAGTAGGAGGCATATCTCTGGTTAGAGTTTCAAGCCAGGCCATATATAGAGGGGCTGAAACAGCTCCTTTTCTTGGCATTGGGAGAGACCTTTAATTTTAAAAATACATTTATTTATTAATTGCTATTTAGTAAACAAATATTTAATAATATGTTTAAATAGAAAAATTATACATACATAAATACCAGAGTAGATTGGCTAGAATTTTCCAATAATAATTCTCTCAATCGTAATTGACGATTTGTTTTATCTTTTAATGTGTGTAATTCCATTTCGGTGATTGTACAATCTGTCGTGTCAGTTGTATCATGTTTACAGAAATCTGCAATTAGTCTGTCAAAGAAATCCTGTGTTTCTTGTTTAGGAGGTACACTAATATCATCAACCATTTTTAAACTTGTATACTTTATTCTAAATTTGGCCAAAATTTCTGCCATTCTGAAGATAAACAAAAGATAATATTTATTATTGAAGTTCTTTGCCGATTAATAGCATGTATTCATCAACTTACTCTTTTTCTTCTGCTGCAATTTCTTGTTTATGATTAGCTAATGCAAATATTCGCATTTGACATGACTCCCAATTAGATCTTGTGCTGATAATATATGGCAATAAGATTGTCAAACCTTAAAAGAATAATTTCATTGATTAAAATGATTGATTTTTTTTAATTTTCAAATAAAATGTTAGGTTCATTTTTAACAATAAGTGAGAGAATAAAATAATTGTTTTGTTTTTATTACCTCCATCATCATAAAGCCACCAAACATCAATAACTCCATTCTTATGCTTCTTTTGGAATATGCTGAGGTATTCTGTTTCAGCAATTACTCCATTTCGTTTTTCACTGCAAGTTTAATTAAGTAATATAATTATTTATAATAAACACCAACATTTTTTAATACCCTTAGGAAAATGAATATTAAAAATAATTAATACATACTACAATAATTTATCAGCTATATGTTTCCTTTTATTTTTCAAGTGATCTCTAGCACTCATATGCGTTGGAGAATCTTTAACAACATGCACAGAGCATTCACTTTGTGGTAGGTAATGACTTCCGATTACTGGTACACTTTGAACTCTTGTAATTCGGCTGCTCATTGATAGATCACTATCAGCATGCATGAGAGTATTTCCGGCGAGATCGTAACTACTTTGTATTAGTTGTTCCTCGTCAACATGATTAGAAACGCTTGAAATATCAAGTCCATTTGGTAGTCGTAAAATTGCAACTGCCAGCTTTTGGTCAAAAGCATCACTGTAATTTACAATTCAAAAAATCAATATCTATTTATTTTTTATTCGTTGTAATAAAATACTTACTGAAGAACGTTGAAGAATTCTTGTAAATCTTTCTGATTACAAACAGCCCAATCATTTTTGTATCCCATAAGAACGATGTTGGGAACCAATTTACCAACTCCAGCAGCTTGCATTAAAGCAGCTGATCCTCTTTCTAAAGTTACATTGCCTATAACTTGATAGAATGATTTAATTCGGTGACGATTAAGCCATTCATATCCACTTCTTAATCTCGTCAGTCTTGATCGGTAAGACAGAGGTACCTGTTGATATAATTTATTCTTCCATTATCCAATCAGCGAATTAATTTAATATTTATTAAATTTTTACATGCAAATATATTAATGCCAATTGGTTTAAATTATGCAAAGATTATCGTAATAGATACTAAGTGAGTCAACTGAACTAAAATTATAATTTAACTGTGATTTTTGAAATTTATAAAATATTCAAATGTGTTATTACCGAGCAAACTTCTCCAGCAATAAGAAGAGAGTTATTTTTAGTAATAAGGTTGGCTAGATGAAGCAAATCTGGACGTTTTTCTGGAAATCCGGAGAGTGCTAAAATTTGCGGTGCATAATTTTTCACGTGTTCATCAATGGTGTTTAATCTAAATAATGAAAACCATCAATCTAAATCCACTACTTTGTGTAAATAAAATTATTTATTTATTTTGGTAAATACCTATAGACGACCGATAAAGCAGTCTTATAAATTTGTGCTTGAGTACTGCTGCCCCAATTAACATCAGGTTTATTGTAAACAACAATCAGGTAAAGACCAAAGATAACGACAAGGGTTATTATTGATGATACCCAATCAATTAAAAACATAAATGCAACACAAAGGAAAAATCCTACCAGGGATAACCATGTATTGTAATACTGAAACAGAAAAATTAAGTAATACTTCTTTTTAAAAGGATTGAGAATCTTTAAATTAACATTTAAATTTAACTATTGCTAAATCATCATAGTAAGATACAGTCTTGATATATTTAGGTATATTAATAGAAGAAAATAGAAATAATATTTATCATAAAATCATCAATTACCTTAAATGTTGGTCTCCATCCAATAGGACTAACCAAACCAGCATGAAATGTACAGAAATTAATAAGAGCATAAGAAGCTAAGTAAAAAGTCGAGATAAGAGGAGCAACTGCATTGAGATTTGCTGCAATAAATCAGATTTTATTATTTTACAGCCTATTATTCTTTATTTATCTACGCAGTAATTAATTGTCACTTTATGATTTAATTGGATGTTAATTTAATAACGTAATATCTATGATAGAGTAAAAAATAGTTTATCTCTGATAATTAATAACTATTTATGTACTTTATGCGATTTATTTTGTTTGTTAATATGATCTTACCGATTAGAAGGAAAACTGCTGCAACAATAAATGTTAGAACATAGCCACGATAAGGTTCACCAGTTTTTCCATATCCTTTGCTGAAAAATATTAATCCCGGGTAAATTCTATCTCTTCCAAGAGCTTGGATAAGCCTTGGTACTGATAATAAATTTGTTAATGCAGTAGAGAGCGTAGCAGCAAAGCAACCAGCATAGATAAAAGGACCCCACACTGACATTAATTGCATCACCTATAATTCAATTGATTAATCAGTTGATGGCTACTTATTCTGAATTGTGGGATATTAATTAAGAGAATATATCAATAATGCATGTAAGAGAGCTTCTCTATGTCAATTATTTTGATGAATAGAATAAAACGGAAAAATATTTTAAAAATCATTTTATTAAATAAAAAAAAAAAGTACTTACAGAGAAGCTGTTATGAAGTCCGTATTCACAATTTCCTGGTAAACAATCAACAATGGTATTGTTGGGTGATATTATACCACTAGCATCACGGACAGCAGCTCCTCCAGCAAACAGAACAAAAACAATATAACTTATCATAGAGATAAGAAGAGATAAAAGAGTTCCAATAGGAATACTCTTGGCTGGATCCTTCAAATCTCCAGAAATATTAGCACCAGCTTGAATTCCAGTAACAGATGGAAAGAATATGGCAAAAATTGAGAAAAAGTCGTGCGTAGTGTTCTCATACGTTCGATAATCTGAACCCCAATTCTTTTGAAAAACTTCCCATGAAAATCCACTAAATCCTTTGGCTTCTTGTTCGAGGGAGTGAGGGCCTATCAGGGCGCCGATTATAAAATCAAATATTGCGATCACGATGATCGCTATGAGGAAATTTTGTGCCTGAAAACGAACTCAATTATAAGTTTTGTAATAACTTTTTTTTTAATAATAATTGGAAAATATTATTAATAAACATCAACAATGATAATAAAATTTAACAGCTTAGCTTTTTTATCATTCAATGGGATAGATTTGAAGAAAAATTATGAAATATGAGTAAATTTACCTTCGATTCCCATTCCATTCCAACAGCACAAATAAGAATCATCACAAAAAGAGCAATGATGCCGACAATCCTAACATCTGTTACCTTATTATCGACAATCTTTAAGCCATGTTCTCTTAAGAGATCATTAAGAGAATCACAAAATCCAATAGTATTCATCGAAGCAGCCACTGAGTTAGCAAAGGCAAATACTAATCCAATTGAAGCACCAAATTCTGGTCCAAGGGATCGGGATATAATAAAATAAATTCCCCCTGAAAGAAAAATTCATAGCTCATTTAGTTCAATTTTTCTCGAATATCGAAATTATTTTTATGGTTGATGAACTAACTATTCAATTGATTCAATCAATTACATATGATTTCAGGACAATTAATTGTCAGGTCAATAAGACAGAATTTAAAAAATAGCGATTAGATGAAAAATAAAATAAAAATGATTCGTGACACATAAAGGAAGGCACACCTTCTGTGAAAAATAAAATTGCAATATCAACACACCTCCCTTGACTTCGCCATTAGTGCTAATTGCACTGAGACTAAGTGTCGTAATAACACAGACAACTGCAGATATTCCAATAATTAATAGTGACCAAGAAATTCCAGCTTGTGCTACAATCCATGATAATCGAAGAAATAACATTACACCCCAGATGTTGAGTAGGCATGGTATTAAAACTCCTTGAATCCATCCCAATTTTATTCCTGCGTGACTTGCTTGTCCTGATCCTGTTATAGCTGCTTCCACGTTTGTATCCTATCAAAATAGGTTTCGATCAATAAATAAAAATACACTTTTTCCATTGAAAAAAATAAATGTATTGCTTTTTTCATGTTTAAAAAAAAAAAGGCTTTTATCATTTAAAAGAAAAATAAAATAGACTTAAAAAAATATTGAATTAAATTGTTATCTAAAAAAGATTTTAAAAATGTTTTATGTGCAAAAAGTTTCTTAGAAAAGATAAGTTTCTATTGTTTTTAAGTACTTGATTAAATCAGAGAATATGATATTAATCTTTTCAGTCTTTGAAATTCCAAGAAAAGTTGTGATTTAATTTTTAATAAATCAATGTAGATGAATGTCAATAGTTAAAAGCAACAATTGACGTTTTATAAACTAGAAATAAAAAACAATTGAGAGCAGCATAATAATTATTTCCTGTGGTTTACCGGGATTCATGTATTCTAATGAATAGTTTAATGATTAAGAAGGATAAACAACCTAATTAATCAATGGGCAATAAAGCAATAAAATACATTTTCATATGTATTTATTGATATCTTTGAGTTGGTGTGAGAGTTTACCGGTTTTAACCAACGATAACTAGATGCATCAGGTATACATTCATAAGCTGTGCAATCTTTTTTACTTAATAACCAGAATAACTACGGCAATGAATGACGTATTAAATTAACACCTTCAAGAATTGATAAATATATGTAAATAGGAAGAAAGAGAAGAGAAGAATAATAATTCGATGAGTTGAGTTAAAATTTTTTTCATATTTAAAACTCACTTTGACAGGATTTCCATCGTGTAATTCACATAATGACGGTCGTTTAGCTCTTTTACTCATCCTGGAGATAGATCAAAAAGACTTTATTTAAAAAAAATATTTATTATACATGATAGGTATTTTAAAGTGTACCTATAATATTCCATTCGTGGTACGACATCCCACAAGCCTGTTACACTTAATGTCATGGATGATTTCTTGGCATTAATGTGATTCTGAGTATTCGCCTCTTCTGACCCATTTTGATTTTGAAATGTTCCCTCCATACCGGGTATTCTGTAATTTAATTTTTTTTTTGATTTATTATTTTAAATCTAAAACCACTTGATATCAAACAAGCTTTATTTTAAATTGAAAATCAAAAATTTCCACTTGAAAGTTGAGAATATGTCGATAACAATGAATAATGAAAATGTTGATGAATAGAAAAATGCTACGCACAAGTTAGATCAATTGATTTTCATCTTCTACATCAGTAATTTTTTAATTAAAAAAAGAGGGAAATGTATCGACATAAGTCAACTTGATATTTATCAAAAGCATTTATTTTCTATAGATGAATACTCCCTGTTCTTGTCTTCCCAGAGGATAAAATCATCCTGAAGATTTATGCCTTGAAGCACTTTCAATATTTACTGTATTGATAAAAAATTTATTGTAATTGATAAAATAATTTAGGTAAAGCTATCCTTGAATATCACATAGTAATTTGGATTATGAAAAAAAGTTCTAATAACCTAAATGATAAGAATAATAACCTTATTATGAATATAATTCATTTTATGCTTGACTTTGCTAGTAGTTATTATAATTATTGTACTTTTCTTAGAACTCATCTTGCATTTTATTTACATTTCACACTGTCAACTCCTTGTTCAATAATTAATTTGTTTGTTCATGGAATCAATCATGCCAAGATGATTAGACATTTGTTCATTCTGCATTATTAAATTTGACTATTAATCATAAATTATAATAAATAGTTAAAATAATGATTTTAAAAATTTATAATTGCTGGAATGAATTAATTTTAAATCGTTATCTTTAGTGGTGTTGGTTAGGGATACTTATGATTAAATAACGGTTTATAAAAGTATTAATTTAAACCCTAGACCCAGTCTCCCTCTGGTGATGTCAATTAACATGATTAAGTAATATTCATTAGTTTGTATTGTGATCGCATTAATTATATTTTCTCGACATATCGAATTTATTGCTCATAGTGATTTTAATGAACTCATGTTTAATTAATTTCTTCAATAATAATTATCTTAACTGCGTGATTTTACTTAAATATCTAAGAATTCTTGTCTGTTCATTGATGATATAAATGAAGAATAGCATCTATTAAAAAGCTTTCACGATTCATAACAAATGTGCATTACTATGTGTTACCTTACCAAAACAAACATTCTATTCATCAACATAACATTGCATTCTTTTCACTGAGATTTTATTTATTTCTCTACTTGATCATTATTACAATTAATTAATTACCATTAAAGCTTGTTATTTGTTGCTAATTATTTTTCTAGATGAAAAAAAGTATTATTACAAGCAAAAATAAATGAACCAAGTGTTATCATGATGGAGAAAAATATTAGTTTGTTTTTCTTATGGCAGAAAAAAAAAATTAAAAGTTCAATCTATAGATTAGGAACTATTGAAGTAAAGTAAGTTGACATTTCCTTATAAAAATGATCGAAGAATATCAACTTTATAGCGACAAAAAATTACTTTCAGAAATAGAAGACCAATGGATGACAAAGTGCACTCACATATTGAATATGATTTTTTGTTATTTTCTATTATGGATGATAAGAAGAAAACTTGATGTAATTTTTTACGATTCATTGACTATTTTGATAAATGAATCATAACAATATATATTTGTTTCAATTAATTCAACACTTTTTGCAAATTTTAAAATTAAACAACACACTTGTTGGTCTAGTAGCCATTGAAGAAGATATTTTAATTAAGAAGAAGCAGAAATATTTTTATTGGTATAAAGATGAAGACTCGAAATTCATTCGCACCTTTTAATGGAATTAATTAAAAAATATTGAACTGAAGTAAAAATATTTAGATAATTGGTGAAAAAATAGAAGTGAAGAAATTATTTGCAGTGCAAGAGAAAGTAAAAAGAAAATAAAGCATAAAAGCTCAGTAAAAGAAAACTCTAGGGGGAGAGTAATGACAGAAAATAAAAAGAAATCTGGGCGTCTCTTGTCTATTTTTCTGGACATGGATCGATCACAAAGAATTACTCAGTCAGGAAGAAGAAGCATAAGAAGATGGTATTTCATTGATTATACACAATACATATATGTGTATATCGATGTCGTATAAATGTATTCATAATGACGCTAGCTCTCCAAATAAAACGCAATCTAACTTGCAACGATTTTACTTAAACATTTTTGGCTTCAATCCTAAAATTAATTTAGCACGTGTATATTATACACCGTGAGTGAAGATGCTTTCATTCATACAATATTATTCATCCTAGAAGAGAAATGAAAAATAAGATTGAGTAGTAAAAGAAGACAGCTATTGTAATAACACAAGGTCAACAAACGTCCAATAGAATTAAGATAATAAAAAAATATTTTCACTACTTCATCTGACATTCTACTATCTATTCTATTCTATCTATTTTATTGTAGTCATTTCCTGATGAAATGCATCAAAAGAAGTATCTAACAGTAGTTGGTTTATTTTTATCAGTAAAAGTGAAAGCTTTTGTTGATCTTTTTGATTCTTTTTAAATTAAAAAATTGTCAATTACTTTTAGTTAAGCTTCAGTAGATAAATGAATTCAAATTCTATTTTTCGCTAAGCTTTTTCCGCATCATTTTTTACTGCTCGGTGGATTTAAATCTACGATGAGTTTCTAGAATAACTTAAAATAGTTTTGAAAACATCAATGGAATTTTTCAGAGTTGTTTCACTCATATTCATTCTCAAGAAAGTTGTAAAAAAAAATAATCAACAAATTCTTTGAATAGAAATTGCCAAAAATGAATTTAAAAATATTTTTATGATATTTTTCATCATTTATTTAATAATTGTTGATCAATTTTTTATTACGTACTATGTAACGGTAATATTGAATGAAAAAAAATTTTTTTTTTTTTATCAAATATTCACTTACATTTTTGCCAAAGCAATGTAAATAAATCCTTAATAAGTTACTGAATGAATCCTGGGTTTCATCACCATAATATTTATTGATTCACACAACTAGATCCAGAATGTAAACAATTGACTGGTTCAAATTAAATTCTGATCTTCAATGAATTTAAACTTCTTCAAATTCAAATAATTTAGGTAATAATTTTAAAATATCTCTTTACTGTTATTTAATTAAAATATTATCCACTGAATAATTAAAAGAAATTATTTATTTATTATTTAATTTAATAAATAATTTTTTTCGTTTTTTTTTTTTCAACAGTATCGGACACTCTAAAAACACTTTGGCAACCGAGAAGATAATAGCAAAAGGGAGGGTCAATAGCCCGAGACAAGAGTCGTGTCCATAGAGATCTTAAAAGTTATCCTGATGCCACGAGTCTGTTGATCATGAAACTCTCTGTGTCCATATACTCCCTCGGTTTTCTATATAGCTGATTCATCCACTAAGTTAAGGAAGCATGCGTCGAAACTTCCCTTTCTCCAAAACAACTAAGGGAAGTAAAGACGTATACACTACTCATTAGAGAATTTCTATTGCAAAACTCTACACTTCTATGACACACACGTGTATTTCTCTCTTCGTTAACTTCTAAATATATTTATCAGCAAGAATTTATATTGAAATTCTTTCATAGTAATTTTTGATGATACTGATACATATTTCTATTACATTTATGTTATCTTTTTTTAGACATTGCATTAATTCACCAGCATATTCATGAAATTTTCTCAACTTCAGTAACTGTTCTATTTTTTTTTTAATATCAAAATTAGTTTAAATTTTCTACAATTAAAATAAAATAATAAAATTATAATAAAATAACAGAATAGTTGGAAATAATTATCGGTTTTAATTAAAATTTATTTTATTATTTTTTTAAATATTTCCAGATAAAATTTTAGAAAATCTGTTCTATAAAAAAATATTATCATTTTTCACTCCAAAATATTTTTTCTATTATTTTTACATTTATTGTTGCAATTTTTATCGCATCCATGACATGCATGAATTAGGAATAAACTTAAATTTTAATGTTATATAAAAATGTATATCTATTAAAAAATGATCATAAAAAAATAATAAAAATTAGGTCCACGTGTATTGAGTTCACGTGTCTCAAAAATTAATATCAACGTGATATATCCCATCATAAACAGAGAAAAATTCATAAATATAATTTTATATACCGATGATCTAATGAGTAACTACTCTATGTAGAGATTGATACATTAAAATTTAGATAAACAAAGCTAAAATCAGAATGAATTTCACTAGACTTTGTAGAATCACCCTGATTGTTATTGTCCATCTTCTAAACCTTCTAGAAATTTTTTTGTCTGCTAAAAAACATTGTCTACTGGATTTAATCTAATTATTAATTTTCAAAAATCAATGTATATATTTTAATAATTCCAATTAAATTGTTGGAATATATTTTATTAATTAATCCAGCAAAATTTATATCAAAACATGCTTTTTAAATCATCATAAAATTTATCTAATCAAAAATGATTCTATTCTTTATCAAAAAATTGCCTAAGTAACTGTGAAGTGTAATTCATTCAAAACTATTCAGCTTAATTTTAACAGATTACCTGTTATAAATCATTCATACATGTGGCTTATTAGATTCATATAAACCCGATAAATATTGACATTATTTAAGCACTAATTAAAAATAATTTTTCAGAATACCTGAACACCACTGAGGACTTTTTTCTCTTACTCGTCTTCAACGTCATTTTGATGAAATATCAGAGGCCTTGTATTATATATAAAAGGTAAGAAGAAAAAAAAACGAATGCACTAAAAGTTGATACTATTTTTTATCACTTCAATATATGTCTTCTCTCATTCACGGCTCGCGTTTCAAACTCGACTATCTCTGTTTCAGGACATCGCTGGCAATATATATACACTGTTGCAAGTATACCTTTCAAGATACACATGTAAGTTAGCATCGTTCAGTTTGTAATAAAGAAAGAGAAAAGTTTTATCACTCAAACAATCGCCTGCAGATATATAAAAACATTACTGATTATAATCTGTCATTGTCTCTCTCTCTATAACATTTTTTTTTTATTTTCACAACTAGTAATTTTTTGATTTTTCTGGATAATTGAGATAAGATTACATTAAACACTTGAAATTAAAACAATTTGTAGTTGTTTATAGTCTTTGTTTATCACTGGATTAATGATTTCCGTTAGTGGTTTAATCAATCAAGTATCAAAATTATTTTATAACTAAATTAAAAATATTATCAACTTCAATAATTATCAATTGACTTTTAGCAATGTTAGAATTAAAAAAAAAAACAATGAATGAATACAAGAATTGTTTGCTGATTGAAATGCACACATCATGCAAACGTTAAAATGTAACTGAAAATTTGTTTAACACGTGAATCATTACAGCTCGTCTTGTTTCCTTATCATTGTTAGTCCTTTGATTATACAATACTTTGTAATATACATAATAACACTTGAATACTTGCCATGATTTAGAAAATTTTAGGAAATAATTTTCCTTAATGAACTTTTACTCTTCATTGAGATTAAAAATAATTGTCTTCATTATTACTAATTAGAATATTGCAAAAAAAATTTTAATTAAATAAGCCAGCTATAATTAAGATGAAATATTCTAAATTAATACTAGAGATTTAAAAAAAAAATAGGGATTTAAATTTTACTATTATTTTAAATGTTAAATAATGTATTAAATAAATAGCTTTGTAATGTTTAATTATTCTAACATATTAAGCTATTGACAAGAAGTTTTTTTTTATATTGTGAACAATGTAAAAGAATGAGTTCGCAAAATGTGGAACGGATACAAGAATAAAAAAATCGTAGATAAATAAGACAACTGGAAGAAGGACACAGTAATTGTTTAAAACATCTCATTTACCATGATTTGAATGTTATTTTAATTTTATAGAGATTTTATATTATGAATATTATCATGTATTATCACCATCTATTTCAATTACATAAACTTAATCACATAATACAGAATACATTTGACATTGATCATCAGATTGAAATGGTAGATAAGATCGTACGATGAAAAAATTATTAATCAAGTAGTAAAAGTAGTTGATATTACTAGAGACTTCTTTACTTTGAGATTCATTTTGCACTTCTTGAGTATCATTATTTTCAATAAATAGCTTTAATAACCAAAAATCAATTAACAATAAACAATCAAAACTATTTTTATTAATTTTATTAACAAAAATTGTTTAGAAGAAAGTTTAAAAAAAAAAAATGAAATAAGAATTTAATTAAATTCTTTTACGCCAAGACAATTTCTAAACTTATCAATAAATCGATGTACCAAAAGACGAGTTTAATCTATGTCAGTATTGAACAATTGATTATTTTATTAGTTAATTATTCAATTGGTTTGTTTACTTACACTTGGCTCGATTCGCAGTGGTTATATTAACGAGATAGAGGAAAGTTTGCGAAACAATGCTGCCTCTTCAATACCACTTTATTTACTAATATGTATCATCGCCAAATCCGATATTTATACCAAGTGACTACCATTCCTTCAAATTAACGACCCCCGTGCACCACTATTAAGTGAGTTAACCCATAGTGAACTTGTACACATCAGCATTGGCGTAAGTCTCAATTCTCAGAGACACCCTCTCTTCCTGAGAATAGGATTAATCATATTTATTAACTTTTCATGCATATTTTCTATCAGTTTGTGTGCTAGTTTTGCCACTCAAAACATTTATTGATTAAAAATCATAGGAATTATGTTTGACTATTTACCAAGTTTATCACTCACTAGATTCTTCCATTCCCAATTAGTTGATTAATAAATGAATAATTAACTTACTAGATGTAATTTGTTATTAAATAAGAGTTTAAGTAAATAATAAATAAATGAAATAGTTAAAAATAATTGTTGAGCATATTTTAGTCTTGTTGCTTTCATCAACTTGTTGAAATGTTAATAACACTATTAACGAGGGTGATGATAATTTTTTAGCACATGTTGATAAATTTAGAGTGCCAGAAAAACTTGAAGCTTGACTGGAAACCACCAGATCTTAATGATTGTTGTCTCGTCGCATTTTAATTGAAGACCAAGATGCGTCCAGATCAAACTGCGTTGAGTAGCCAATCTTTTACGATATATCTATTGCCTTATTTCTTACAGCCATCTAAGCATTTGAATATATTAAACTGAATCACATTCTAACTTTGACTTGAATTTGCATTTTTAGTCGTTACTTATTTATCATAATAATGTAATGTTGAGACAAGGGAAAATTGCTTTGACATTGGTGTTTTTACATTAGTAAAATTATTGTAATCATATTGAAAATAATTGTGTAATAAGAGACAATTATGGTAGTTAGTAATGATAATGACATTGATGAATAGCAGAAGCAAATTTTGTTGAAGTCGAATTTTTTTTTAATAATGAAAAATTAAATTGACTCAGGCTTTCTATTGTTGTAAAATTGTGAAGAATTTTTTTTTTTATTCTCGTAGTTTTGAATATTTTTTTTTTATCAATCACAGTGGAGACTTCTTTACATCAACTTGACATTAATTTGATCAAACTTTACTTTTAAGAATAATTTTATTGGAAACATTGTTTATTATGTTAGCTAAAAAGAAAGAAGATATCATCAAAATGTATGATAGGATTTGAATTTATGTCATAATAGTACTCACCATATTGAACGACAATAAACTTATTTGTCTGGCTAATTTAAAACGTCTCGAGATAATGAAACGATCTAGTAGCTTATTAATATTTTTAATGAGAAAAAGCTCTCAAATTATAAGTGGATCTCATCATAACTAATACGGAAATTGAAAGCTCTGTTATTAATTCGTCTTTCGATGATTGAATGTCTAAGCTCATTGATCTTGATCAAAGTTATTACTATATGTATATATACACAGATTGATACATAATAATATACGAATATTAGTCACATCACTTCTTCATTCGAAATATATGCTTGTTATTTTAAATTATTATAATTCTCAGAATTTCATAATTGGACTGATCGTTAAAAAAAACAAAATTGCACAAAAGTTGGGAATAAAAATCATCAAGTTATAAACAATTTTTTACCTTCATTACATCATACTTATAAAGGAGGATAAATATTTTAATAAATCATGCTGGAACACTTGTGTGGTTAAACATATGGTTTGCTTGGATTTTATGTGATTTTGAGAAGTCTCTAATTTTAGAACAGAAGGTCTTTTAGAATAATCTTAACTCATATGACTATTCTTTTAAATTTTTATTACCAATTTTTCATGAAAAAGACTCCTTTAATCACTTATAGTTATCAACAATTATAAACAAATAAATCTGCAATGTAAACGAATAAATAAAAAATTAAATAAAGTATTAATTTACATAAATTTAATTATAATTAGTTGTTGAAAATAATACTCAACTTGGTTATTTTGTTTCAATTTTTAATATCCATTAATCATCGCCAATCGAGCCATAAAAGTTAATTTTTTTTTTTATCAAGTAATAAATTATGAAATTCAATATATCTATTATGTTATTTATTTTACGACATTTTTGACGAATATTCGAGATAATAATCGACTTTTCCGATGACAAATATTTCCGCTATAAATTTGATTGAAACAGACAAAAATCAGTTTTTTTATGATAAGATAATATCTAATTGTAGTTATAAAATTTTTTTGATGTTACTGACGTTTTATAATCATTATATGAGCTATGTTTATCATATCCAGTAATCTTTGACATTGATGTTTTAATATTCTGATCATCTTGATGGCCTACATATGTCCAGTGGCCTTTTACAACTAAATTTACATTTATTACTTTCAAATGTCATTCGTAATTTCCTCAAACACCAATTATTTTCCTCTAGTACCTTCAATATTTACTCTTAAGATACAATTGCCAATATTAATCCTTGAAACCTGCAAATATTACAATAAAATTAGCTACTTTATTAATGTATAAAAATATTTAATTATATTAAAATATCTAGAGTTATTAATTGTTAAAAAAATCATTACTATTGCAAGAATAAAAATACAATTCAATAATAAATTCCCACTGGGAAGTTAATAATAATAGTTCATTATTTAATTTATAATAAATAGGTTTTAAATATCGAAAAGTGTTGAAAGACTGTTATCTCATTTAGGTGAAGAACAGCATTGCTAAATATTATTATTGCCTTGAGATGACCTCATCAATTTTTTCAACATCTTCTTTCAAGAAGAAAAAGTGATAAAAAAAATCGAATATTTCCTTAATCTAAAAATAAAAAAATTCGAAGCAGTTTAATATATCAACCGTCAAGAACAAACTAGTCGGAGTCGATCTTCTTTAGGAACTAATCATAGGTTTAAAGGAGCTTTGAAATTTTTTGCACGTACATTTCTTAAAAGTTGAAGAAATAAAAAGAATTGATTCGAATGCTTCTTTTATTAGCGTGCATTCCTTTTCTAACTAACATCAAGAAAGCCACTAGCTACCCAGTTCTGTTAGGATTCAACAGCTTGGATCCAGTTCAATCCAGTAAAATCCAGTTAAAATACATGCATGCCAACCACCTGGATTGCTTGTACCATCAAACTTTCAATTTTCAAGATCTCCACTATCATGTTATCATCATCACTGTGATTTATTTGTATTTGTAAATATGACCAATGTGAAGCAACAATTGGCATACATCTGTGATAGTCATTATTTCTCTGGTAAACGCTGAAATTTTGAACAGTTATCATCACATACAAACGTGATAAGTAAAGTTATGAATCAAGCTTACGTGGAATTAACAGAGGATTTACACTTACTCATCAATAAAGCTTACGTTTTTTCACATTTATTCATATAACAACTATTAGCACAGTGTGTTTGTCAAAAATATGTTTTCAAGTGATAAATATGACGAGTATTTTTATTGGTTTAATCAGAAGCTGAAAAGAATAATAAATGAAATAGCTCTAATAACTTAGAGCTAATATAATTATTGCTTGATTGAATCAAAAGAGATAGCTTTCGGAGTTGGTTGGTATTTTTATAGTTATTGATATTTTAATATTATAACAATAATTGGTTTTATTAAATTTTTGAAGAATTATTGAAGTGATGATAAAAATATTAGCTTTAGTTGGTTCTGTCGGTGTTGAATTTATATTTGAAATTCTTGATTCTCGTGACCTCTGTCGGCTATGAAGCATAATTTTACCTCTATTATTTATTTACTGAGTAATTTTAAAGTTTAAACTAAGAATATTATCAATGAAAAATAAGGTCAAAATAATTCTTTCAATAATCATTAAGGATTTTTATATAAAAAATTATAAATGATTTTGTTTTTTTTTTTTTAGTAATCAGTCATCAATGTAAGCTTCTAATTATTATAAAAAATGTTTAAAATATAAAAAAAATTGTATTTCATTTTCGAATATTTATTTTATTGTATAATGCAAATCATTCTCAATTTGTTTTTATTCAATTAAATTATCATTCAACTCAACTATATACGTATATACATAAATAAACATTTTTTAAATATATAAACAATAATAAAGCATATTTTCATTTAATAATAATAATTATTATTATTATTATCATTACAATTCACTGAAATTTAGGTAATTGTAATATTCTATATGTAGTATATTTGTTGCTAAATTTCCCTAATTTATTTATTTTGAATGATTATTTATTATTAATAATTGATAATTTATTAATAATAATTTTGCACTATATTTTTAATTAAAAAATACTGACAATATATTTTTCAATTTTATAATGCAAATAATAATCTATCAAAATGAGTATATAAATGAATTCCAATTTTGCATTTAATTATTTAACATAATTACAATATTATAATTGAGAAATATATAAAATTATAAATAGAAAAAATTTATATGTATATAAAAATTGAAAAATAGACAAAAAGTAGCAACTTTTCGGTAACTATAACACAGAATACAATTTTTAATAATTATTTATCCATAGAGAGACGTTTATAGTAAATATAGTATATTTCACACCTAGGGAGGAAAAGTAGACTAGCTCAAACCACGTGTAAAATTACAACCCGAGCCGAAGGCGAGGGGGGTAAACACGTGGTTTAAGCTTGTCTAATTGTCCTCCTTAGGGCTGAATATAATTTTTCGTCATACCTGAGTGGAAAGTTCAACCCCTCTCCAATGGAAAAGTGAACTTTCCGCGCAGGCATGACGAAAAAATATTGATTCAAATGATGAGATAAATAATTACCATCATAAACATTGAATGAGTATCATACATATAATTTTATATCAATTGTTGATTATATTTACTTTATCAATAATTGATTTTTTTTAATTATAAATAACTTTTTTTTTTTCTAATTAACTTTAACTCAATACTTATTTTTGATATTCTTAGTATTTTTTATAATATAATTATTCAATTATTTAATAGTTGCTTGAATGATTGAGTTTTCACAGACAGACATGTTATTAATAATATAACATTGATGTAATACATCTCTAATAGTTTGGCTTAATATAAATAGTCACAGGACAATACATTCAATTCGAATTTATGAGTTATAGTTTATATTATTCGTTTATATTATTTATTTATGCACTATTTTCATTAAATATTGACTTAGATCGTGTTTTTATCAACAAAATTATGGTCGTTTGTTTCTTCCTCGACGATTCTTAAACGTCAAGTGGATTCCAAACCTCCTCCAGCAAGTTTTGTTGCATATAAATTCAATGCCTGTGAAAAGAAAAATTTGTTTTATTCAATTGTTTTCTATATCTAGCAAACCAGTGATGTTTGATTAATGCAATTCGATTGATATTGACATTAGTTTAATACAACTAACATGATTACCTTGTAAATAAAAGCATATTGCTCTTTAGTTTGCACAGCCCCAGCTCGATCTCTTCTAATTGTATAAACAACCCTAGGTACATCAACAGTCCTAGTAATCTCGTATTGTCTTATTCCTAAATCTAGAGCTATTAATGTGCCAGTCCTTCCAGTTCCAGGACTGCAATGAACAACTATTGGTCCCGGACCACCTCGTTGAAGTGCTCTAGCTTCTAAGATTACTGCTATCAGTCCAGCTGTATCTGTTTGAACACCATTCGCCGGCCACAAATACCAGATATGTGATATTTCGCGATAAGTATTATTTTCCAGGTTCTAAGAAAAATGAGTTTTATTATTAGCACTTTCTTGATTTTATCATCATTTTTATTCAAATTTACCTTTAAATGTAAAGTAGAAATAGCATATTTCTCTTTGGTCTCTCGTTTCTTAAGGGTCACTTGATAGTCACCATAAAGTCGATGACAATCAGTGACTTCTGAAGGAGGAATATATTCAGCACATTTTTCTACACCATTTTCAATAAGATCCGTTAGCATAATAATCACTTTAGATTGTTGCTCCCAAATCATACGCCAGAAGTCAGTAATAGTAGACTCAATTGGCGCTTGACAAGCTATGTAATACTTGGTCGCGTTCTTTGGACCACGTACGTAACTAGCATTTATGTATTCACTTAATGGATCATTGTTAATCTTTAAAAGTGGCACTCTTGTCTCTGGAAGTGGTACTACATTGGCGTATCTATTTTTAACCTCAGCTCCTGGTGGTAATTCATCTATTCGAGCTGTCACTTGAGGGATATTTGAAAATTCTTCATGTATTGCATTCTGTTCGTTACAAAATGATGATAGTCCAACAAAATTTAATGGATGCGATGGAATTGCACTCTAAAATAATCAAGAGCTCTTGTTAGAATATTTTTAAATATAATCATTTATTTTACAAAATTAATTTTCAGTTTATTTTATGCTTACTGAATCTTCAAATGTAGGATTTCCATAGCTTCGTTTTGATGCTCTTGCTGCTCCTTTTCTTCTAACACTGTTGTAAGCCGAAACGCTATCTAAACTATATGCATCCAAAGATACTGGACGACATCTTTCACCGTAATTAAATCTCGTTTGACGTTTTCTCATAATGAACTAAAAAAAAAAAAAAATATCATTAGTATTTATTATTATATATACTTTAAAAAGATTATAATCATTTTAATGTCATTAAGCAATTGTGGCGTAAGTTGACGGTACATTACTTAACATCCATTCATAAAAAAAAAAAAAGCTGTAGATTTAATAATTACCAGTAGACTTGCTAATAAAACGAGACAGATAAATGCTACACAGGATATCACAACGACTGCTATAGCATTTCCAGAATCACCATCTTGAACTAATTGTAAGCTTCGAATCTAAAATAAAAAATAATTTATTTATATTGTGTAACTAAATTGTTGAATAACTAATATTATATAAAGTATAAAAGAAAACTTACAGTTAAATTTGATTTAAACGGAATTTTTGAGTATAAAGTTGGTAAGCTTTTAGTCATAATCGGATCAAAATTTCCATTCTCATCAGTTACATACAACAATATGGTTGAGATCATTAATTCCATTGTTCTAGAACTCATTATAGTATTGTCCATGCATGGATTCTTTTGGAAAACAATTTGTATTGGTAGGATGATTCTAAAAATGACGAAATGATTTTACATAGCATACTTTCAATTAAGTTAATTCAACAAAGAAATATTTATATTTTAACAAATAAAATGTAAACTCACTTCTCCATTCCAGTAGTCAATAAATCTGCCAGAGATTTTCTTAACGCTGGTAAATGGGGGCAAATATCAGCCCAACCACCCTCAACAACAATTCCCACTAGAAGAGGAACATCCTCAGGAGTGAATTCTTGAGTTTCCGTCGAAGTTGGTATTGTAATAACCATTGTGGTTTGTTCTTCAACACTTGGAGAAGTTGTAAAACTTGTAGGGCCTCTTTGGGAACTTGTTTCATACTTAGTATCATCATTAGTTTCAGACGAGTTTAAACTACTCAATACATTGGTTGAAGTTTCCAGCTCATTTCCTGTCATTTCTGTACTTGATTCAATAATTATAGTTTCAGGAGTTGTCGATGGAGTTTCTAAAGAAACTTCTGTTGGCAAATCTAATGATGATGATGATGATGAGTTAAACGTATTGTTGTCAGTAGAATTATCAAGAGGTGTAAATTCTTCGGTAACATTTATAGAAGATATCGTTGCTATTTCTTTGATAGTTGTTACAGGTTCAACATCTGAGGAATTTGTACTTGAAGTTATTGGAATAATTGTGGTGTCAATAAAACCGCTTTCTGTTGTTGAAACTGACTCTTCAGAATAATTAAACTCAGTTGTGACATTAATGTTATCGTCTAAAGTTGTTATCACAGTTGTGTCATCGATAATTTTTATTGTTGTCAAGTTAATAGCTGAATTCGTTAAAGGAGTTGTCATGTCTGGAGAACTTGTTGGAAATGTTGATGATAAATTTATCTCAATATTATCTGTGACATTTTTTATAATATCTGATGGTTCTGTTGTCTCTGTAAGTCCAACAAATTCATATACAACTCCAAGAGTGGTTGTTTCAGGATCAAATCCTCTTCCATCAGAATTAAATTTCCAATTTTCTTTTGAAATCGTAGCATTCTTATCTAATATCGGTACAGAAGATGACGATGCTGGAGTATTGTCTGTTACTGGTAAGACTGTAGTGGTTGATTCAAACGGAATTTTCAACGTCGTTGATGAAATTGAAGATTCCAAAGTTGAAGAATTTGAATTACTCGGAGTAGTATTTGGGAAGTTTTTTATTTCTGCCGACTTTTCAGTGACATTTGATGAAGTTAAATGAACTTTTGGCTCTTCTATTTTAATTTTATCGACCATTTTAATTAAAGTCTCATTTAAATTTTCATTCTTCTTGATCATCTCCGTTGTAGATTCTGTAAAACTCATTTGTGTATTCTTCAATAAATCGGAACTAGTTACATTCTTATCAGAATTATCTATTAACCCGTTTTCCGTTAAATCTAAGGTACTTTTACGAATATCATCATTTCGTGGGATATCATTAACATTTTCTTTGATTTTATCACTCAGTTCAAAAGTTGAGTTCAAATTTATTTTCAATAATGTAGGTCTGATTGTAGATTCAGATACATTAACAACAATTCTTGACGAATTCCCTGACCTCTTTTGATTTAATGGCTTTATTTGTTGAATGCTGTTATCGATAACAACTGAAGGCTCAGTTAATATAAATTTTTCATCCTTGCTATTCTTACCTATTGTATTCTCAAGAGCAAATATTTCATCTGATTCTTTCACCAGACTTTTGTTCATAGAACTACTACTTGGACTCTTGAGATATGGATAAGGTCTCACCTCCTTTGTGAATCCAACCTCTAAATGTTCCTTTGTTGAACCAATTGCTTTCTCTTCTGTGCTGCTAAAACTATTGGACTCTCCAAATGATATCGTACGACCTTTTGGAGTTAAATTAATATTCTTTTCATCATCTTTCAACTCCTCTGTTGTATTGATCATTTTTTCTGCTTTATCTGAAATCTTCTCAGTCATTTCTCCAATTTCTTCATCATCTGTAATGTTTTGCATTATCCTCAATGTTTTGGGTAAAATAGGATTTTTTATTATTTCTATCTCGTTTTTAGGATCTTTGGATTTTTCTATTATGTTTGTAGCATTTTTCTTGTAATTCACCATCGTATCATTCAACAATGAAATGTCTTTTGTTGATCTTGGTGTCATGGGTTCTTGATTTTCAAAATTTTCTTCAAGCTCTTCAGCATCATCTTTCATATTCAATTCAGAACTTGGCCTTTTTTCTTCACTAATTATCGAATGAGGATGAATCATTAATTTTTCGAAAAAATGTTTCCTCTCTGAAGTCTGATTATTTTCTAAATTCTTTCCAGGTTTCTCAGTCTTTGTTGCATTAATCTTTTGTAATTTTATTATCTTCTCTTGTTCATGATTAACTGGTAATTGTTTTTCTTCGTAATTTAATTGTCTTTGGTTGTTGGTGGAGTTAGATAAAGAATCATGTGTTGGAGTAGATTCGATAGTAGACGTTGTGGTGGAATAGAAAGGTGTTTGACGTTCCCTATCATCGTTCAAGGCTGCTAAATGCACGAACTCAACTCCTTGATCAGCTTTACGTAAGATCGTGCGGTTTCCTGATTGTAAATCCACGGGTTCCTCTGTGCTGTTGATGGCTTCTTGATTCAAGGACACTGTTGTTGTTTGAGATTGCGACAGTCTTGTGATAAAAAATATCAATAAAACACCTGAAAATAAAAATGCTTTTTAAATACTTCTGTTACACGTTTACAATCTTTTAAGTTGTGAATTTATGTCCGTTTTAAAATCATTATTAGCCTGGCATTGTTTTTTTATTTATTCTTGCATGAGTAACTTGAAAGTTGTATACAAATGTTTTTATCATTGAAGATTTCTTTGTTTACAGAATTCTTCACAAATTATTTGTAAATACAGTGTGAAGAGACTAAAAAATGATGAAATAATTTTTGTAAAAACAATTTAGTAGAATAAATAACAGTATTTATTCGTGTAATTTATAAGATAACCAATGCAAAAATATTTCATGCTGATTAAATACAGGATTTATATCATTTTTATACACTTTTGCCCTGATAAACAATTATATAGAAATAGTGACCTAGATATTAATTTGCTACCAACATAATAAGAAGCAAAATTATCATCAGCAAACTTTTTACTTCAGTAACTAATAATTTTATCAGATAAAAAAAAAATGTTCAAATAATAAAACAAAATATTTAAATAGGTAATTTAAAAGATAATAATATTTAATTATTATCTTTTGATAAATAATTTCTGTAATGAAGAAAATAATTAGATGTTGAAGTTTATATAAAAATTGATTAATTCTCCAGGAAAATGTACATTTTAAAATAATTAAACTTTTACTTTAATTAGAATGTAAACTTGTCTCAGATACAATCTCGTACTTTTCACTGACAATGTCCCCTTGAAAAATCTCAGAACAATGATTTATTTCAAGTACCGAATATTTCCGGAGTAATTGTAACTCTTGCTTATAATTACTAAAATACTTGAAATATTTTTTTCTTCCAAGTTAAATAGCATGAAATTAAATCTGACAAAGTCTGAGTACGGTATAAAGAGTCAGTCTAACAGTACTTTGTACTCTTACTTCAGCCAGCCATTGCAGATTTTTTAAAGCCTGTATACAACCACCTACTCTTTTCAATTGCTCTGCTTCTTTTATATCTTTGAGAAAATACATCAAAGAACGGAATGCCTTTTTTTTCTTCTTTTATTTTAAAAATGAAATTTCTCTATTTTTTATTACCTGTCCATTTTGTTGACCCCACATTCATTCTTTGTGTCATCTCAATGCCTACAGGATCGCTCTTTAGATTCTGTAAGAAAAAAAAAGAAAGAAAAATTCATTTTTTTATTCAAATTAACTGTTGTTTTTTAGCTTTTATATTTGTAAATATATTTGAATAATTGATTAATTTCATTCAAATGTGACGCATTTTGTGTCATTGAACGACACGGAAGTCGAGTGCTCCACTAACTTGACAAGTTCTTTGTGTCTCTCTGGTTGCACATTACACCGTAAGCAGGCGAGAAGACCGTTAGTGGACAACGATAACATATGACAAGTAAATGGATAAATTTATCACAGAAATACTATTAATCCAATTATTCCTATTATTTTTATTTTTACATTTATTTTCTATCGGAGGACAATAACAGACAGTTTCTAGATGGAAAAAATTCAACAATTATGCAATAAATTTTTAATTCATGCAATTTTATGACTTAAATAATGCCAATAATTTATTTTTCTTTAATCGAGAAATAATAATTATATAAAATAATTCAAAATGATAATAGTTAATATGTTTTAGGCTGGGCTTTACTAACCTCAAATAACCTTAAATTTGTCTCGTTAAACTGTGCATTTTTTGTTTGTTGTTTTAACGTAAAAAATATTTAGGAATATAAAGAAAGGTGGTGTACACATCAGATAACAAAGATTTATAGTACAAGTGTAATAGTAATTGTAGAATAAATAATTTTCCAGTGAAGGGCTCGCGACAAGTGCATCCGCCATGACACCTCAAAATTGAATGGAAAATTATTTATTCTATGATTGTTATTACATTTTTACTATCAATCTTTGTTTTCCAATGTGTATATCACTTTTCTACATATTCCTAAATATTTTTTACGTGAAAAAAACAAATAAAAAATGCACAATTTGACGAGAAAATGTGAGGTTATTTGAGGTTAGTAAAGACCAATCTTAAAAACAATTTTCCATCACGAGAGTAAATGTCAAACATTTTAATCTGCGAGAAAAATTTCGTCCCGAGCTGAAATGTTTTACTTTACTCCCTTGGTGCAAAATGTGCTATTATTTGCTTACTTTTGATTATATACATTAGGTTATAAACACATTAAACGTAGATTCAAAACAAAATATTTGTCAGATTTCTCATTCCAAGGATTTATTTGCTTCATTTAACTTAATATTGAATAATAACAAGCCAATAATTCTTGAATTAAATCATTCTAATTCTTGAAATTTCATTTTATTTTCTGAGTATACAAAAAGCAGTGGATTTATTAATTTTCCAAGAACAATCTCAAGCTAAGGAAGCCATTAATGTTCTAGAATCCGAATAAAACTTTTTTTGCAATAACAATATTTCATTTGATAATTTTGAATAACATTATTATAACCTAAATTAAGCATTTTTCGAGTCGTTAGAGTGATATAAATAAATCCCAGTACAGGCAAACTTTAAAGGTGAATAGTAGTTTAGAGTTGACATAAATATACACTGAGAGTACCGTTAATTTCTGATACCCATCCTACACCATTTTGCTCTCTCATTCCATCAATCTCATCATCTTTCTCTCTCCAACTCCCTATATGTACTTGCCTCGATCCCTTTACTAAATTCACGATCGAGTTTGTCAGCACTTTGTTGTGGCTTTGATAAACATCATTATAGTTTATAATTACTCCCGAATAATTACGTGGTGATTGGCTGTAAGTAATTAGTAGGTAACCTAAAATTTATCAGGTGAATAGATCAATATGATTAATAGCTAAATAAATATACAATAATTCACAGTCAATCTACTAATTATTTATAGCAAATTTAAAATTATTATCAACCAATTTGAAATAAAATAATTCTTTTAACAATAAAGAATAATTGTCAGTCATCCATAAAATATAACACTTTGTCAATCAACCCAACAAAAATGTTTTTAAAACATGTAGCTGAAGTTTCGAACGTTCATATGAACGAAAAAAAATAAAGAAATAAAAAAAAATTAAACCAACGCACAGGGATCATATGGAGTACGTAAAAAAAGAATATAAGTCAAATCCAACCCTTAGAATTTGAAAGAAAGCAGTAAATCCGAAGAAAAAAGGGTTGTTTTTACAAAAAAAAAAATAACTTGGGAACACCGATTTCGATCCACTCAAAAATTGGCAGAGATATTCTTCGTATCGTGCAAAAGATATCTGCCAATTCTTATTCTTTTTAATAGGATTTTAAAACTTATTTTTTCCAGATCGTATTACACGTCGTTACCGAGGGAAGAGGGGTGGAAAAAATCGGCGTGGAAGAGGACGATTCCTGATGTTCCGGTTCTAAAAAAATACGTAAAAAGCATAAAAGAGTTCTCATTAACTACGAAAAAATATAATTACAAAAAAAAAGCTCTAACATGATTTATTTGTGTGAATTTATTATGACAGATTTTATTATACTATGTAATAAATAAAAGAACTCTCTTGATTCAGATAAAGAATACATATTCAGTTTAAAACTTTTTTTTATCAATTTTCTAACATTCAAAAATTCCAATGACCGACTTCCGGTCAATTTGAAAGAATAAAAATTGGCAGATATCTTTTGCACGATACGAAGAATATCTCTGCCAATTTTTGAGTGGATCTAAATCGGTGTTCCCAAGTTGTTTTTTTTTTTTGTAAAAACAACCCTTTTTTCTTCGGATTTACTGCTTTCTTTTAAATTCTAAGGGTTGGATTTGACTTATATTCTTTTTTTTACGTACTCCATATGATCCCTGTGCGTTGGTTTAATTTTTTTTTTATTTCTTTATCGTTCATATGAACGTTCGAAACTTCAGCTACATTTTAAAACAAAAAAGTGTTGAGTCTTTTTTTTGTTGTTGTTGTGATGAAACAAATTGTTTCGCAAAACAGTAGATAAATTTGTTATATCCTGAATTAATTAGCAATTATGTTTATCTTTCACGAAACAACAAATTAATTCTTTTTTTTCACAAGATTCCAAAGAATGAGGGAGTTATCAATAAACATTTATCTCGATTGAAATAATCAGATTGTGCTAAATTGAAGCGTTCAAGTGGGAAAATGTCTGTACAAACAAACTGAGAGTTAGTAATGGGATGTCATTGTTCAGAAAGGCGAGGCAAGGCCGTAGTCCGTCATTGGATAATTGGACTCAGGGTACTTGTGCTTCAATGTTAGTTATCTGTATTCATACCTACATGTTCAACTGTTCCTGTCACTCTCGATATTTCTCTCACTGTCCTTTATATCTCCTTCACCATAAAATCAAACCATTTGATTCTACAAAGAGAGTTCTGTTGATACTAGGTACCGTTTCTATTCTTATTATTGCCGTTTGTTCAGAATATAACTGGACTGATGTAACTCTCTAGAATTTATACAATATAATAGCCAATGGTTTCACTAACAACTTGCCTGGGGTGCGACCAACAACAAACGTTACTGGCAAAAAATTTCTATTTTATTCATTTCATTGCATCAGGATATTTTTTTTCATGTTTTACATGACTAAGCAGTGAAATTGTCTTACGACAGTGTTTCACTATTTTTTGTTTGGTAATTAGATCAACATTTATTATATACAATTTTATTTGAGGTCATATGAAGAATAATATTCAACATAAATCATATTTTTCTGGTGCTTGATTTTTTGCAGACAAGAAAAATACTAAAGTGAAGGTAATATTGAGATAACTAAGATTGACAAAAAAATATTATTGTACTTTGACAAATTTTTTCTATTCATTTTTATACAGAAAGCTCATATTTCTTGACCTGTCATAAGATAAAAACTTGTCTAAATGTTTTTAGCCTTGAAACAATTTTTTTTCTCATCTCAACTCATCAAGGAACTTTTTTCTACAGTTATTAACGATAGTTAAATTTATTTTTTTACAGTTAAGTTAACTTGATTAAGTTTGTAAATTAAGAGGAAAAATCACTAACTATTGCTTTAAGTATTTTTTACCCTTTTTTTTTTCATCATTACTTTAGGTGTTCAACCTTTAAGCTCTATCAACGGTTAATTAAATTTTTTTTCTACACTTTACTAATCGATGGCTTGCTGGAGAATGAAGTGGAAAAAGTTTTTTAAAATTTAAATAATTAATCAATTCTTTATCATTTAATTTTGCAATGTAAAATGAAATTTAGAAAAACAATTGATTACTGTAGATAATAAATTAAATTGATTATTTATTACAAAGTGCAATAATTTTATAATTTTATTACAAAGAAATAGAATCATCTAAAGATGATTTCATTGCGATATAATATATAAGTCACGTCAGAGCTAATTATGTATTATTATCCAGAGTTAGAAGTGCTATTTCAAAACAAATAGTTAAAGTCCTACTTTTGGTCTGTAAAGACTTACTCTTTCATAATTATATTTATTTTCTGTAGCTAAAAAACATGAAGATTTATCTAGATATTTTATTCGCTATCGTCTGATCAATTGTATCAGGATAATGAAAGTTGGTATTAGATTCTTATACAGATATGTATTTGCATAATATAATGGTGAATTGAGCACATCAGAGACATCAATAGTCAATGGATATTTCTGTTCTTTATGAACCTGAAATTAAGATCATTCAGAACGATTGCAAATAATAAGAGAAAGCTTTAAGTAGAAATTCAGGTAAGTTATTAAGAACTTTTAAAACATCTTGGAATCATACCCCTAGAATTTCAACTTCAAAATTAAGGCTAGGTTATACTAACCTCAAATTATTATCGGCAAATTATAAGCCATTTAATCGTTTTTATCACGTAAAAGTTGTCTATTTATATACAAAAAAGTGGCACACAAGGCAGAAAACGATGTTTTATAGTATAAGTGCAGTAGTTGTTGCGTAATTAATTGTTTTTTACTGATCAGCTGATGACAAGTACATCCGCCATGACACCTCAGTATTCTATGAGTGCAGATTGGTTTTATTTTGTTTTTTAATTATTATTAATTAATTATATTAACAATATTTGTGTCTTCTACCCTAGAATATAACCTAACCTTTCGATTAAAGCCTGAATTGAGACAAAATA